TGCCTCGCCCTCCCTCCCTCCTCCTCCTCCTCCTCCTCCTCCTCCTCCTCCTCCTCCTCCTCCTCCTCTTCCTTCTCTTCCTTCTCTTGACTTACAAAGATGAAAAAAAAAACAAGGCACCCACGACATGGCCCTAGCCCGCTCCTTCTTCTCCGCCCTCTGCGCCGGCGAGCCCACCCGCGTGCCCCAGTACGACAAGTCCGCCTTCTCGGGCCTCGGCGACCGCGCCCCGGAGTCGCAGTGGGTCGCCGTCAACGGGCCCGACCAGGCCCGGGTGCAGGTCGTCATCATCGAAGGGTGGTGCGTCGGCTTCCGCGCCGCCGCGCCCGCGGACGTCGAGGCGAAATGGCGCGCCCCCGGCAGCCGCACGCTGCACGCCCACAAGCTCGAGCACCTCTTCTTCGTCAACGACCGGCTGCGCGGGTACGACGCCGTGACGGACCTGCTCGACGCCTTTGTCCACGTCGACGCCGAGGACACCGAGTACGTGTACGACTGGCGCCTGCAGCAGGAGGCGCAGCTGCGCAGGGAGAGGGGCGCCGGCATGACCGACGAGCAGGTCGTCAAGTTCGTCGACGCCTACTACCCGGCGTACGAGCTCTACTCGGACGCGCTGAGGCAAGGCCTCTTTCCCGACCGGAAAGGCGATCACCTGAGGCTGGTTGTGGGCAAAGACAGGAGTGTGCAGGACAAGATGATTCTGTAGCAATATGATATGTCGTAAATATAAAAGCATTAATGACATGCGACCAGTTTCCTCCCAAAGTCCGCTCCCATATCTATATCAGCTGAGCCTTTATTTCCTCTTCAGTCCCAAACGTCTGCACAAGACAGTACAAGCAGCATCATAGAGAGCAAAGCCAACCCTGTGTATAGATCATAACGTCATAGCCAGTCATATCGCCGATATCTAGCAAAGGAAGAGGAAGCCGTAAACGCCAGGAAACCCCTGTCATTCATCATGTCGTCATGCAAAGATAATACAAGTCTCGATCGAGTCCAGAGAAACGACCCCCCATTCGAAGAGATAATGAAGAAAATGTACGCGGTCCATTAGACATCAACGTCTTTGCCTCGCATCATGCCCTCACCTTCCTGCTTGAGATCTTTGAGGGTGCGATCGATGCTCTCGACCTTACCGCGCACCATCTCCTCACGCGACGCGATCTCGCTCTCGAACTGCTCCACCAGCTGACGCTTGGCCTGCCGAGAGTCCTTCATCCGCTGCACCACGGAGGAGAACTGCTCGAGGAACCAGTCTCCACAGTGATCCCACTCCTTGACGGTGATCTGGGTGAAGAAGTGGTGCTGGCTGTTCTCGTCCTTGCCTTTGAAGTAGGCGAGTTTGTCCTCAAGGCTGTCGCCGGATGGCACGTTGGCGGGCTGGACGGCCATGCGGGCTGGGTCATGGTCAAAATTCTCATTTCGCAGATCGGCATAGGACATGGAGCTCAGGGCATGATCGTCGTAGTCGAGGCTCAGGCGACGTTTGCGACCCATTTTGTCCGGCTTCTTGTCGCGGTAGTTGCTCATTCGAGGCAGGGTGCTTTCTTGGAGGGCCATCTTGGTGAGTGGCAAGGGTAGGGGTGGCTGAGAGGGCTGCGGAGGTGCAATCTTAGACTGACGCGGGGTTCTGTTCGTGGCCTCGTCTCCTTGAGATGGTGCCTCGCTGATCTCGTCGTCCTCCGGGGGTGCGGGTGTGCGCCCTGGGGTATCGATATCGTGAAATATAGTAGACCGGTGAGTCTCGTAGTCCTGGGTCCGGTTCTCCGGCCTCGGCTCGCGAGTCTGGACACCGTTCAGGAAACGTTCAGGGGATAGGTTCACGGTATCACCAGCTGTGGCGTTCTGCGAGAAATTATCGGACGTAGACGCCCTTTTGGCAGCTCGCGCGTCGCGGAAGGGATACTTGGCGTGCTTCAACGTATGGCCCGGCTTCTGGGGTGAAGAATCATAACGGGACTTGGCAGCGTAGGGATCATCCAGAGAGAAGTTGTCGAGAACCGAGCGCGGGTTGGTCTTTGCTATACTGTTGTTGCCGCCGGAAGCGGGCAAGACTTTGAGAAGACCGTTCTCCTGGATCACAAAAGGGTTGAGCTCTTCTTGGTCGGCGGCGTTGCGATCACGGTAACGCTGACGTTGGGAAGGAAGGCTGTCGAGGCGCCTGATATCCTGGCTGTGTGGAGGTCGAGGCCGGGTCGACCCAGAGACGCTCTCCCCCAGGAGTGAATTTATAGTCGAGTCCTCCCATATTTGCTGGTCCTGCTCGGAGGGTGCATTGGCCCTGCCGGCATCTGAGTTGGCTCGGGTATGTCGCGTTGCAAGAGGTTGTGATTGTGACTGCGAAGGCGGACTGCTAGCAGGCATAGAGGCAGGTGGCTGGCTGGCACTGTTGAAGCGACTCGGTCTGGGGATCTGGACCTTGGCGGCCTCTGCGAGATGCTGCCTTGAGGCGAGAGGGGGTGGGGGTTGTTGAGGATGCTGAGGTGCAGACTGGTTGTTCCTAGAGGGGCTCCCCAAGCCATTGCCCTTGGTCTCAGACCGCATGTAGTTCATCATCTTGATCCGCGCCGAGGGCATCATCGGCTCGAGGGAGCAGTGGAAACAGCCCGTGGTGGCTTGATACGCTGGCTAGCGGCCACTGCTGGGTTGCAGGGACCAGCTATGGTTGTCGGCCTTTGTTTGTTGTTGATCTGGTTGCGCGTAATGCAGACTGCGCGTCGGACCCAGAGGCTTGAGACGATGACATGTGTGCAGGACGCGAGCGCCGGATGCTACGAGACTGGTGTGAGGCCGTGTTTTATTTCTCTTCGGATTCTGTTGGGCACTTGCGATCAATTCGACAAGAGGGCCCTACAAGAAATAATTGGGTCGAGAGGAAGACGGGGGACTGGGGGAGAAGGGGGGCCAGAGGGAGGTTGGTGCTGCACGACCGGAGGTTCTCCAAGGAGAGAAGACTGGAGATGCTGTGGTACCCCGTACAGAGACGCAACAGAGACCATCACCCAGCCGTGGTAGCAATGCGTACCGGGAGGTGGGTTGCGACGGGGTGGGATGGGATGGGATGGGAGAGATGGAATAAAGTTGTCGTTGTTCGTGGTTCCACGATCCACCAGAGAAACACTGATGCCGCGCCGGCCCGTTTGTCTGGGGAACTAGCAACCTCCAGCTACTGCACCGCACTGGAGCACTAGGTACCTAGGCATGCACTACCCTTTCAAGCTTCAATCAATCTAGCGTCCTTCCAGTGGCTCGTGCGCCACTCGACCCCCTGAATCGTGGCCGATGACGGGTCGCCTCACTGTTTGTCGAAAATGCGCGAACGAGGCCGATTCCACCTCATGACAACTGATGTAGCCATGCATGGCCAGTGCCCTTCGTTTGCGACAGCTTGCTACTGGTTGCCCTGCCGAGCCGTTGCGCTTGACAGACGCATGCGACCCAACGGTTGTTTAATGAAAGCCCCCCCCTCCCGCCCGCGCCGCCCTTGGGTCCAGGCGCCCGACAGGAGGTGCTCCGGAGCCGGTACATGAGAGGGAGGCCCGAGAGCCAGTGAAGGATCGCGCATGAAGAAGTCTCGACAGGTTGTCCGTTGGGCCGTCATACAGGACTGGAGCTTCACTTTTCCAACCTATCATTTTACACGACGAGCCAGGCGTCCTCGTTGTCCTGCAGCCATTGGTCCAGGAATACTGTGTCCAATGTGTCGACCTGGACCTCTCGGCATCCTCCCTCCTCAACATCGCATCTCGTGGGAAGCCAACTGATCGTCGACATCCCATCCCATTTCTATGTTGTGTGACCCCCATCCAGAGGAACTATAGTACCTCACATATAGGCACCAACATGGTCTTTCCGCATTCTGCCCACGCCTTGCAGGATGAGCCCACGCCGCAAGGTCAGTTCGGACAGCGACGCGAGGTCACTCGCATGGGTGATGATGCTCGATTTGAAAGCCAGTATCCGCCATAACCAATGCGCCTTCACCTTGGGATGTTACATTGGCCATGGCAGCCGCCACACCCTCTTTTGCTTTTCCACACAACACCATACTCAGGCTTTACAAATGAGTCTGGCTCGAATTACGGCTGTGCTTATCTCTTTCTTTTCTCTTTTGGTTTCCTTGTTCAGGTGTTCATAATGTATTGTCGAGGAGTATGCCTGTCTCGCAATCTACATGCATCGAGATAAGTCTTCAGCTAGTTGACTGTTGACTGGCTTTCTGCATTTTCTTGAGCTGCTTCGATGCGAGCGTGTACGGAGATGCCAAATACGTACCTAGAGTGCACGACTAATAAAATATAGGCTCGAAAATATCAAGCCATTCCATGACAAAGCAGCAGAGCAATATGATGATATCTCTGAGCCAGGGCAATGTTTTGGCAGCATCCAATCATAAACCCAAGATATCCAATGATTGGTCCAAAAATGCGCTACTCTGTTACCACCGACGGCCATCGGCGGTGCGGTACCGGAAGAGTGGCGGTCGATTAGATAAGCCCCGCTTCACGTCACTCAAGTACTTTCCGCATCCCAATTGTGATTTTTAATCCTCGATAGACTTATCTTTCCATACGCATCTCCTTGTCATAAACCTCTCCAATCCTTTCTCTCCTACTGTTGAAATCATGGCACCGTCACTGGAGGAGCCCGAGCAAGTCGAGGATGTTATTTCCCACCCTCTAAAGGCAAAGCCTCAGTTGGTCGCTCCTGAGCCGGAGCACTGCCCCGGCCCCGAAAGTCAACAAGCCGGTCTCGGTGATGCCTGTGAGTTCCGATAACCTGTGGACTCTCGAGATGATAAACTGACACGATGGATTCATAGGCGCCGGATGTCCGAATCAAGCGGTATGTGCATCCGCACCGAAGGGGCCCGACCCGGACATACCAGCCATCTCGGCGAGGCTGGCGGGTGTCAAGCACAAGATCCTGGTTCTCAGCGGGAAGGGCGGCGTCGGGAAGTCCAGTATGACGAGTCTGTTGGCACATTCATTCGCGACGAATCCGGACAACACAATCGGGATCATGGATGCAGACATATGCGGACCGAGCATCCCCAAGATGATGGGCGTCGAGTCGGAGACGATCCATGTCAGTGGTGCGGGCTACTCACCCGTCTGGGTGCTTGACAACCTCGGCGTCATGTCCATCCAGTTCATGCTGCCGTCTCGCGACGATGCAATCATATGGCGAGGGCCCAAGAAGAACTGGCTGATTAAGCAATTCCTGAAGGATGTGGAATGGGGCGACTTGGACTTCCTTTTGATCGACACGCCGCCTGGCACTAGCGACGAGCATCTGAGCGTCAATGCTATGCTCAAGGAAAGCCACATAGATGGCGCGGTCATGGTCACAACGCCCCAGGAAGTGTCGTTGCTGGATGTGAGGCGCGAGATTGATTTCTGCCGCAAGGCCGGTATCAAGGTCCTGGGTCTCGTGGAGAACATGTCGGGATTCGTCTGCCCCAAGTGCACACACGAGAGCCAGATATTCCAAGCCACCACTGGAGGTGGCAAGGCGTTGGCCGAGGAGATGGACATCCCTTTCCTTGGCGCCGTCCCGCTGGACCCCCGCATCGGCATGGCTTGCGACTACGGCGAGAGCTTCTTCGACTCGTTCCCAGATAGCCCGGCGTGTAAAGCGCTGAAGGTGGTGGTGCAGCGACTTGCAGACCAGCTTGGTCTCGATGCGAAGGACGTCGTACCAAGCGACTAGATGGTGCATAATGATGGTGCATGTTCGGCGTTTTGGATTTCGGAGCATTGTTCGTATAAGGCATTAGAAGCAACCCAAATATGATACCCGTTTCATTCATGTCGAGGTAACTACAAGTCCTCATGGACAAAATATCCTCTGAAACCTTTTTCAAAAGACGGCACTATCCTCATGCGTGTTTACCGTTCAACTCACGCTCTCCCTCTCGCGTATTACCACCCATCTAAACTTTACTCCGCGCCTAGCTTCTGGGGTATCTCTTCCAAGTCGTCTGTTGATTCGAGATCAATCACCTTGCCAACCTCACTCGTGTTCCTCATCAGCTCCTTCGCGCCGGCGTAGAGCATGCGGAGCTCGCTGTTGCAGGTGATGGGGAGGTAGTAGAGCATGACGTAAGGGACAGACATGCGCCCGGACGGCTGCGTATAGAGATGCGAATGTCAGCAAAACGTTATTGTTTGGGTCGCAAGCACAGATGGAAACACGGAGTTGGGCTCTCTCCCTTACCAATGTCAATGGGTAGCTCAGCAGGATGAAGCGCGGGGAGTGGTCGGGCAAGTCATCGCCGATCTCCTCGAGGCTCGTGTACACTGTCTTGTCTTCGTCTTGACGGATCTCCTTGGTGTTCCTATCGATCATGTCTGCGCACGCGCGAAAGAAGGGGAGGTCAGTCGGTACAGAAACAAAAGCGTGGCGACACAGTCCCGACCGGAGCTCGGGCAGCATGGCCACCCCACACACCGGGACTAGGGGAGTACATACATATGACAGCTTGCGGGTTGTTTGCCCTAGAAGTCCCGAGACGGAACTTGCGCAGGTGGTCCTTGGTCTCCTGGGAGAAGGTGTACAGCCTGGCTTCGGAGCTCTAAGAGGGGAGAGGTCAGCTACCGTGGACTCGTTCCTGGCGATGCTTTGCTCTGGAGCAGTGAGGAGGGGTCTGCGCACCATTCTGACTGACTGCTTTGCTGGAGCTAATGCTGCTTTAGGTACGTACTGGAGTTGACGACGAGGCTGAGCAGATAGAGGAAACAATCCAGGTCTCTTTTTCAACACGCGGCTGTGTGAGGATTACGTAGTGATGCAAGTAGCCGGACAGATAAGCGTAGCAAGCTGAGCTTGTTGCGTCTGATCACCCCGCCATGCCATGCCGAGCTCCAGGTCCATCCCGCCTCTAGTCCTCCTACGGAATGCACTGGATCCACCTGCAGCGCCGATCTCAAGACCGATCGAGCAGTGCAATCCATCGAAGCCGTGAATCGTTGGAGAGTCAAAAAGGGAACTCCTTTCCCAAGTCTACTCAACCTACAATCCGAGAAAACTACGCAAACTTTGACACAACTTGTCAGAGGGGATCCGTGTGTGTCTGGCCCCCCTTGAGACGAGAGAAAGAGAGAGAGCAGCAGGTTCGAAAGAACAAATGTTTGCACGGCTCTCCCAGCTCGCCCGCCACCTGTCCCGACCCGTCCCCAACTTCACCCATACTTCGGCAGCGGCTTCGACCGCAGGCTTGGCAAGGAGCGGCATCATGGCGTCGTCGGCGTCGGCGGAAGAGCGCAACACGCGCGCCATACACACGGCCGCGTGCCTGATCATTGGCGATGAGGTCTTGGGCGGCAAGGTATTGCCTCTTCCCCCTTTCTCCCTCTCTCTCGGCAAGAAGAATTCCGCGCTAATGTATAAACTTATCCGGCCTACAACAGACGGTTGACGTCAGTGACTCTATTCCAAAGCATCGCGAGGTTGGCAGGCTGACCTGTTTGCATAGACCAATTCTGCGTACATGGCAAAATGGTGCTTCTCTTTAGGCATTGTAAGTTGCGAGTCTTGACTTGCTCGTCCCCCACCGTGTTCAACCCGGAATTGACTGTTGACCATGCCGTTGGTAATAGCAACTCAAGAGAGTCGAAGTTATCGAAGATGATGAGAGTGAGATCATAGAAGCCGTCCGTAGAATGAGTGATCGCTACGACTTTATTGTCACCAGGTGAGAATGTTGCCACAGTACGCTTTCTATCTATGAAATCCCGGATCTAACCTCATGCTCTCAGTGGTGGCATTGGACCCACGTAAGGATTGCCATCTACGGTACGCCATATCCAATGAACATCTCTAATGACAAGCAGGCACGACGACATTACCTATCAATCCATCGCGAAAGCTTTTGGGCTTCCCCTGAAGCTGTACGACGAAGCCTATGAGCGCATGAAGCGGCTGTCAAGACCTCACTCCTCGCAGCCCAACTTCAGCTGGGACGAAGACACGCCTGCAAGGAGGGCCAAGTTGAGGATGGTTGAGCTGCCAACGGATGAGTCTAGAGATCTCAAGAAGCAGTTCCTGTTCCCACGAGACGAGCTGTGGGTTCCCGTGGCAGTCGTCAACGGCAATGTCCACATTCTTCCCGGCATCCCTCGACTGTGTAGGCTTTGCCATGTTTCAGGACTCTTTCTTCATTTGTAGCTGATTTCTTTATAGTTGAGGCCCTTCTGGATGCACTCAAGCCGAGTATCGTCCCGCGGCTCACGGACCCGGAGGGCAAGGGCATCTGCCGTATCCTGGTCTCGACACCGATGGCGGAGAGCGCCGTCGCGGCATATCTGACGGATCTAGCCTCTAGGGTCGAGTCCAAAGGTGTCAAGGTGGGGAGCTATCCAAGATGGGAAAAGAAGACCAACACCGTGACGTTGGTCGGAAGGTGAGTGGGCATCGTGCACTCCATGCGGCCCTTACCCTAGGATCCCAGAGCTGACACATGCCCGGTCCTCCTCGACAGAGATCAAGCATTCCTCGAGAGCTTGGTGCCCGAGGTTGTCGAGAACGTGCAGGGAAAGAGGATCCTGGTTGAAGGAGAGGATGATGAGCCCTCGGAGCAATCCTAGCAGGACGATCATGGCGCGATGTCCACGGGGGCGTCTCATAACTACCTAGTCAGCAGAATATGGCGACCCCCACTGTGCACAAGGCTTGGCTTGTCAAGCTGGAGCTTCGTCTCGGAGACTCCGCTATGCAAATCGTCACAATTGGTTCAGCGCATGCTGTCTGTGAAACTGGAGCGCGGGGGTGGACGGTAGAGAAGCTTGATCGAATGTACTAGAGAAGTGTCGTCGTTTCATAAGATCGTGTCGAGTCTAGATGTGTGCAAGTGATCTGACCCACGTGGGCTAAGGGTCATTCTTATTGCCCGTTGGCTTTGTGCACGCGATGGAACTTCGGGATAGAAGAAAAGAAGAGAACCCCTACCTGTGGGGAAATCTATCTTTCTAGGCCAGGATAGGCACCTTGATCGCCCGTCGTTGACCAAGACCAACATCAACCTCGTTTCTCAGTAGGCGAGATTGCAGTAGATCCGAGTTGCATCGAATTCTTCTGGAAGAGATCCTCCCATGCTCCGTGGCTACCGAAGATGAGGATCCCCTTATGCAAAGGCAAGCAATCTAGGAATTGCTGGGTTCCTACGTATCGGCAGCGTCGGTATCTTTTTGATAGAGAGGTCCCTTTAGTTAAGCAAGACCAGCCCATCTACTCGTATCAAGCCCTGCTATTGAATGCTGTTTCGCGCCAGGGGTTTCCATGAAACAGTACTGAGAAAGGCAGCGAAGCGCGCGCGACGCACTACCCTGCGGTTGCTGGCCATGTTTCTTCAATTGGCCTGCTTCGTAATAAGTTGAAGAATACCTGGGCGAGATTACTAGTTGTGGCCCCCGTCGGCTCGAAACAAGAGTACACCCTCCCAGGTTCGCTTCTTTGCTTCATTTCCGTCCCATCTGCCACCACCTATCTGCTAAGTGCCATTCTTGCAGTCACTCGTTGCCTGTTCGAGCAATTGCTCCATGATCGCTTGCGACATCAAGGTGTGTGGTTGGCCTGGGTCTGAGTGCAACATACTACGTGCACACGCTCACCCTCTCTCACATGACGGACCAATGCCCATCAATGGTGAAGCACACAGCCAATCACGGGGAGTCGCTGCCCGTTTTGCCGCCATCGCCGGGCCTTCTTTTTGTGCTTGTATTGTCGGCGCGGCCTTTTTCCTCTCCCCCCCCTCTATCTGCTCAAACAGGCAAAGAAAGAGTCGCGGGACTGTGTGAGCCTATCCGGTGTCGAGACCAGACGGACGGCTGCCGAAAAGGTTCCATGTCGATCCGGGAGCAGCGGTGCATTGTACTTGTACGTAGCTCGATGGTGCATCCCAGCGCATTGCCGTCATTGATGCAGGTGCCAGAGCAGTTCTCGCCCGCTTGCAGGGAACCACCTGGCAAAGATAAAACACTGACACGACCAGATGCATGAGCTACAACCATTGTACCTGTACCGGCAGGGGATCCACAGAAGGCTTGAGCTTCCCCCGGGATTCGTTAGAGGTTGAGCTCCGCTCTGGGCTGGCTGGCTGCTGAGCGGCGTCGCAGAAATGCAACTTCAACGGGCATTGCAACCTGCTAAGAGACTTGCCGGTGGCCATGAGGTAGTGGGATCGCCCATCTGGAGGATGAAACCGGGCAAGAGGAGCGGAAACAAGGGCTGTAGGTTGGTTATGTAGGTAGGTACAAGTAGGAATATCGTCGGCCAGCTGCAAGACCGATGGCAGCAAGCTTGCAGTGTCCAATTCCAAGTAGTTCAACAGAAGGATGCCAAGTGCCATCACGACGGAGTCGATAACCACAACCCAGGCGCTTGGCCGATGATCAAATTACGGAGTAGAGATCTTGGGCCAATGTCGCCTGATGTGAATGGTGCTCCATAGTTTAATAGGGGTTGTGGGCAAACGGATCACGCATTTTGCGCGCTTAGGTGGTTCCGTTTCATTGAACAGCTCTCAGTTCTCGTATCGACGGACTCTGCGGTCTTCTACGGAGCAACTACCTGCTTCAGACGTCGAGATGGAGGATCATAATCTTGTGCACATGTCCTTTTACATCCCGTCCTACCTACGTATGGACAAACATGCCGTCAGGTGCTGCTCGTTGACTCGTACCTGGCATGGAGGACACGGCATGCGGACTTGTATTTCAGGGCAGACATGTGTACATTGCACACCCACATGCATTCGTGCCTTACTAGGACCTTCTTCCGAGCCGATAAGGGGCTTCTTCCGTCGTCAGCTTCCGTATTATCGTTCCTTTGCGTCGAGCTGAATAAATAACCGTTGTGTTGCCCAGAAGCGCCAAGTCAGGAGACCTGGACGGACATACATACAATACATCAGGTCAGGGTTTAATAAGATGTATTGTAGCGTTGGTGGGAGACAGGGACAGGCATTGTAGCGTAGGGCCCTTGGGTAGATTGCAGGCTTGCCATGGCGGTTGTATGTATGTCATGTTTTGACCAACGCCACCAACCAAGCCGAGAGATATGGCGACTTTGTCAAGCCTTTCTTCCACATGTAATTACTTTTCTCTCGATTAGCTTTGGAAACCAAGAGCCTGGTACCTCAGAGTCTGTCGGGTCCGGCCGAGAATGTCCCAGGGTACCGGCCTGAAACACATGCAGGCGGGTGAGTGCTCAGTACCTCGTGTCGGTATGTACTTTCAACTCTAAATGAGCACCTCGACAACAGTCACAGACAGCAGTTTATGCACAAGTAGCCTGCAGAATAAGAGTCGAGCGGTGTGCATTCTTTCTCGCCGGTTGCGTCTCAAGTACAAGTAACTAGAGGAACAAAGAACAGGGTACCTAGGTAGATAGATTGGCTGTCAACCAAGGAGGCAAGCAAGCAGCACCACCATAAATAAGGTAGGCTGTCATTGTCATCTCTCACGGGAAGAGGAGGCAGTCTATTGCGCCTTTGCTAAGGGTATTAAGTAAGTCCATACATACAGTAAGCGCGCACACCTTCAGCTCGCCTTTCCACAGACGAGTCCCAGCGTCCCTGTAGATGTAGTTATGTACACATGCTGAGATGTGCTACCTATCCTGCGGTGGTGGTGGGTGGTGCTGCTGCTCTTCTTGCATGTTTTCCCCACCATGGACAAGGGGGACGACGAAATTCCACTGATCGCTACCACAGAGACCGGAAAGTGACTTAGCGACCCTAGGTGATTTAGCAATGCCTGAAGGGGCCTAGAAGAGAGGGAAGGCCACGCCAGAACTGGAGAAGGCCCGCCGCCCGGACCCGGCAATTTTCTCCACACCAGCAAGCAGTTGTTTTGGCCCTCCACTACCCTCCTGAGCAAGAGGGGAGCTAAAACGGATGCGGCAGAAAGAGAGGAGAGAGGAAGAAGAAGAAGGAGAAGGGACAAAAAAGTGACAGGGAGAACAGACCAAGTCCAAACTAGAGGATCGCCGCCTGTGCTGCTGCTGCTGCTTCTGCTGCTTGCGCTCGCTTCTTCCCATTCTCAAATCCCAGTCCATCCCAGTTCATCACCCCGTCGGAATCAGAACCTTCTCCATACCTTGCCTCTACTCCCGACCTAGGCCTAACCCAGGAGTGACAGGAGGTACCTCACCGGGTATCCAGCAAAAAGATCCTCAACCACTGCTTATCGTTCTTTCACTTCCCGTTCACTTCGGCGTGTCTCTCTCTCTCTCTCTACCTACTCGCCCACGACCAAACCACCACCACCACCACCTTTGTACCGACGATAATTACTTTCCGATCACCGCTTTGCCCTCCATCCCCTCCCCTCTGACAATCCCGCATCAATCCTACCAAGACTGCGGTCGAGATCTCAGCAAAGCAGCAGCTTCGCTTTTTCTCCAGGCGACACAACGACGACCCTGAGCCTCCGCTCGAAGCGTGTTCGGTCCCTCCCCCCCTTGTTCTGCTTGTCCGTCGGTTGTTCAGCAGCAGCCACAAATCATCAGCACGATGGCTTCAAAGGTACGCTTGGCATGCGACTTGCCTCCCCCATCGGCCCCAATCCTCGACTCGTTTTGTGTGTTCAATTGCTTATTCTCACCCTCCCGGCCGCTGACCTGCAGGCACAACAGTTCCTGCGAGAGTACAAACTGGTGGTCGTCGGTGGAGGTGGCGTCGGTAAATCGTGCTTGACCATTCAATTAATCCAGAGCCACTTCGTCGACGAATATGATCCTACCATTGAGGGTGCGTCTTACCTGACCTTTCTTGCGCTTGTGTCGCTCCTGCGCCTCCCCCCTGACAACAGCTCTAATTGATTTGTGCGTCCAGACTCGTACCGCAAGCAGTGCGTTATCGACGACGAGGTCGCCCTTCTCGATGTGCTCGACACCGCCGGCCAGGAGGAGTACTCGGCGATGCGCGAGCAGTACATGCGAACGGGCGAGGGTTTCCTGCTAGTCTACTCCATCACGTCACGACAGAGCTTTGAGGAGATCACCACCTTCCAGCAACAGATCCTGAGAGTCAAGGACAAGGACTACTTCCCCATGGTTGTGGTCGGCAACAAGTGCGATCTTGAGAGCGAGCGGGAGGTCACCAGAGCTGGTACGTTGAACCGATTTCCTTGACTTCTCATCCATCCCATGCGCATCGAGTTCCTCGTACTGACCAAATCGCACCACAGAGGGTGAGCAGCTGGCGAAATCATTCGGCTGCAAGTTCATTGAGACTTCGGCCAAGTCGCGCATCAACGTCGACAAGGCTTTCTACGATATCGTCCGCGAGATCCGAAGGTACAACCGCGAGATGCAGGGCTACTCAACCGGCAGCGGCGTGTCCAACAACGGCGGCCCCGTCAACAAGATGGAGGTCAGCGACAACGACACCGAGGCTGGCTGCTGCTCCAAGTGCGTCATCATGTAAAGCATGGAGCGACACATGGGTGCGAGGAGGAGGACAAGGCTGTTTTGGGGAGGATGAGCGGCTACGAAAAGTGGTGCGGTGCAAAAGGCGACTATGAGCATTGTGCGGAGGAAGTAGTGCCAGCAGCCGAGCAAAATGTGTGGTGCTCAGGATCGAGGAGGAGGCTAGGAGGTGGAAACATCTTTTTTGCATGGGTCCTGGAGTCGAAACTTTTCCAGTCTAGTGGCTGCAAGATATGTGATGCGGCGTGAGGGTGCTGCGATTCACAGGTCTTGGCCATTGGCATCACACGGCAGACACAGCCTTTTTTTTCTTGTTGATTCTCTTTTGTCTGTCTGTCTGTCTGTCTCTGTCTAGGATTATGAATATCCATCCTTGTCCAGAGCTCGCGTCAACTCGGCTGGGTTGATCACCCTGTTAGAAGGACGTTATTTGAACTAATCCTTTATTCTTTTTTCGTGTGAATATCTGGCCCCCCCCTTCTCTTGTTGATTCGGTGACTCGGTCTCTCCGTGCAAGTTCCGACACCTCGGAAATGCTGGCTAGAATATGTGAGTTCCTTTCGGTCCAAACCCTAAGCTTTCTCATCCTAGAGTCCAGTCTAACAAATGGAGTGGTTATCAAGAATGCTTTGGACGCTTCCCTCACATAGGCATACCCTGGATGCCTATCAACGAGGAGATGCAGTGAACCGACAGCCCTCCTGCAGATCATTGTTTGGTCGTGGGTATCAGTTTGGCAGCTGTCCCAAGGCGCTGGCAATCAGGCCTATTCTATCACCTATAATGATATCCAGGCCGGCTTCGTCTTGAGCCTAGATGAAAGAAGGCCGGTCAGTCAGTATATGATGCAAAAGGGTTCAAATTTCTAGACGAGTAGGCGAGAAGACGATCCCCCCCACGGGCTCTCCCACGCAGACTCGCCTACCTTGACGTTCTCGGGCACATTGTTGAGCTGGCCGTACGAGGCGCACACGAGCCCGGCGCCCTGCACGTACCGCACGAGCCGCGGGCAGAGCAGCAGCGCGTCGGCCAGGAAGACGACGCCCGCGAGCCCCCACCGGCGGGCGAACCGCACGGCGGCCTGCGGGCTCGCGGCGCGGACCTCGGCGTCGGCGGCGGGCAGCTTGCCGGCGCTGGTGATGAAGAGGACCGGGTAGGCGGACTGCTTGGCGGCGAGGAGGATGCAGACCTCGGGCGTGAAGGAGGAGAGGAAGATGGGCCGCCGCCGGCGGCGGGGCTCGTCGCTGCTAGAGGAGGAGGAGGAGGAGGAGGAGGAGGCGGGGTGGGAGCGGAAGATGCGGGACAGGGCCGTGTCGACGAAGGCGTTGAGCTCGATGGCTATCGGGGAGAGGTTGGCGCTCAGGGCCTCGTGGAGGCGCGGGTATTCTGTTTTTGTATGTTGGGATGAGAAAGCTGGACGTCTTATCTCGGGGAAGGGGTCTGTGGCTATTCATTCTTACTGAACTCGATGTCAAAGGCTACAGACGGGGGCAGCTTGACGAGCAGCTCGTCGAGCGTGGTGAAGGACTCCTGGATGAAGCCGTCCCGGGTGTTGGACACGAACCCCTTGTTCTTGAAGCCGATTGTGTGCCTCATCCTGTTGCGCGCGTGCACGCTCGCCTCGTGCTCCTTCGCCACGGACCAGGACCGGGGCTTGGTGCGCACGATGCCGCCGTTCGCTTCCGAGACGACGACGTCCTCGCTGCCGCCTGCGTCCCCGGCACCGCTGCCGCGGGGGTCTGCATCGCCGTCCGGCGACTGCATCTTGCTCGCGTAGGTGAACTGCGCGAGCGACAGGTCGTGGACGGGGATGTCGGTCCCGGTCTCGCTGAGCGAGTAGTCGTGGTAGACGACGGCCTCGTGGTCCCTGGTGACCTGGACGTCGAACTCGACGCCCCAGGCCCCGAGCTGCGCGGCCGACAGGAAGGACTGGACCGTGTTCTCGCCGAGCTGGAGGTAACCCCCGGCCTGGATGTTCATCCCGAGGCCCCGGTGGCCCATGAGCCGCATCGGGCCGTCTCCTCTCCTCAGGGTGAGGCCCATAGGTGGCGGGATGGCTGTCTCGGCGTAGGGCCGGGCGATTGTGTACGTGAACGTCACCGTGCCGAGCATGTTGCTGCTGTCGTCGTGGGCCAGCATGGGCACCGTATGCATCCTGATCATGCTCTGCCGCTTCTCTCCGAAGCGTAGGTTCGGGTCCTCCAGGAGGCAGGTGCCGCTGCAGATCGGTCCGGGTCTCTCTTCCCGAGTCTCATCTTTGAAGACCTTGAAGGTGACTCGAAGCGGCGATGATTCGGGCTCCTCCACGGAGAATTCGAACGGTTCGTCGATCGTGTCGTGTAAAATCGGGAGTTTGACACGCTGGCTTCCTCCCACAGCACCAAAAACAGAGACATCCAGAGTATACTTGCCCCTGTTGTGTCCGACAGAGATATCCGAAGAGGTCCTGTCTAGATCAACTGCTGTGACATCCCACCCTCTTCGAGTGGCGCCAAGATTGATCAGAACAAGACAACGGCTTGACAGTGGCTCTCTGCTGGCATCCCGGAGGCGATAACATCCCGCCTTTGCTGGTCCATCGTTTATGTCGAGAGGTCCCTCAACGTTCAACAGCTCTGCCACGTGTAAGTAGCCCTTCAGGGCAGCATGTTCCCGAGCAGTCCAGCCCTGTTTGTCCAAGATCGATGAATCCGCGCCGCTGTCCAGGAGCCGTCTAACTATCCCAACATGGCCAGTCCTTGCGGCAACGAACAACGCTGTCCATCCATTGCTGCTGTCAGGCACGTCAATGTTTCTATCCCTCTTCATTTCAGACATGGCGGCCAGGATCGACTTGACATAGTCCTCCCGTGCCATCCGACAGGCAAGTAAAAGGGCCGTGTCCCCAAGACTTCCGCGCTTTCCTAGATCGACAAGTTTGCTGGACAGTAGCCTCAGGAAGGCTTGGTCTCTTTGGAGACTTATTGCAAGGCGGAGGTGCTCCGTCAATGACTCTATCAAGTCTGCTGACGTCGAAACTTGTGGCGACTTTGCATGTTTCTCGAAAATACCGAGTATGAGCTCGACGATGTCCATATGGCCAGCGATGATCGCATACGATAATGGTGTGTGTCCCACCGCGTCCCAAGCCAAAAGGGCTTTTACTAGGCCCGTCGTTGTTTGCAACCTTTGAGGGGTGAGGTTGATGACCCGTCGGAAAGCAGCCACATGTCCGCATCTAGCCATGTAGTGGACAGAGCTCCGCCCAAAATTGTCTATGCTGGAAACCAGCCCTGCTGTGTGTTCGGCGGAGGAATTCAAGGCCTCTAGAAGCTGGTCTAGGCATGCGGTGGCTGTTGCGTCGTGATTTCGAGCAGCCTCAGCCCTCTCTGGGTCGGTATCAGCGACAGCCTCTTTGCGGCCGACGATCTTGATCCACCGAAGGAAGTCATCGATTCCCAACTGCGATCCGGTGACTACCTCTTCCCTTGTCAGCAACAATCGCAGAACTTTTGTGGCGTCGAAGATTAGCGCCAGTTCAATGATACGGTTGTAAATGACTTTGAGGCCCCCGTCCATGTCAAGTTCCCTTACGGTGGGCGAATTGAGCAATTCCTGGACTGCTACTGTCGAATCCAACCTGATGGCCTCATACATCGACCGGCCAATCGCCGAGAAGGCTGGGAAGCGAGTTTCGAGCTGAGATAAAAGCAAAGAGCACTCGTCAGTTCTGTGCCCCGGAGACTCCCGCAGCGCAGCTCTGACATAGTTCAGAGTCTCTGCCAACGGGGCTCTTTGGTCAGAGAGCCCCCCCAAGCTGTTCCGAAGCTCACTCCATCGAGCCTTCAGACCGAAGCCGGCGGATTGCAGACTCCCATCCAGCCTGTCGAGCTTCAGACATAGCTTGTGGGCAGCTTCGTCGTTCACTCGCAAGAACCAGTCCAGTTGCTGCCGGCTCGTGTCGAGCTCTTGTGCCCACGCCTGGACAGCTCGGAGTTCGCGGCGGTCCACTCCTTGGTAGTGCCGTGGGGATGTTGGGAGGCCATAAACGTCTTTGAATTCCCCAATTCCTTTGACGAGCAAGTCATGTTGTTGACTATAAAACTCGCCAACAGTTTCGAAGCTGATTTCTATTGCCGAGACGAGGTTCGCTTCTCCATGTTAGTAAAATAGGCGTGTCTGAGTAATGAAAACAAAGCCATGGTGTGTGTAGAACATCCAGTACCTTGTCCCGACGCATCGTCACGACACCCCAGCTGCTTGATGGCAGCCTTGAACCGGCCATAATCCACGTAATAAGCTTCCCAGCCCGGCACCACAAACGTATGGAATCGCTGACCAAACTTCATCGTCTCAGTGTGCAAACCAACCGCAGCCGCCGAGTCAAGGGAGCGGTGACATCCAGAGCGAAGAATAAGTAAATACCGGGCATCCTCCCCCGCACGAAGAATCACGCGATCCCATGAGTTGGCATTCCCCTCAAAATCTCCGCACGCACGCAGGGACATACATACGTCTGCAGGAGAGCCGCTACGGTGGGCCGATGACCGGGGTCCGAACGAGCCGGCGCCGGCGCCAAAGCAGCGGCCGTTGTTCGGCGTCGGGCTGGCGTCTCATTACGTGATGAAAATTACCTACCAAAGAGGATTATGGAGCATAGTTCGATCTCCGAGGCAGGTATAAACACTCCCGACATAACACTCGTTATATCATTACATGAAATAGAAGATCGTTTGTTGTTAGGATAAATGGAATAGATGATGATGCTAAGAGATTGGGTTGGAGAGCATTGGCCAAAACCCATAGCGACAGAGTCACACACAGATGCGCATCAACGAACCAGGAGGAATATATCAAACAAACTCCCATGCCTCCTCGAGTGGGCTATATTAAGATTTAGACATGAATGTAGCGAAGAAGTAATTACGCATCCAGCACCTCCCTTTTCCTCAAATTAATACCAGCACGCCCCTATATTTACTTACTGCGGGTCGGAACAATGACAAGAAAAGGAGTAGTCCACGCCTGCCGGTGGACTTGTCGTCTGAAAGGAGCGAAAGGGGTATCTAGGTCAATAAAAAGGCAGTTCCCGCCTACTGCAACGTCCGCCCAGCCAAACCCCGAGACAAAAGGGCCATGCACGGAAGTTATGCGATAGCCGCGGAGAAAATTGTCTGAGCGAGGGCGGAGGATTGAAACAAGGACGATCATTCTCGTAGAAGTCTGACATCAGGTCCTTGCTCATAGAAGTAGAAGAGAGAGCGTGAGAGACACAAAGGCTGCAGCCACGGAGGACGGCTGCAGGCGCACCGCAAAGGCGGTTGGGAGTGTAGCAGGTCCCGACGTGGTACCGGTTGGCGGATGTGTGCCAGTTCCAATGCCGGAAGCACCGCCCGTGCCGGTGGACCCCGAACCAGAACCAGTACCAGAACCAGAGCTTGACCCTGGCCCTGAGGAGGTGGCTGACGATGTCCCTGAAGAAGTCTGATTCGACGATCCTGGGCCTCCGATGGGTGATGCAGCTGATGTAGTCGTGCCGGGCGGGCTTTCAGTTGCGGAAGTACCAGTCGTGGATGATGGCTTGTTTTCACCCGGCAGAGTGGTCTCTGTGGTAGAGGTGGTACCAGTACTTGTCGAGGAACCACCTCCCGTCCCAGTGGATGTTGTCGACGACCCTGCTCCAGTACTAGTCGTGGCAGTGGTTGGAGTTGTCGTATCAGTTGGGACTGAGGGACTGCTGGAGGCTGGAGGCGAAGATTGTTCCGATGTAGACGGTATGGGTGAGGGAGGCTGTGTGGTAGACGAAGGCGAGGCTGGGGGTGAGGTGCTGGGTGGGCTTGAAGTAGTCGGCGGAATCAAACTCGTACTGCCCTCGGTACTTGGCTGCCCCTGCGGCGTTGTCTGAGCCGGCGGTGCGCTGCTCTGTTGGCCTTGAGGCGTGGTGGCGGATGTTGCTTGCGACTGGGGAGGCGTAGCTTCACAATAGCCGATATATTGAGCAAACGCTTCTGGGAGAGTCTTCTTGTCGGTCAATTTCGTTGGATCACTGTTATCAGACTGGCACTTCAAGCAATTGTCGTGATACTCCAAAAAGGCAGAGCCGTTATTGCATAATTCAGGGACCTTGCCACGGCGCAAAGCCTCCATATACGCATCATTGCAGATATCAAAACACACAGCAGGCACGATCGTATCATCGCGCTTGCGCAATTGAGAGCGTGGCACCTTATAACCATATGACCCGTAGTTTGTAGGATACGAGGGTACTGTTGATGTCGAAGACGATGTCGATGTCGTTAATGGCCAGTGGGAATACGTTGCCTGCGATGCCCAGTTCCCAGTCGTGATCGTGGTGAGGCGGTCACCAATGCGCTCAACTATGACCTCTTCTTCAAAGATATCATAGCTGAGGCCAAACGCTGGGGGCGGGAGAGGGTAGTAGCCTTGGGGCAGGGGGAAATGCCCTGTCTCGCCCGGAGGCCACAGGACGAGCTCATAGTCCGGGGCGGGCATGCAGCAGCCAGGATTGCAAACATAATTGTCCGCTGGAGGGCCTTCCCAAGTATTGCAGCCCTGTGGTTTGGGCGGGTTGCAGATATAACCCGGAGGGCAGCCCCATGTGAGGTTCGATTTCACATCAAAGACGGGATTGAATCCGGGACTGTTGGTTGGCGCCGGACAGACCACGACTGAGCTGATTACTGAAGTAGTCAAAGTCTCAGTACGCGGCTCCTCCGTGATCGTGCGAGTCACAGTGATAGTGGACGCAGGAAGAGTCCGGATAATGGTGGTCCCGGCTTCGGTGACAGTCGTTGTCACCGGCGGGACGATCGAGATCGACGTCTCGATACGTGTGGTTCCTGGCTGCGTGATCGTAGGGCCGGGCGCCGTCACGACCGTCGTGTAGCTGTTCGTCATTGTGCTGTACTCTGTGGTGTAGATTGTTGAGTCGCTGATGACGGTGACTGGGTAACTGGTTGTCAACACTGAAGTCTCGACCACCGTGGTACCGGGCAAAGTGGTCGTCGGGCCAGGAGCAGTAACGATAGTGCTATAGGTGTTGGTCAAAGTACTGTACTCTGTCCGATAGATGGTGGACGAGGTGGTGTGGTCACTAATGACTGTCACGGGATAGCTTGTGGTGAGCACCGACGTAGAGTAGTAAGTTGTGGGCACATAGTCTGTTGTCGTCTTTGTCGCCGTCGTGCGTTTTGTCGTGGGCACATAGTCAGTCGTATGGATATATTTGGTGCTTGTAGAGACTGAAGTATAGTTGTGGGTGACCTGAGTCTGTCAATGGCTGTCAACTTCTCTTGCTGCCGGAGACTATTGCTTACGGTTTCAGTGACGGTACAGTATTCCGTAGTTGTCACTGTGCAGTACTCTGTCGTCGTGGTCGTCTTCGTTTTCCACGCACAGTTTTCCTCGCAGTAGGGATCAGGCGGACAGTAATCGCATTCGGCCTTGGGCGGCTGCGCATTCTTGTTGGCCGACTCGGTCTGGTTCCCTCGGGGGTAGAGCTGCTCATCCGCCGCGCAGACATTGCCGAGCAGCAGGGCCCCTACAGCCAGAAACAGGCGCACTCGAGCCATTGTCTTCGTAGTGCTTCAAGAGTGAAGCCACGTGATGAAGCGAGTGAGAAGTTCCCTGATTCCAGAAAACGAATGTGAGGTGGCTTGGCTACCCGTGGGAGAGAGGAAGGGGAGGAGGGGGGAGCTGGGAACATATCTACGGGAAGGAGAGCTTGTGCCTGGCGATCATAAGTAGGAGACAGGGCCCAGGAGGACAAATCATTGCTCGGAGCTGAGCTGTCGAGGCGACTGTGACAGGTAAGCTTGATAGTATGCGTGCGTCGGCCGACGATCCACATTGGTAACTCTCCATATTACGGCCCAGCCAGGGTACACTGGGCCATGCCCGGTAGCATCGCCGGCTTCGTCCTGTCAGACAGTCGGCCATGGCGTACATGGATGTCCCGAGAGAAGAGTCCGCGCGTGGGATGGCGGGATTCGCGCATCGCATGGCGGCGAACAAGAAGGTGTGGGGATACGATGCCGCACCAGAAAGACGAGGACTGATCCAATCAAGGCCGATATTGGTGCGACTACAGGACGACCCGGATCCATGCTGCATATGTACATGCTGACCCGCTGGATGCATGGTCACTTGTTGTGACTGGAAAAGTGAGCAAGCAAACAGGAAGCACACTTGGGTTTTTCCCCGCCCGAGGCTGAGGCGGCACGCATTCACATTGGCTGTCCATCAGGACAAAAACGTCAGCAAGCCCCGAGGACTTGCACTTGTCGTGTCCATGTCCATCCGCTTCTTGCGGCTGGGTCCGGAGTGCCTTGATTGATAGAATCAAGGCCGAGGGTATCTGGTGAAAGCACAGCACAGCTCCTGCTCTCCTCCTACTACTGTAGAGAGAGGCATATACAACCAGCCCGGATATCTCTTGCATATGTTTTATTAGCCATTGAGACAGGTGACTTCTGCATTAGACATGACCTAACAAGCAGTCACTTGTACTGCTGTTGTCGGACGCTCTCGGCAAGATGGAAATGTAGGACTCTCCCAGCCGGATCCGGGGGGGGGGGGGGGGGGGGGGGGTACCGCAGTGCATTGCGGCCGGATTTGGCCTTGAGGTTGTGCTTGTCGAGACCAGCAAGCCGATCATGCCAAGCCTGGCTATCGAAGTATTGACAAACGGCCCAGCCTGCAGGGATTAGCTGCCCGAATCGAGCAGGTGGGGGATGGAGAGTGGAAGACCGTTGACCAAACGGAATGGTAAGCGGTGGAGAAGTGCAAGGATTGTGCTGACAGCAGCAGAAGAGAAAAGAGCAGACGTGATGCCCGGATGGCAACGTGCAACTTTGCACCTCGATCTAGTCATGCTCCGGCACGTTGACCATAGACCTTCCGCGTGAACCGTTCCAAGCCTCAATGGCTTCTATGAGCACTCGTGAGACGTCGTTTGAAAAGCCCATGCATGCTCACGACAGACACGAAGGACGGTGGACACGGAGGGGTCTCACACACAATCAGAGAGAGAGAGGAGAGGAGAGGAGAGAGGCCGTGTGGCAAGATGGAAGACAAAGGACGGACGGGGACTCATCGGCTGACGGCCCTCTTCTCTCGTCCTCAACAACAAGGGGTCCTTAGTAACGGTGGCCACGCAAACCTCGATACGGAGGCCTAGCCCCTCGTAAAAGATGGCCCGGGGACAAAAGCCAACGCAGGCCGGGATGTGAACGATGGGAGAGGAGAGAGTTCAATGTTGCAGGCGGAAGAAGATGGTGTGGGTGTGGTTGGAAAAAGGTTTCTAGTGAGCTTGTCAACTTGTCTAGGCCCGGCCGCTAGAGGAGAAAGAACTGGAGCGATTACTATGTAGCTACCTAGGTACCTACAGTTACCTAAGTTAGTGGACGAGTCCGTTGGAAACGGTGGACAAGGTGGGGAGGGGACATTCAGCAACTGCCCACCGCCACGGCGAAGTTGAATCTTCATCCATGTTCCTCCACTGTCCAGTCTCAATGCTATGTGCTGGACTATCGCGGGCGTTGATTGATCCGGCTCGATGAGCGAGTGCTACCCCAGCCTCCCGTGGTGTGTTACCTTCACACTATTGAATCTGCTGCTCGACCCGTGGACGGCACAAACATTCGCAGAAAAGCATCCGCCGCCCCGCGCAACCTCGGAATGCTGTCATCAGCAGATTGGTCGATGCGCGACACCGCCTGTTACCAGTTGGGCGAAATCTACGCCTATCCCTGACGGTGAGATGCAACGGTACTTGGAGAGAGAGCCCGCCTCCAGCCAAGCCAGCCTCACACTCGCACAGCTCTCTCCACGCTTCCCACCGTTTCTTTCGTCTTCATCAATCTCTCTCTGGCCGAGGAGAGGGGGCTTTGATGGCTTGACCTGCCCTGGTCAGTGCAATTGCTTGCCTAGCACCACGATTTCAGGCACAAATGCACTGTTGTCCTACAGACGATGAGTTCGAATATGGATAATTCTACATCCCAAGCACGACCTGCTTGCGGGTTGCCTTCCCAGGTCTTCGCCTAGGCTCGGCAAGGGCTGCATGCAGGAAGACAGGCGGTCACCGGCCGGGAAGAGGACCTTCTGCCTGTCCCTACCCTTTCCTTTTCCTCTCCTCCGTTCTCCCCAGCACCAAGCTCAAAAGCGACGAGGCTCTCCCCTGCTTCTCTGCCTTTGTTGCGTTGCAAGCCCGCCCACACCTACTCCACCTGGCTGCTTTGTTGGCCTGCCGTCTGCAGCACAAAAAGCATGCATCCTGCAAGCCAACGTGCTCACGACCCGGAGGTCCCCGCGAATCTCGATGTCAGACCTAGTGGTCAATGGTGCTGATGCTTATTCGCGCAGTGCTGCGTGCGTGTGTGTGCTGCACAGTACGTATGTGTGCGTCCCTCGTTGCCCCGGCCATACGAGCATCCCATCGTTCCACCCGCATCAATGTGCTTTTGCTGCACCTCGAGTCGGCTCGCTGTTACCGTAACACTCATCTTTTTTGCCGTTGCATGGCGACCTGCGATCGGCCAGGTACCTTCCCTATTGATGTGCTTCTCTGAGATGCAGCCAGCCATTGATGGCATGACCGCCGGAGTATCTCGACGGCTCTCCCTCTTCTCTCTAGAGTGCGACAAGCGGTCCATGAGATCGTCAAGCAAAGAGTTTTGGAAAAGGTCGCACAGAGATGCAGATGTTTTACACCCACGACTCAGGATCGTACAACCCCGTATCTTCCCTGTTTTGGTTTGATTAGAAAAGTGCAGCAGCCTGCCGATACATCCCATCATCGCCTGCTTGTGCTCATCGCTTCGCTGCCCGCAGTGGGAAGTTAGGCTACGTAGAAAGGGAGAAGCAGCTCTTGTACCTCTCTCTAAGATGACTGAGAAGGCTGCTCTCCTCGAGGAGCGGGGTCGATGCATTGAATGGTCATCAAGTCGCCTGCACTGCCTTGGTAGGCGGGTGGGAAAGGCAAACAATGCTCTCTACTGCGATGTTGCCTGGTCTAGGATAGCAGTCAGCCCAGTCAGTGTTACCTTGGCTCCGAAGCTCTGTGGTCCCTTCGGCTCACAATGGACAGTATTCCGCCGACCACCAGTATGTCTGCATGGCTTCTTGGGACCAATCACAAATGCAGGCATTCCAGGCCAAGCCATGGGTATCGGACACCCTCGCCACCATCTCTTGCACCCATAGCTGACTGAGTGCACAGAAGCTGACATTGGTGGGGACGCATCTGGGGGAGGGCCTTTCATGAAAGAGATGTGCAAGACATCCGATGGAGTTGCCCAGATAATCCTGCAAACATTGCGCTTCTGTTAGATCTAATGCTGGAGACGCCCATGACTGAGTCTTTGTTCAACGAGCACCTGGACCAGCATTTGCCACATTGGCTGTAGGAAGCGTTTCGCGATACTCGCCAACGAGGACTCGACATGAGGCTGAGACGGTCCTGTGCCATCCATACCTGACTCCCTCATCCTCCTTGGGCCCTACAGTCGCCAGCCCTTCAATTCATTCTTTTCCTCTCGTCATTTGTTCAAGGTCACTCTATGGAAGCTGCTTTTGGGGCATACAGCAAGTCCATGTTCTAGAATCTGGCATCGAAAAGGCCCGGCGGCATATAAGTTAAAGCTCTGCCGAGCCAGCGACACGCTTGAAAACCCACAGAATCTGTCACTTGACCGACTCTGTCAGTCCGGTCTGGATCTAAATGCGCCTTTATGACCATAACCTTTGGTTTCCATCATGAAATACTCGTGGTTGACAGGCGCTGCATTGGCGATTGTGGCGCCGGCATTGGCGCAACAAGGAAGATGGATCAAAGATCAAGTTAACGCGACAATGTGCTATTGGGAGCAACCACGAGGTTGGTCTTGAAATTCCATCCACAATACCGATCTAGGCAGCTTGCTTATCGTTATAGCCATGGTAATGCGCGATACACTATACATTGACGGAGGTGCGCTTTGGTGGCGCCCTGGCATGATCGACGGCTCTTATGGACAGCCCACGAACGATGGTTGGTAACGCACAATATCTGTCGCTTCGTATATAAACTGAACATGTCGCTATAGGGAATCCTCTGAGCTTAGTGTATCGGCTTAACTTCAGCCACCCTTTCAACACCACGCAGAATATCAGCGCGATCCTGGACACCTTATCCAAGACGGGCGGCGGCGGGGCAGGGAATAATATCGCCCCTACCTATCTCGATGGCGCGATGTTAGGCAATGACGCCGAGTGGTTTCTCTACGGGGGTGTTACGAGGAAGACCGATGCTTTTGAGCAAAGGCCTAGTACTGATATCCTCGAATACGAGGCCTTTGCGTATGGCGTTGACAACCTCGTCACTCCTGGCTTCTTGTTTCGATCTCTCACTGCCAACGTAACTCGCTATCTGGCGTATGGAGCCGGTGCAAATGCACCGTCCGAGAACAAGGCGTGGTACTTCTCGGGGATGCATTCTCCCACGTTTGAAGAGTTCTTCACCGTGGGCGCCAGGCCGGCGGCTACCAACGTGTCCAACACCCTCATTACCCTTGATATGACCAGGCAGGGGTTTGAAAGATGGACAAACGATACACTGACGGGCGGTGTCCAAGGACGAGCTAATCCTGAGCTCGTATGGGTCCCTGTTGGAAAGCAGGGGATACTCGTTGCCATTGGCGGAGTGGTCTACCCTGATTTCCTAGATACATCCGCAAAGTCGCCCAACAAGACGGGAAGCGAGTCAGAGAGCCCCAAGTTCTTGTCGACGATCGACATCTACGACGTAGCAAGCAAGAACTGGTATCAGCAAGAGACGACTGGCGGACCATCCACTGGTCTTACCAGGGGCTGTGCCGTCGTAGCTCCGGCGCAAGACAACTCCAGCTTCAATATATACTGGTATGGGGGGTACAGTGGTATCAGTGGGACTGACCCCTTCAGCGACGAAGTCTGGGTCCTCTCTCTTCCAAGTTTCGTATGGAAACGAATCTCCGAGGGCAAGCCAGGCCATGGGAGAGCCGGCCACAAATGTTTCCTGCCCTATCCGGACCAACTGATGGTAGTAGGCGGCTATCCGTCCAAGTCCACCAGCAACTGTGTCGATGGTGGCATCATACAATTCTTCAACTTGAACACGAATTCGTGGCAAACCTCCTACGATCCCGCCACATGGAGCAAATATGAAGTCCCAGAGGCGTTATACAAGGTTATCGGGGGCTCAAAGACGGGGGCCGCCACCATGACCACGCCGACGCCCTCGGGATGGACAAACGGCGATCTATCCAAGGTGTTCGCTTCGCCATACCCCTACTCGAAAATCAAGGCTTACTATCCATACCCATCTGTTGGTCCCGACAAGAACGCCACCAATCCCAACCTTCCCCAGAAGGACAACGGCTCAGGCGTGCCCAAGTTCCTACCGCCTCTTCTGGGCGTCATATGCGGCCTCATGCTGGTCACGGCCATTGCGGTGGGCATACTGCTCTACAGGCGCCGCAACCTTATCAAAAAGAACCCGAACCAGAGCGAGAGAGGCTCAGAAGACCCCGGCAACAGGATCATCTCGTGGATCCGCGGGCAGCCCACCGAGAAGGCAGCCACCACAACCACCTCTGACGAGGGGGGCCCTCCTCACACTCCGCCCATGAGCATGAGCACGCCGGACGGCCGCCCGACCCCCCACTCGGAACCGAGTGAGCTGCCTGATTCAATGGTCGCCGAGCTAGGCGGTAAGTGTCGTCAACCCACCCTCCAAACTTGTATTCACTACTTTAGCGAGACAAAAAGGGGGGGGCGAACATCTGCTGACATACACACGCCATGAACAGACACATCGACCCCCCTACCAGCGGAGCTCTCAGAGACGGGCCTGACGCCGGCCGAGATCGTCCAGCGGCACAGCCACTTCGCCCACGGCGGCGGCAACAGCCTCAACAACCCGTCCCAGTACTCCAACGTGACCCAGACCGACCACGCCAGCACCGTCAGCCGCTCGACCGGCGCGAACCCGCCCGCGGCGGCGGGCGGCGCGGTGGCGGGAGGAGGAGGGAGCACCGTCAGCGACCCGCGGCCCGACTCGCCGCCCCTGGGCGCCGCCGGTGGCAGGGGCGCGTCGGGCGTGTCCGGCGTCAGCGAGGGCGACCGCCAGCACCTCCGGCAGGTCAGCGACACGACCGTCGAGTCGGTGGCGCTGCGGGGCGGCGGCCTGCAGAGCGCGCCCGTGTCGCCCGAGCCGGAGCAGTCGTCCGTCTTTGGCACACTGACGACGACGCCCGGGATATCGCCCCCGTCGCCGGCGGCCGACGCCGAGGACTACCTGAGCGCGCGGCGGATCACGGAGACGAGCATGGGGCAGGGCTCGCCGCTGCCGTCGCCGCCGCTGCCGCTACCGCTACCGCAGGGCGGCAGGGGGGAGGTCCCTGGGCGGAAGAGTGCCTTCTATGAACACGACGGGGACGGCACGGACTTGAACAAGTGAAAAGGGGTGGTGGTGGTGGTGTCGGTAGTAGTTGATTTGAGTCGCAAGTTGTAATGTTTGTTCGCTGGTGAGGTAACGCCCATTATGTTGGCATTATCTTGATTTGATATGGTTCGAGTCTTTTTTGAATCTATGTAAAATCGGGGGGGGGGGGGGGGTCTGTTGAGTCCCCGAGAGCTCCATCTACTAGTATGTAATAATGATGATGCCACAAGCACCTGTCCTTCTCTATACGCTTCCAAGCATCGCTATTATATCTTCTCTCGACATTGAAGGGCCGCAAACACTTTGCTATAAACCCTCTATCCAGGAAGAGAAAAGAATTCCCACCCCTTTGAAACGCCAAATCTCATGCAGTAGTGAATCTAAATCGAAGTGTAGAAAAGAAGATCCAGGATGCCCATACGGGCTCAAAAAAGTCTTACGCAAAACGGACTGGGCAGAGAGGCGGTCATGACTGCCCCAAGGCCCGCTGCCGCTTGCCCCACTCCCTCGTCTCCTCGAGCTCCTTGCGCAGGATCTCGTTGAACTCGTCCGGGTTGTCGAGGTACAGGTGGTGGCCGGCCCGCTGGACGATGACGACCTTGGCGCTGCCGTTCTCGCGCCTCTTCTCCTCGGGCGTGCCGTGCAGCAGGGCCTGCAGGGCGCGCGCCTTGATCTTCTCCTCGGCCGCGAACCCGCCCGACACGTCCATCCAGTCCTTGTCGCCGTACATGAGGACGATGGGGAAGCCCGTCTCGCGGACCTCGGGCGCCGTCTCGGTCGCGGGCCGGACCACCTGCCGGCCGACGTTCTGGATGCGGTTGATGACGGGGCTGCGGGCGAAGGCGCCCGGGGCCAGCAGGTAGGGGAGCGCGTACTCGCCGCTGCCACGCTGGCGGAAGAGCGTGTACGAGTACGTGTGTAGCGCCTGCGCCTCCTCGGGCGGCAGGTGGTTGAAGCGCCGGGACGTCCAGCCCGAGACGAGCCGGGGTCCGAGCGGGCCGGCCGCGCGGACTAGGCTGAAGGGCGAGACGTTGGCGTCCCACAGCCAGACCAGCCACGGTGGGAGCGGCCGCCTCTGGGGCTTGCCGGTCTCCTCGGGTTTGCCCTTTGCGTTGAACAAGGTATTCTTGTCGCCGCCGCTGGCCTTGGTGTTGCCGTTAGCCTCGGGGGTTGTGATGCTCTCTTGGTCCTGAGTGAACTCGGCAGCCATGGTCGAATTCTCAGGCTCCGGCATGGCGGCATTGACGGCGAATGGATCTTCCGGGATGCCAACCGGCGAGGCAAGAATCAGCTTGTTCAAGTGTCCGGGGTATTTGAGCGCATAGGATACGGCAAGGTAACCCCCGAGCGAGTGGCCGAGCAGGGTGAACTTTTCGATCTTTTTGACCTTTCTCCACTCCTCGAGCGAGTCGACGAAGAAACTCTCGGCTTCGGCAATTTTGCCTGGCGCATCCTTGGCGTGGACCTTGAACGGCGGGCGAGAAGAGTTGCCCATGCCGAGCATGTCTAGGGCGTACAGCTTCCAGCCTTCCACCCTGCTCAAGCCCTCAAAGTTCTTGTAGAAGAAGCCCAGGCCTGCGCCGTAGCCGTGGAGCATGACAAGAGTGTCATCGACAGGCTCGCCGACCCGTTCTACCGAGTACTCGTTGAGGGCTCTGTTCTTGCCGGAGAGCGCAACCATCGAGGACCTCCATATCCGCTGGCCGAACGGGTCTCCGCTGTTGGCGCTGAGTAGACTGGAATTGGAGCCGGCGGTGGCTTCCTTGAGGTAAGGGATCATGGAGAGAACATTGCGCTCGGCGGCCGGCGAGGATATGCTCGTCCACTACATGATGTTTAGTTCATTCTGCTGGATCTTGAGGTGGGAACTCGCGCATGCAAACCCACCCATTGAGCGGCCGCTTCTTTGTAACCTAGGGGAAAGAAACCAGACATAGTGCGGCGAGGCGTCGACTGATCGCTGGATTCGCTGGATTGGTCCTGCTGCAGCCTCGCGCGCTGGGAAGCGAGCATTGGTTGTTGAGTTCGTTGAGAAACGGCAGCGTCCGGAGACGCGGCTGTAGCGTCGGCAGCCATTCTGGCGGCGCTGATTTGCTGGGCGACGGCGGCGAGACGGTTAAGGCTGGTTGTGGTGGGGTGGTCTCGTTTGGGTGTAAGAGCAGACGCAGCAATCCTTCGGAGCCTCGAGAGTGTAGACGAGGCAGCCAGCTGGCTTCTTATCATACCGGCGAGATGAAGGGGAGGGAACAGAGAAAGGAGTGTTGCGACTGGGAGAGTGTACTTCTTTATAAAACAATCAATCCGGAGTCATTGCGTCTTCGATTCTGCTTCGTCCTTCCTTCGCATTCGGGAAGTTTTAGCGGACTTGTCAAAGGCCAGCACATGAATGGTCAGCGTGCTGCGTGGCGTGGCCTCGTACCTCCGACACGTTGGGATTCATCGCCGTAGCGTGCCTCGTCTAGCGCCTGAGTGCCTGTACGATTGCCTGAAAATGGCCACAGATCGGACATAGGGTCCGCCCGAAACCCGCGGTCCTAGCACCATCCATTCTCACTGCTGGCATCACGTTGGGAACCGAGCTTTGGCTGACAAAGGCTAGCTAGGGCCGTAGCGGTACCAGTACCACGCTACAGGGCGATGACGTCTGGACTAATTCCCTTTTTTCGGTGCTGACAGGCGCAGTGAGCATCCACTAAAAACACAAGTTTCCGTCCTGCGGTGGACTTTGGCGGAGATAATCGACATACAATTCCGGACCATACACCTCAACCACAAATCGATGCAGTCAACCCGCAGCCAGCGCTCTCGGCAGTCCCGTCCACCCTTGCCCATGCGCATGTAGGAATCCATTGTAGGCGCGGACGGCAGCTGTCAAAAGAACCTTGGAAGTTAGGGTTTGTTCCGCGGCCGCCCGGCCCTTCCCTTCCCATCCCTGCAACCCCCGCGGCGGTCAAAACCTCACCACACACACACGACCCCGTCCACCGCCCGTCATGGCCGACCAGCTCGACTCCATCGTCAAGGGAGCTCCCGCGCCGGATCGCGATGTCCCCAGCCCCAAGGCTGGCACGCCGATCCAGAGCGCCACCAAGGCCGGCGACCCGCTGTCTCACACGCCAAGCTCTCCATCCATGGTCTACCTGAACCTTCTCATCCTCGAGGCATCCCTCCGAGCGCAGTACCTCGACCTCCGGGCTCGTCGCAGACACCACAGCTTCTTCCTGTCGCTGTTGACCCTCTGGATAGCTGGCTTTGGGTACGCGCTCTTCTTTGCGCCGAGAGAGGATGGGCGAGGAGTGGGAGGGTCAGTCTACTGGATGGTTGAGACGACAGAAAAGGTCTGCTTCATGGGCGGTGTCATCACCGCCCTGCTCGTCTGGGTCACTGGCATGTGGGAGCGTGGAGTGCGATGGCCGCGAAGGTGGTTTGCCATATCGAATAGGGGGCTCAGAGGCTTCAACTGCAAGCTGGTGGTTATGAAGCGACCTTGGTACGCCGAGACATTGGCAACAGTCGGCTGGTTCCTTACATATGGACTCTTCTCGAACACGGGCGGCTCTTCCTATCGACACGTCGAGCCCTCGATCTTGCGCGAGGTCGATAGGGAGCTCAACCTTTCCGCGACTTCGCACCCCACGCTTCCTATCACGGGACACGACGAGGAGAAGGGTGGTCGCGAGGAGGATCTTGCTCCGGGCGGAGACTACGTGAAGCTTCTTTTGCTCGCCAAGCCTTTCTCTCCGACATTTAGAGAAAACTGGGAGCTCTACAGGACGGAATACTGGGAGAGGGAGAATGAGAGGCGGGCCTTGATTCGGTCCAAACTGAAGGAGAGGGAGAAGCAGCTTCGCAAGCAGCAGAGTGTCTGGTTCTGGTGGCTCCCCTGGCAAAAGAGTGTCACTGAGAGACATCCTACCCCCGAGAGAACGACACCCCATCCTCGTCACGCCGCGATTGCGCACGAGCATAGGCGCAGCCGCAGCGGTAGTAGCCTGCGGCGCGGCAGTATGTCCAACACGTCCTCGCGGGCACCCACGCCCACAATCGAAGTGGACGAGTCTGGAGTTGCTCGGAAGGCCAGCAATGCCTCGAGCGGCTCCGAGAAGAGGAGAAAGAAGACGATGTCGGGATCCGGCCCCAGATCGATGAAGCGGCCAGGGATCGACTCGCGCTCCGTCACTCCAGAGATGTCTTCGCCTCTGGCTAAGGAGAGCAGCAGCTTGAGTAACACCTCCGTAGAGACTGGCCCTACGCCAGAGATGGAAAGTGGTAGCGGGAGGATGCTGCGGAACTCGGCCTCGAGATCTAGCTCCAGTGCTTAAGCAGCAGCGAAATATAGCCAGACTGGTAGCATCTCAATCAGAGGGCATGCTGATTCTGCACTTGTCCATATTCTCCTCTATCAGGCATCTATCAGTCAAGCAACCTATCTCATGTGAGCGTGTAATGGTATTTCCGTCCAAACAAAGCTCTGAACTGATCTCAAAAACGAGAGATTCGTCTCAAAAGAAGCAAGTAAGTCTGCCTAGGACTTTGAAAGTGGCCAATCCTTAGTCACCAGACCAGTCCGTAGGTGCTTGTTCATTGACACACCACCTAGGTAGATCTCTTTCAACTTGCTCATGCGACAGAAGCCCCGCCATCAGACGGTGAAATCGCTGAAGAGTCAAATCATCCATGTCACGGATCTCCCGATCAAGTGGGGTTTGGCTTGGAGTCCATGGATCTAGCCGCAGCTACCTCCTTCGCATGGTGCGCGCGAAAAGAGCCTAAATAGTGTTGGCTCGGTGGTGGTGATGAATGGGGGTGCGCTATGCGGCTGAGCTCCTCCACTTCCCATCAACCCCAAAAACAACGTCTCTCTCGAACCGCGAAATGAGCTCGCTCTCTTGCCCTTTGCCTACTCTTCAACCCCAACTCAGGCGCATTTCCTTTCACTAGTGCTCGGACAGAAAGGACCTCTTCAGACAACGCATGCACACCCTTCGTTCCCGCTGAGCTGAGCAGAAATGGCGCAGACCCCGCCCGGCGAGAATGCCTTTCTCCATCACCTGCACCAGCACACTCACCTCGCGGTCACCCGCGGCACCATCGCCAATGCACCCTACAGCTCGCGCCCGCCCAGCCCGCCGTACATCCACATCCCCTCGCTCATCGCCAGCGGCCAGACCTCCATGTCCATCGTGCCCAGCTTCACGGGCGTCGTCGACTCGACCCGGCTCACCGAGGCGGACCTGCGCATCATCACCCAGGATAAGATCCAGATCGCCCAGGACGCCTCGAGCAACTGGCGCTACGAGGCGCGCCGCGAGGCCCAGCCCATCCTCGACTTCCTGTACCTGGGGCCCTCCAGCGTCGCCAAGGACCGCGCCTTCCTGGAGGGGAACGGCATCACCATGCTCCTCGCCGTGCGCGACGCCCGCATGGCCCAGGCCCGCCTCATGAGCGTCGAGCGCACGGCGCAGGCCCTCGGCCTCGTGGCCGAGTACGTCGACGTCGCGGGCCCGCAGGAGATGATCCAGGCCCTGCCCCTCGCCGTCCAAAAGATCAACGACCACCTGCTCGACGTGTACCGCAGCCAGGCCGTGCAAATCGGCAGCGGCAGCGGCGGCAACGCCAATGCTAACGGCAACGGTAACGGCACCGCCAGCAACGGCCTCGAGGACGGCCAGATCGTCATCGACAACGCCACGTTTCGGCGCGGCAAGGTCCTCGTCTTCTGCGAGACGGGCAACGACCGCTCCGCCGCCATCGTGGCCGCCTACATCATGGCCGTCTTTGGCATGGACCTCGTGCGCACGCTGCAGTTCATCGGCCTGCAGCGCTTCTGCGCGACCTTTGACGACGAGACCAAGCACATGCTGCAGGCCTACGAGGACATCCTGGCCGCCCGGCGGGCCGTCTCGCGGGACATGGGCCAGGGCTTCAGCGTCGCGGGCAGCATCTCGTCCAGCGCTGCGGGCAGCGGCGGCAGGAACCCTTCCAAGAGGGGCATCGAGGAGACGATAGACGCAGGCGACGAGGATGAGGGTCAGGGCGGCCCGTTCGCCTTGGACAGGGATCGGTATACCGACCGGCCAGAGTTTGTGCCCTTTGCGGATGGAGATATCAACATGGAATGAGCTTCCATTATCTTTTAGACGATTGGAGGGGACGGACTGTAAGAGAAGAGCGGGTTTGGAGTTTTGGTGCGGAAGCAAGGATGTATTGTTTGGACATCCTTGTCTTCGGGATTGTGGCGTTGAATGCCGAAATATACCCCCTTTGTTTGTCTTTGTTCAACTTTCACTTCTCGGTATATATATCCCGAGACTTCATGGATCTGAAGGCAGATTCACCGTCAGGGTCCTTAAAGTAGATACTATACATAGCTAGCTGCCTCGGCTAGATAATAGAGTCGCCGAGGGGAAACTTTCCGTCTTGACTATATTCAATTATATCGCATACCTTCATCCCATGTTCTGGTGGCCCGGCCCACGGCACTCACAGTTGACCCGTGGCGGGCTTGCATAGAAGGCAGCTTACGTGTAGTGAATGAGCCCAGGACTTGTATCTTGATCCCCAAAGGAAGAAGTAGGACGACGGTCAGTCAAACAGACGCCGTTGAGGCCTTTACGTTCTGGTGACTTGTTCCCATTCTCAAGGACTGGACGAGGAGTTGGTGGCGACTAAGAAGAGCTCAGCGCGCGCAACACCTTTCATTCACTCGCTCGATATTCACTTCGAGTCCCAGCCACCACAGCAACACGTAAACAAGAACGCTTCACCCACGTTGCGTAGATCGTTTCTATCCTTTATAAAGCGCGCTCGCTCACTTCTCGATCACTCAGCTTTTCTCCTCCTCATCCACCCATCACTCATCCTCCAACCTCATCAACGCAACCTCAAGACCACCACCACCGCCTGAACACTCGCGTAGCCCAGTCTTCATCGCAACTCCAACTCAGCCAGACAGACCCCAAGGTCAAAGATGGTCGGTCTTCGGCCCAGAACAACCCTCGCCCGTCCAGCTCGGTACGCCGAGATCGACGAGCCCGTCAACATCCGCCCTCGCTTCGCCCACCAAGACGTCCGATTCAACCCCGAGCTCGGCGCGTCAGCGCCCTTCCCATCCCTCGCGTGGAACGACCGCCGCCAGCACCCGAACGATGCCCTCATGCATTTCTGCCGCGACGTGCGGGACATCATCAACCCTCGCAACTTCGGGCCCCCCGCTGCCAACGCTGCCGCCGCATCGTCCGATGACGAATATGATGATGATGATGATGATGGTGATAGTGATAGGGACTCGCCTCCCTGTCAGCCGATAGAGCCCACCATCCGCGACGCGGAGGAGTTCGTCAAGGACTTCATCAACGGCGCCGCCGACGATCTCCACACCCAGTACGCGATCTGGAAGAAGGAATACACCCAGAAGGCAGTCGCCGCGGTTCTGGGTGAGGGTGACGTGGAACTACAGCCGCCTCGTCACCAGGCTGCTGTCGTCTCGCTCGGTGATCGGCGCATGCAGGATGGAATGTTCGACAATGTCGACTTTGGCTCTTCTGATGATGAGAGCGTTGACGCATATGATGTAAGTCGACCCTAGATCATCTCCCTCCAAGGAAACTTCAGCCCCCCTTGCTGACAAAGCTCATTCTCAGGAACTGGTCAAAGAGCCTGTCCCTCCCGTCGACTCTTGGGCCCAGCTGCCCGACCACATGAAGCTGGTAGTGATGTATCAGATGGCGGGCCCTACCATGTCTGTTTAGGAGGCAGCACATGCACTGGGTCTCTCCAACGCGGAGATGACGCATCTGATCGAGCTCTACGGCATCGAGGTCGGCAAATATTCCCGGTTCCAGGAGTACATGGGCTGTGTCGCCCGAGGGGAGCCGTGCTACGCGACCGACCTGTCCAGCGTGATCGGTGGGCCGCAGTACCTGACGGCTCGGATTATCGACATTGAAATCCGACAGGCCGTCCAGTTCGCCGCCTCGCGCGGCGTTGACCTGGGATTCAAGGCCTTGAGGGGCTGGGAATTCGAGCCGCCCTCTGGCTACATCGGTTGCCAGCTCATGGATCCGGCTGCTGCAGGACGTCACCGCTACGAAGATAGGACGACGGCCTTCGTTCCCGAAGCAGGACAGCTCGTCCAGGTTCAGAATCAGCGCCTTGCACCTGCTGCCCGGGGAGAGCCCGCCTTTGCGCCCGCGCAGGCCATCCGCTTTCTGCTCGATGGCAACCCCAACGCCGGCGCCAGCACAGCTTCGATCGAAAACCCGCTAGGCCTGCCCGAGCGGCCACGCAACATCCACATGGACGGTCTTGGAACCCTTACCGGCGGCGGCCAGCATGTCATGTACAACGACGGGCGTGGAGGCAGCAGCAACATGACCGAAGAGGTGAGTGCAAGGCCCAATGGGCAGCGGAGAGCATAGGCGATAGTTCTCGGCGCTAACTCGACATCGAAGCAGCCGGCACACGACCTGGGCAAGCCGCCCGCTGTCCAGATTTCGGCATCTACCAATGGTCGGAGCCACAGCGTTGTCCCGGACGGCGAGAGAGAGGATGCGGTGGACCTTATACAGCTGCCCCCTTTAACCAATACCCCCGGACCCGCTGGTACTCGGACACGACACGCAAGCCATGCCCAGCATCCCACCCCCTCAGCCAGCAGTGAGTACGGCTATGATGCCATGGAGGTCGAGACCGTCCAGCTCAGCCAGCCACTTAACCAGGATCAGGACCAGCACATGGTTGAAGACGAGGAGGCAGCTCTTCAACCGCTGAATGTCGAAGGAGAGAGCGAGCTTGCCTTTGGCCAGGCTCCGGGCCCTCAAATGGGCCCATCGCAGACGGAATATATCTATGAACCATGTGGCGAGGGTCATGAGAACCGCAATGACCGCAACCAGGACAAGGAGATCGGAGTCAAGGAGAGGCCGGGTGATATCGCCGCGGACACCAGTCAGCCAGCTCCTTCTCGACGGAAAAGAAAGGCTGACGACTCTCCTGAGGGCCAGTCTCCTCTCAAGAAACCGACGCGAGGCGATTCGGTGGCTGAACCGGGAAGCGATGCTGAACAGCCTGAGCCTGAGGCAGAGTGCGATCCCAAGGGGGCAGAGGCGCAAGGAGCTGCAGCCAGCCCGGACGCAGACAGTAGCAGCCTTGACGATCTCCCATGGTGGAAGATTAACCTCGCCAAATCTATCAAAGGCATGATGAAGAAGGGTGGCTGAATATGTCGTGCGAGTGTGTGTACATTACTTGGAATGGGGCCGGCTTTGCTGTTCTGTACTTTAACCTCCGGCCGGTGGGGGACTCATGATTGGGAAGGCTGGTGAACTGTTGGCATGGGCGGTGATCATTTGTCTAGTGAGGCAGGAACAACCAAGTCTGATTTGATATGACACGATGAGGCAGATGAGTGAGAGCAGAAACGAGACAGACACCGACAGCAATTAGAAATGCGTAGAACTCATAGTCTGTGATCAAATCTTCCCTTCATATGTCTCGTGTGCAAGGGTCTGTTATTCCAGAATGTCCACCAACTTAGCAGCTTTCATGATCATGAGCAGGCGATAGAGTTAACAGTATTGTATAAAGGACTCTATCATATAGGACATGGAAAAGAAAAACGCATGCGTGATATCCTGCAAATACACCAACTCCCTAGCTCAAAATGCTGATCGGGCAGACACACATGAAAACGCACCAACAAAGAGCAGACAAGGGGACAAGGAAAGCGGAAAGGGAAACATAGAACAGTAAAAATTAGTATGTATGATACCACCGATGCGTTTCGTCGCTTGCCCCCCTGCTCCCTCATCTGGCGGCGTCCGTACCCAAGGCGCGCCGCTCAGAGTTGATCGAGATACAATCTCTCGTGTTCTCAAACGGGCAGTGGCATTACCATATGATTGCCACACGCAAGGAAATTTTATACAGACCGACTCTATAGGGTAACCGGCATTCTTTGATCCAGCCCAGACTCCTGAAGAACAATCATGGCCACTGCGGGCTTCAACTCTTTCCAACGATTAATCAACCACCCCGCGTGTCTCAGTCCACCTTGGCACCGTTGGCACTGGTGCCCAGTATCGGGGCCTTGAACTCCCTGCCGTCCAGGTTACTATCGAGGCGGAAGTGGCCTCGCGTACGCCTGAGCCGACCCCTGAACCAGGATGCGCATCCTAATGACAGACCCAGGACGCAGCCAATGGTCAAGAAGGGGTGCTCCGAGAAAGTCACACGCATATCGAAGAAGATCTTCTCGAAGCTGGAGATGGTCAGCTTGGGCTTGATCTTTGGCGGCGACTGCGTGACTTTGTTGATGGTCTCAAGAATAGAGGTTCTGGAAGGCAGAATGGAGTTTCCGGTGATGGTCTGGTCCCAGTAGCGGCGGTTCTGTTCCAATCAGTTAGTGCAGGTCTTCCAGGTCAGAAAACGGACAAGATCTTACATCTTCGTCATTGATAATGACCCGATCTCCATCCTTGACGTCGATGCCATAAGTGGTGCGGATCCAGCGCTGCCAGAAAACGCCGTCAACCCAGGCAAAGCCAACCTCTTTCTTCTCGGACCTATCCATGTTGATTCGTATGCTCTTAGCGGCTCGGAGAGCTCGTTGGTCGTTTCGGTCTTCGGCTTCCTCGATTCGGAGTTGTTTTGCATCGCGCAGCTCCTGGCGTTCCAGCTGGAAAAGCTGGATCTGCTTGTCCATCCACTCGTTGGCAGCACTTTTCATCTCACGCCGGGCTCCCAGGAAGGCGTCCTGATCCTCCCGGTTCAGGATGCCCAGAACGACAATCTTGCCATCCATGATCTCGCGGGCGTTGGAAGCGGTCATCTCTGGTACTATCGGGAGCCAGACGGATTTCATCCAAGAGAGGACTCGGTTGTTGTCGCGCATTTCATTGGGAGTAAGCGGAGTATAGTAGGTCGGCCGCCCTTCCCTTGCGACAAGCAGTCTCGGCCATGTGGTGATCTTGAAACGCTCGTATAGAGCAGGGTCCTTGGTCTTGACGAGCTTCGCGCGGCCGATGAGGCTCAGAGGCAGGCGTTCCAAAGCCATGAAATCCTCGCCCGTTGTGGCATGATCGTAGAAATAGACAAAGATGACCTCCTCTTTCTCCTCGAGCGCCTTGAAGGAGGCCTCATCGACATCTTGCACGCCAGCAGTAATGTCAATAGCTTTCTCGGCGTACTGAACGAAATCACCGAGGCCTCGAAGCCCATCGTATTCGACACGCTCGCCACCCTTGAAGAAAAGAATTGTCGGGTAACCATGAAGACGAGCATCCTTGCACAATCGTTGCTCCGCCTCGCAGTTGACCTCTCCAATGTTCAGCCTGCCCTTCATCTCCTTGGCCAGTTGCTGCCAGTTCGATGCCATAGCCTGACAGTGATGGCACCAAGGCGCATAGAATTTGATGAACCAAGACTCCTGGGTCATGGTGACCATGGTTTGGAAGGTCTCGGCGGTCAAGGGTACAGAAGTACCGAGGGGGTTGGGCGTAACGGCAGGCTTCGTCGGCTTCTTGGGGGTGACTCGGTCAGGCACAGCAGCCGCCTTCTTGGCTGCAGTGGCCTCCTTAGCAGCAGGCGATGCTTTGGCGGCAGCAGACGCATGGGCGGCAGGTGACTGCTTCGCAGCAGGGGATGCCTTTGCGGCGGCAGGCTCCGACTTGGCTGGGGTTTTCGCGTCCCCTGACGGAGTGGGTTTGCCCTTGGCGCCTGGTTCGGGGAGAACAACCTCAGCAGGCCGGCTTCCTGGCTTCTGCTCTTCAAGAGCTTTCTCGATCATGCCGCTAAGCACACTCATGTTCTTGGCGCCTTTCGCGATTTCGATGGCCTCCCCCTTCTTGTACAAGACAGTCGTAGGGTACGACATCACACCATGGTCGCTGCACAGATCATAATAGGCGATACAATTGATCATGGCGAACCGGAAGTCGTAGTAATCGGTGAAGGTCTCGGATTCTGATGGCTTCGAGGTGTAGTAGAATTCGTACAAGGTTTGATACGTGGGTGCAAAGTCTATGCAGTGAGGGCACCACGGACTATGGTCTTGTTAGTCACTCGCTATCTGCATGTTTGGGAGACCGTGTCCCTACTCACCTGTAGTGCTTGACCATCAATAATGAGGTCGAGTTGGCGACCTTTGCAAAGTTGTCGGGGCTCAACTCCAACAGCGGGGGAACCTTCTGGGCATCGAAGTATGTGTTCTCCCTCGTCGGGTCATCCTCGACCAAGTCATCGCTCGCTGCGAGACCCAGAACGGCGGCGCTGAGCCATAATGAAAGTGTCGAAAGCCTCATAGTGTTTGCAGCGCGATTGTCACACTGCCCAAAGTGCGATCGAGAGCAACTCCCTACCGTGGCCTAGCGGTCCACGTCGGAGAAGACTGATGAATCAACAGTGGGTGTACGGCGATACGGCGATTTGAGAGCAAATGAATCCGTGTGTACGACCGATTCGCAGACCGGAATGTCGGCGTGGCTCACGTCCGCAATGGCTCAGACTTGGAGGGTTGTGCTACCGGGACATAGAGGCCGGGATTGATTCGTCGCGGTCAAGAGGGATCGTCGCGAAAATGGCAACGAGAGTGGACAGGAGCCCGAGTGTGATCGCACTCTTCGGCCAAGGGGAGAGTTTGGCCGGCAGTTGGTGATCGAATTTGTTGAAGATGTTGGAGGGTCTCGCTTTGGCAGGGAAGACGGACGGCCACGCAACAAGAAAGCGGCAATGGTCAATCAGGAGGTGCAGGCCTGTCCAAGCTTGGCTCTTGGCTCAGGAACAGGCCTCGAACCAATCCAATTTGTCGACTCTCAGATAGCGCACTGTGTATCTTACCCACTTTGACGGTACGGAGTCAGGGGGTTTTGTAGCGAAAAGGAGATGAACAGGGATCCGACATGCAGCCAAGAGTCACCAAATCTTGCTCATTAGCGGCAAATCTTGCGCGCTAGCGGTACAGTGCGGATGCTTCCAATACTTAATCTTCCTCAGTCGAACTTGGGTGATCCATGAAGGGCCTGCTTTTTGGACTGCATCAATGGATGGACTGTTTCGCAAACATAAGTACATCAACTTCTCAAGAAGCATTCTTAGTCGTCGACAGTTGGGTGTAATAAATAAATACACGTACCTATAATTTGATCATTGGCTTGGCTGGTCGAACTGCGATATCAGTTCTTTCACGCAATGATACATGCGTTTTGAAATGAGTGGACTCCGTAGCAGCTCCTCCATGAAGTACATTCAAACATTCAAATGGGGTAAAATGGCGAGCGTTGTCTTCAGACTTCAAATAACACGAGGAGTGCTACATGATGGGCATGCTGTTCTGAGAGGCCTCAGATGCCGCCGATTGCCTCAGAAAATCATTTGATGATCCAGAATATGCTCACCCGCGACATTTCTGTCATTTCTGTTTTCTGCAACGTTTTATCCCAAGACAACTTTCACTCTACACTACCGAAGCAGGCACGTTGGAAGACATTTGACCTAGCTACCTGCCAACTCCTGTCCATTTCCTCAACTTCAGACCAACAACCACCAATCTCTTTGACTTCCATTCTACTACCCTCGGTACCTATACTAAGTACTCATCGAGACGCGCTGAGCTTCAAGCCTCACACGCTTGATGAATCTTTTTTTACGCATATGCTCATGTATCGACAGAGCCTAGAATCGCGGTCCGGGACAAATGGATCAACCACCGAAGCGCCGGGTTGCCAGCGGGCAGGAGGAAGAAGAGAGCCCGCAGCCTAGTAGTGATCGTAGTCCTGCTCTACGCTCACTCAGTCACCCTATCAGTCCTCCAAGAAAAAGAGCTAGGCTGGCGCCCGAGGCTGGCGGACAAGCTGGTTTCAGTCCATCACCCAATCCTCAAATCATCCGGTCTCCAGTACAATTGACTCGGATCCGAGACTTGCCTCCAGAAGCCAATGTCGACACAGTCACTCTCAAGGACATCTTGGGTGATCCTCTCATCGCTGAATGTTGGGAGTTCAATTTTCTCCACGATGTCGACTTCCTTATGGGCGCCTTCGACGAAGACGTCCGCCATCTCGTCAAGGTCCACATTGTCCATGGTTTCTGGAAGCGCGAGGATCCAAGTCGAGCCATGCTCATCGAACAAGCTAGCAATTACAAGAATGTCGAGCTCCATACGGCGTTCATGCCCGAAATGTTCGGCACACACCACTCCAAGATGATGGTTCTCCTGCGCCATGATGATACAGCACAAGTGGTCATTCATACAGCGAACATGATTCCTCGCGACTGGAGAAACCTCACGCAGGGGATGTGGCGATCACCACTTTTGCCCTTGGAGACAGGCGGGACTGAGAAACCCCAGGCGACATCACCCTTCGGCAGTGGCGAAAAGTTCAAGATTGACTTGCTGAACTATCTCCGGGCGTACGATGTGAGAAGACCAACGTGCAGGTCGTTGGTCGACCAACTGAAGAAACACGATTTCTCTGCCATCAAGGCTGCTCTGGTAGCAAGCGTCCCTGGCAAACACAGCACCAGGGATGACTCCCCTACCCGGTGGGGATGGGCTGCCGTGAAGCAATGTCTCCGGTCTGTTCCTGTTCAAGGGGGCAGATCTGAGATCGTCGTTCAAGTATCCTCGATAGCAACTCTGGGGCCGACGGATAACTGGGTCAAGAAGACCATGTTTGGTGCTCTGAGCGCGGGGAAGGGTCTCCCAGCCACACAGCCGACATTCAAGGCTGTGTTCCCGACGGCGGACGAGATACGACGATCTTTAGATGGCTATGAATCGGGAGGATCAATTCATACCAAGATAGACTCACCTCAGCAGGTCAAGCAACTTGCATATCTGAAGCCGATGTTCCACCATTGGGCCAACGACGCACCTGAAGGCGGCAGTGAGTCCCTTCCAGTCCAAACATCGATGAGTCCTTTGGTTTCCTTGCTGACCAGACCTTCCTGATTAGACCTAAAAAGAGATGTCCTCCTACAAGAGGCGGGCCGCAAGAGAGCAGCGCCACACATCAAGACCTATGTCAGGTATGGCGAGAAGGGCATTGACTGGGCTCTTTTAACGTCGGCGAACCTGTCCAAGCAGGCATGGGGAGACAATGAGAACACCGGCTCCGGAGAGGTACGCATTGCTTCCTGGGAAATCGGCGTCCTGGTCTGGCCTTCGCTCTTTGCGGATGGAGCACGGATGATCCCTACCTTCCAGACGGATATCCCGTCGGCGGACGATGAGCCCGGTAGTGCGCCCATAGTTGGCTTCCGGCTGCCATATAACCTGCCGCTCCAGCCTTACGGTGCCAACGAGAAACCTTGGGTTGCAACGGCCTCCTACGCTGAGCCAGATTGGAAGGGACAGACATGGTAAACCTGGCGGGATGAGTCGCATATCCTAGACCATAAAGGATTGGGAACGGGAGAGCAACGGGAGCTTATTACTCATGTATATTTATCTTGATACCCACGAATTGCTAGGTCGAATGAGGGGCTACCGGTCAAGGGTAGCATGTGAAAGACAACCGCACCACGTGTATACGTCTCTTCTTCCAATCATCAAAAGCGTGATTCGTATTCATAGTACCTGCCCGGCCTCCCTTGACGCCCCCTTAGTTCCCGACAGCCTCGGGCTCCTTGTTGGCGTCGAAGCCGTAGGTCTGCTTCATGCTCTCGATCTTGGCAACGTACTTCTCCTGCGCCTGCTCGGGGGTGATGCCCTCGTCGACGAGCTTCTGCCAGGCGTTCTTCTTGGCCTTGCCCTGCAATTACACACCGTATCAGTCCGCGGATCTTGGCAACGGCGAGCCTTTGGTCTAATGGAAGGGGTTGAGTGTACCTTGAGGTCGAACATGCCGGGGGCGGGGGCCTTGGTGATGTCCTCACCGTTCGCGATCTTGAAGAGACCTAAGAGGGAGAAGTTTCAGTATTTCCAAGGGTGCAGCCTAGGTGCAGGAAGCGAGCTCGTGCGGTCGGTCCTGCGGGGGGGTGAAGCTCACCGTAGATCTCGAGGAGGTCCTCGTTGCTGGGCTTCGAGGTAAGCTTCTTGGAGTCAATGACTGCCTGCTTGAACGCGTCGCTCTGAGCTGCCATTTTGAAGGATGTGACGGTCTACGGGAATTTGTCTAGGATCTGGCAAGGGGAGAAAGGCAAAGTCTGCGCAACGTTTGCTTGGAAGAAAGATCGTGAGTTGTCGTGTGTCCAATTGTTGAGTTGCGGGTTTCCAAGCGTTGAGAGGGGTGGACGAATGGAGCTACGTAGTGCTCGCTTGGCGGGGTATCGGTGAGCTGTGTCCATTTCTCCAGCTTGTTCAGGTGCTCCTGCGCGTCAGACCGAGGCAAACCGCCTTCCTGATTCATTCAATCCAGGCAGGTAAAAGCTGAAGAGCACCGGTCCGATCCCGCTTCAGCCAAGTGCATTTTCGTCTACAGGAACAAGGCACAATTCGAATATCATCACGACAACCACCACCTCTCACTCTGTCTCAAGCTTTTTTTGTTAGGCCGGGAAAACGCCAGCACCAAGACTGAGGATTTGCTGCTTCGGTCCCGAATGATGGGTCTCTCATCTTGCACAATACACTCAGCTCAGAGACCGGCAATGTTTGGTATGGGTAGCTCAGTATATGTACTCCAGGGCACTCCGGTCAGCGGGCTCAATCTGCTCCGACATTACAACTACAGGGCTGCTGTTTCATGCTCGACGCAGGGTGAACAGGATCAGGCGGATCTTATCAGCGCCGACTGACCGACTTTGCATACCTAACTCTTAGCTAACTACGTGAAAAGACCAATGCTTTGAAATCCATCACTAGCTACCTACCAAGCGCTGGTCGAAGCGGCTGGCCCGGGACCGAAGAGTTGTCTAGCCCAGATTCATCTGATTCGCATAGCGCCGAAACTGCCTGTCTCGTCCCAGGCTAGGCCCCTTGCGGCTTGTAAGCAACCCCTGGCGCGCCTGCACTGCCGCATGGGGGAAGAGGTGGATGGCACTTGCAAGACAAAACAGCACTGGAGCTTCTGGAGCTTGACTGAAGCTTGCGTTGTCCGGGAACACCTCATCCACCCGGGGAGGTACCTCGAGCTCGTCCCGTAAGAAAGTCAGAGCTTCCCCAACCTGAATCCGAAACGTCGGACATCCTGTATGGCACGCAATTATTTGCAAATTTTAAATTCTTGTTTCTTGACCTTGTTCTTGCTCCTACAAAATTCCTTGCACGTTTCCAAGACTCTTGTAAAATACCTAATCTAACATCCCTAAACACCCACCAGTCCATACAGACCCTAGTCTACTGTTTACTCTCGCGGCCATGTCTAAGACGGTCGTCATCTTGGGAGGCTCATACGCCGGCCTTCACATTGCACACGCACTCTTGAAGAATGAAAAGGACCTGAAGGTCGTTCTGGTATCAAAGGTAAATACAAACACAGTCCAACTTGGCACCTGTTTTGTCGCGGTGACCAGAGGGTAATCCACCTGGTCATGCCATGTTGCTGGCCAATACGGAAACTCCCGTGCCTAATGACCAGAGAGATGCGATGACCTGGTCACAAAATCCCAGATCAGCTGACAATCGACCACAGAACAGCCACTTCTACTGGAACATTGCCTCCGTGCGAGCCATCATCCCAGGCATTATCAAGGATGAGGAGCTCTTCGGCTCCATCGAGAAGGCCCTGAGCCGGTACCCCAAGGACCGGTACGAGTTCATCGTCGGCGGTGCCACCGCCTCAGACTTCGCCGCCAAGACGGTGACCGTCACCACCAAGGACGGCGCCGAGAAGCAGCTGTCCTACGACCACCTCGTGCTCGCCACGGGCGCCCGCTGCGCCGGCGCCGAGAGCGTCCCCTGGAAGGCGGCGGGCACGTACGAGGAGGCCGTCGAGCTCCTGCACGCGACGCAGGAGCGCGTCAAGGCCGCCGGGCACTTCGTCGTCGCGGGCGCGGGCTCCACGGGCGTCGAGGCCGCGGCCGAGCTGGGCTTCGAGTACGGCAAGGACCGCGAGGTGGTGCTCCTGTGCTCCGACAGGGAGGTCCTCGGCGGCGACAGCATCGCGAGTAACGCTCTGGCCGAGCTCAAGAAGCTCAACGTCAAGGTGCGCACCGAGGCCCGCGTCGAGAGCGCCGCCAGGCTGCCCGACGGCAAGACGGAGATCAAGCTCGCCGGCGGCGGCGACCCCATCGTCACGGACGTCTACCTGCCTACTTTCGGCCTGGCGCCCAACTCGGAGTTTGTCGACGCCAAGTACCTGACGGACAAGAAGTACGCCAGCATCGACGCCGAGTACCGCGTCAAGGGCGCCGAGAACGTCTGGGCCGCCGGAGACATCGTCTCCCAGCCCAGAGCCGGCTTCATGATCACTCAGAAACAGGTAAGAGTGCTTCCAGTCCCGCGTTCCCATGAATGATAAGGCCGAAAAAGGCCAAAAAAAAACGGGATTTATTGACTTGGAATACTGGCAGGCTGCGGGAGTTGCCAAGAACATTGGCCTTGTTGCCAGCGGCAAGCAGCCCACGCCCGTCAAGCTGCTGCCCTTTGACATCTACGCTGTCGCCACCGGGCGCAGCAGGGGTGCCGGCCGTGCGGGCAGCGTCAAGCTCTTGTCCTTCATGGTGTACATGGCAAAGGGCAAGACCCTGGCCGTCGAGAGAATGGCCGGCTACATTGATGGATCGGTTGCTTAGGCGGCGGACCAGCAGGGCGGCGATCAGACGACGAGATGGCGAGACAGGGGTATGCGAGGTGGTCAATTCTCTCGATGATGATGGCGGGTTTTGTTTTCAGAGAGAAGGTAATCGAATGAAGGAGCTGCAGGACGTTAATACCCCGATTGTTTTAGCGCAGTGTATTCTTCGTTCGTTATATCAATTAGAATGCAGGAAGAACAAGGTAGAGGGGCACAAGACCGCGCGATCATCTGGGCGCCCCCTTGAGCAGGTCAGTCAATAATGATGATCTAGGACAAGGTTTAGAAAACGCGCTTTAGTATATTTGAAGTCATACATTATGCTTTCATGACAGCTCTTCTCATCCTGTGCGTCTGCCTGACCTGCTCTCCATCTCTATCTAACATCAGCGCCTTCCCCCCTCTTTTTATCTCCCGAGCTTCTCATCCTCAATCTCCCTCCGCAGCTGCTCGAGCACCTGCTCCCTCGTCCGCAGGTGCGTCTCGAGCCCGTCGACCTGCTCCCGCACCGTCTGCAGGTCCTCGGCGATGCCCTTGAGGCTGCTGCCCTCCTTGCTCTTGCCGCTGCCCTCCTCGAGCTCGCGCAGCTCCTTGCGCTTGTAGTCGAGCAGCTGCTCGAGCTCGCGCTTGACGAGGGCGGGCTTGGACTCGCGCCCGGCGCCTCCCTTGCCGCTCGCCGCGCGGCGGCGCTCGGCGTCGGCCTCGACGCGCTCCATCTTGGCCTCGAGGTCCTGCAGCTGCTTCTTGAGGCGCACCTCCTCCCAGTCGTCCGTCTTCTCGGTCGAGAAGTCGGTGCCGGCCGCCTTGAAGCCGCTGCGGCCGAGGCGCGTCAGGTACTGGTCGCCAAACTTGGCCTTGCGGCCCGTCGAGGTCTCGTCGTCGGCGCGCGTGGCCCAGCGCGAGGATCCCGTGGTGCGCTGGTTGTCGAGCTGGTAGTCGATCTGGTTGCGCTCGAACGAGGCGCGCAGGCTGGCGGGGACGGTGCGCGGGATGCGGTACCCTTCGTGCCGGTTGTTGAGTATGTGGAGGAAGGCGAGGCAGGCGTCCTTGTTGATGGAGGGCGCGGCGGAGGGGTTGATGAGGTTCCAGGCGGAGCGGATGTCGGTGTCGGGCACGTCGAGGGACTCGTAGAGGTCTTGGAGGGAGGAGACTGGATGGAGGCTTCTGCGTTAGTAAAGGGGGTGTCTTTGTCTACTCGCAAGAGAGGACTGGGATCAGTAGCGTATATGAGACTCACATGCTACCTCGCCGCGCATGTCTCTGTTCTCCTGGTATATCGACTCGTACTTGGCCTTGTCCGCAGGCTTCATGTACCACTCGAAGCCGTCCTTGAGACCCGGCGAGTCGTCGTCGTCGTCGTCGTCTTCTACCGTCTCGAATTGTGGCGCCTTGCCGGTGATGGCTCTGTTGGCTTGCACCAGGTGTGCCTTGGACTCGGGCACCATCCAGTCCGGTAGCGTTGTCGGGACGTCATTGTACTCCTGAAGGATAGGGTGAAGACCCGTCAGCAGCCGTTCAACATCCCCCGGGAGTCTTGGAAAGGGCGTGTGTGTGTCTGCCCGGTGCGAGCAGCGACAAGAGACTCACCCCATTCAACAGATCAAAGATGACGCGCATGGCGACGCAGAACTCCTCGAAATCCAGGTTGCCATCGTTGTCGACGTCGGCCAGGTCCCACACCCTCTCGAGCTGGTCGTCCCGCAGGCCGCTGTTCTTCAGCACGGGCGCTGCCTGCTCGCCGGTGAGGTACTTTCCCCCATTGGTCCGGGACGAGAAGATGTTCCAATACGTCTCGATCTCCTGTGCTTCGATGCGCGGCGCCATGTCTGCTGGTCTCTACCCTGCGCTCGCCCTCTCGAATGAGTGTGTTGATTTGGGGCTGCTCGGGCGGACTCGTGCGTTGGAAGCGGCGGTCGGTCGGAGAGCCGGATTAGGGGCCGCCGTGTGGTTTCGCGCGCTGCGCAATGGCTGATGAGGGCGGAAGGTCGGGCCGCTCTTGAATCCAGTGAGCAGAATTGCGCGCGACGCTGGTTATCGGCGAGCAGTCCGGGTCTGGAGAGTAAGAGGTCGGAGCCCGGGTTGAGTTGTGACGTGTGATGGTGGCTTGTCCCCAGTCCATCCGCATTGGTGGTGATGAAGCTCCAGGAACCGCCTCTCCACTGTGGGTCTGCTGCGGCACGGAGTACTTGCATACGTAGTTGGGGGGGCCTGAAAGCTGGGACTTCTTCAACAAAAGCAACAAAATACCGACCAAACATTTCACCATCTACAGCCAATTTGCTTCATTCATTACTCAGTGATTTCTGTTAACAGTCTTTTTTTCTTATCAACATCGTATCTCAACATGTCTGCCCTCGTCCGCGGTAGTGGACACTCAGCTTGTTGCCCGTTCAAGTGATGGTCAGATTAGTTGACGAGACTACTAACAGAAGTACTTGTCTATTCATCAAGTCCATCAGTTTTAGGTAGTGGGATAGCCCTTGCGAGTTCCAGGGTAAACGAAATGGCAAGGATATCGATTGCTAACATCGAGGTAGCTCCTAATGAACTTCTGTCAACTATCCTAACGCCCGTTTGCCGTTCAAACCGCGGGCCCCAAGACTCGTAGACCCAGTCGTTCAATTCATTTGACTATCAAAGATTCCGTCTTACGTTGAAGCCCAGCTGTCCCGAGCTTATTCATAATGTGACTGTGCCTGACCTCAACTCCTAGACATCTACTTGACACGACTCTAGGGTAGGTTGATTAGGTATACAACTCGTCCGTGATAGCGTTTAGCGATAGGCCCTCCTTGGCGATGTCGTCCACCTCGACGAGGAAGTCCAGCGGCATCTCCACGAGCGTGCCGCGCACCCGGCCGAGCCACTCCTTGACCTCGTGCACCCCGCCGGGGAACTCGTCGCGCACGACGTGCCCGTAGTCGACCTTGCCCAGCCGCGCCGCCTCCGCCCGCTCCTCGTCGTCCGCGCCGGGCAGGACGAAGCGCCGCGAGAAGAAGTCGTCGTACTGCTCCCACGTGCGCACGGCGTCGTTGGGCACGTTGTGGAACGCCCTGGAGAAGACCTCGGTGTTGGTCCGCGCCGTCCGCTCCCACAGCGCCCGGAACCCGTCCGACAGCGGGTCCGCCACGAGCCGGTCCTCGCGGCTGCCCCAGTCGTACTGGTTGGCGCCGCCCGCCGCGTAGGGCGACCAGTTGTCGCCCGGCTGGTCGCAGGCCTGGTGCGGCAGGAGGCCGAGGTGCTTGCGGAAGAGCTGGCGGCGCAGCGAGGCGGCGAAGCGCGACGCCGTGTAGGGCTGGCCCGCCATGGCCGAGTCGACGGGGCTCGGGTCCTCGATGACGACGGCGATCTCCGAGTCGTGGTTGCCGAGCTGGCTGCGGTCGTTGAGGTTGGCCGAGCCGCAGATGACGAGGCGGTCGTCGGCGATGAGGACCTTGGAGTGGATGTAGAGCTCCTCCGACACGAAGGCGTCTAGTTCGGACTCCGGAGTGCCCTGCCACGGCATCTCGTCCAGCCGTGGGCTGTTGGCCATGTAGCAGGCCGCAATCGAGTCCCAGGTGTCGTCCTGCAGATGAGAAGCCGCCTCCTGGTATCGGCGGTACTGGGAGCCGAGATGGCCCTCGGTCTCTTGACGGCTGTATCCATCGTATCCCGACTCGACGGCATCGTCAAACTCGCGGCGAGCGGCCTCGTACGGGACGCCGCTCACGCGCTCAGCCTCACCCATGGTCGAAGAGGTGTTGATGCGGTCGTAGTTGCGCAGGTTGTAAAAGTTGACATAGATCCTTGGATCCGGAACGCCCTCTTTCTTCAGGGTCTCGAGGATGCTGTAACCCCCGCGGCTGATACTGTTGTATTGGAACTCCATAATGGCCCGAGTGCCGAGGGCACCGTCGGACTTGAGGTCACCCGCAAAGGCCGGCACGGCGGGCATGATGACGATGATCTTGAAAGCCTCGTTGTTCTCGTGCGCACGCTTGACACGGTCGACGATAGCACGACCAATCTTGTTGGCAACTGGGTGCTGCTCCGCACTGGTAGCTGTGATGAAGAACTAGACAAACTCGTTTCAGTCAACTGCCCCTCGGCACCGTCAAGGGCACATCACATACCTGATTCTCGATGTACACAAAGTGCTGGGCATTGGTGATCGCATCAATATAGGCATTAGCTATAGAGTGCTCAGTCGGGTGACCAGAAGACCACTCGCAGCAACTGTGATGGACATCAGCATCACCGGTAATGGAACTATAGACACAAGGCAGGGTAATGCATTACCTTCTCGTAAGTTGAATGTGGGCACCGCCCTCCCCGGCTTCAAGAGGTTCGCGGGATTGCTCGTCGTCGTCATCAGCGCCAATGAACCTACGCATGCGCCGGGAGAAGTGGTGGTGGATCCCGCCGAAGAACTCCCCATCGCTGCCGCCGAGGCTGCGGTGCGGAGGGGCGTGGGATGGCGGCGGTTGAAGCGACTGGTACTTTCCCTCATCACGAGTAGAGTATTTCTGGCTGTAGATGTAGTTCCTTGCCAGGGGTTAGTACTTGTGACAGAATCTGAAACATAAACACACATACCATCGATCGACAAAATGAATTGCTAGACTGCTGACGATGGGACCGGTCAGGCTGATACTGATGTCGGACCAGCCCATCCTCGAGCTCGTTGTTCGGTCGACTACTACGGTCAGCTTATGCCGTCCTCTTCGGCTGCGAGGTTTTTCGGCGTCGCGTTCGAAACTCACGCTTGTTATTCTCCCATTTGTTCACGTCCTCAAAGTCATAAATACGAGCATTGTTGTAGTCCTGGCCAGGGAAGATAATAGCGTCCAAGTTGCCAGGGTGGGCATCAGCAATAGGGTGGCCTGGGAGGTCAGTTCGCGCTTCTTAGCTGGGATCACTTGACTTACTCTGAGTATCCCATCTACCGAAGCCTATGAATCTATCAGCGGACTGGTTCCGAAGGGAGAGAGTATGACAAACTTCGGGAGAGGCTTACACATATCTAGACCACCCATGAACGCGATCTGATCATCGATAACACAGAGCTTCTCGTGGTGAGCCCAGAACAAAACCACGTCGTCGCTGGTACCGTAGAGGGACTTCAGTGCGTCCTGGGAGAACTTGGAGAGGTCGAAGGCTCTCAGCGACATGTCCTTGAAGCCAGCTGCAAGGTCCTCTTGAAGCTCATGGCCACTTGGGTGGTGGTCTGGGTGTCTGAACACCTTGATGTTGGGATGTAGTGCTTCCAATGCATGTTTCGTATGCTATCAGGAAGAGGTTTGCTTGATTAGTGCATGTAATTCCAAGCGAATCACCTGTGCTCTCCCTCTTTTCTCTCTCACATACCTCCGAGTTCACTAGGAGAGCTGTCAGTACATGACTTGGTCAATATTGTCCCTGGTGTCAGACTTACAGGTCAAAGCCTGAGGGACCTCCTTGTAGACAACGACCCTGATCTGAACGCCCCTCTCGGCGGCAGCCTTGAGCATGTTGTCCAACCGGTACTGCTCATTGCGAGCGGGAGGCCGGCGAAGATACAACTCCGGGCTCAACCACCAGTCTAGGATATAGATGCTCTCGCGGGCTCCTGAGGGACTTTTAGAAAACACTCGCCATAGAAAACCATGATATGATGTTGAGTTCCAGACTCACGCTCAAGTGCCTCGGACACGGCCCAAAAGTAGGAGCATCCGTCGACATACCACTTGGGCTGTCCCGATGTCTGCGGCGCGAACGACTGGTAGCGGTTGGTGGTGTGGGAGTCTGGGTGTGCATGGTTGCACTCGTCTCCATGAGTGTGCGAGTGTTTCTCGCCTCCAAACAACTCGTTGAGACCCCTCTCCACCTTGAGGAAGATGGAGTGCATCTTGACCCGTTTTTGCACACCCCGAATATTGGTTTTTGACACTCGCTTCTATTCCACTTGGATCTGAGGGAAGCTGGGTCGCGATGGAGGGCCAGCAAACTCACAATGAGAAAGAGGTCAAGAGAAGAGGAAGGAGAAGGCTCTGCGTGAGCATTGAAACTTCACTGTTCCCGGGACTGCCAGGGTGGTGCGAGTGGAGGAGTTCGCGGGTGAGAATGGGGTTGGTTCGGTACAGGGGCCAGCTGAACGTGAAACGGTGAATGGCCGCGTCACTCGTGAGTCTATGCATCAAACTTGACATCGGATTACCACTTTGCTTAGATAAGTGCCTCTGAAAATGACCTAGCGATGATTCACCTCCAGGTTCTGCCGTGAGTGGTAGGCTTAATTCAAGCAAGGTTATCGACGGATGCTTCCAATGCATCTAGGGCTATGAGGCTACAGTTACCTACCTTATGTAGTGGGCGGGTGTGGGCAAATTAGTGGCACAAAACGTTGACAATTGCCCCGAACGTTCAAGTGATGGTCAGATTAGTTGACGGACTGCTCACAGAAGTAGTTGAATATGCATCCAGTCTATTGGTCTTAGGTAGTGAGATAGCCCTTGCGAGTTCCAGGGCAAGGATATGGCAAGGATATGGCAAGGATATCGATTGCTAACATCGAGATAGCTCCTGATGAACTTCCTGTCAACCATTCTGGACCCCGCTCGAGCGTTCTGATGTCCAGAGGTTGAAAATATTACTCGGGCAATTCAAGGAGCTCGGCCCTAGAAATGGCGACTGCGTAACAAGATTGAGGCTCAAATTACAGATGAGGCTGATGCAAGGAGAAGTAAGGGAGAGAAGAAAAAAAGCAACAACCAACGATTGCAAGACATGAATCAGAGTGCCGGCACCCAGGGCTTGGCCGGCGCCCGAAAGTTCCCCACCAGAATCTTCGGCTACACGCGCCGAAATGCTTGACTCCTCTCCGGAGCCGCTAGCAGTCGGAACATGGATGGCGATCTTCAACTCACACCTCACCTCTGTACCCTCATAAAATCGACATGACAGCAGCATTAGTTTAGCGTGCAGTCAGCTCAGCGTACATATCTTGAAACTCACGATTCCTTCCATCATAATTTGTCTGAACCCTCAATCAAACCAGAAGCGGTACAGGTGCATCCTTGAACTCTGTGGTCAACTGTATCATATCTCGGTTTTCATTTCTCAGGGACTCCCAACATTGCAACTGCCAAGCCAAGGTAGAGACTCAGATCGAGGCGACACGCAACTAAGCCAATTGAACCGCATCATACACAGCACGTCACCACCCCAAGTAAAAGAGGGACCTTGCCTTCGTTTTCGTCCTCTCCGGTCGGATCGGCCAGCAACATTAAGCCACTCTCTGCCGGCCGTTTCCGCAGTTCACACCCAGCAGCAATGCAGCAGCCGCCCACAGACGAGCCCCTGTCGCCGCCCGTCGCCGGCGCCGGCGACGACGACGACGGCAGCCACGCCATCCCGTCCGGCAGCCCGTACGTCTTCAGCCCCGACGCCCACGCCCACCTGACGCCCTACCTCGCGGCCCTGCACGGCTCCTGCATCACCCACGACCGCATGACGGGCAGCTTCCTGCCGCCGCTCAACCACGAGAAGCTGCTGGGCTGGTGGAAGGTCAAGATGGCCGAGGTCGCCGCGGAGCGCCGCGTCATCATCATCCTGCTCGACGAGTCCGAGCCGGGCGCCCGCGCCAAGGGCCCGGAGCTCGTGGGCGCCGTCATGCTGGGCACGCCGCCCACCGAGACGAGCCCCCACTGCGGCCTCGTCGAGTCCCTGCTCGTCAGCCCCAGGCACCGCAGCCGAGGCGGCGCGAGGATGCTGCTCGCCGCGCTCGAGGTCGAGGCCGCGCGGAGGGGCAGGTATCTATTGGTGAGGCCGTCAAACCACCACAAGTGGCGTGCATGTTTTGTTTCGTGGGCTGACACGTCTATACAGAGAGCCGAGACGGCGAGCGGGAGCGCCGCGGAAGAGGTCTTCAAGAAGGCATCGTACCAATTAGTGGGCAAAATCCCGGGCTACACAGTCAATCTTGCAGGCGAGAAACTTGACGAGGCGATATTCTATAAAGATCTATCAGCGTAGCATGACCGCGATGTGCTCTGGTGCTAGCATGGGAATCTCGAAATTATGACTTGGACACTGATCACAGGAGGAGAGTAGGGTAGTGTAATGGACTCAGGATGGTGTGAAGGACGGTGGCATTAGATACCCCAAATCATTCTCGGTAAGTGATTTGATGATGGACCATATGATCAATATAACGCCCGTCTACTGCATTGCAGTGCTCAGTGATGTCGCTGGAGACCAGCCCTGGTCACCATTGAGAGAGTTAGGCCCCCACACCTTGGACTTGGTACTGGTCGAGCACACGCCGTGATGCTTCTGCTTCACTAATCCGAATTGGCCCCAACGAATACCCTGTTCTCTTAAGTTTTGTGTCTATCATAGCTATTCATCTCCTTTTTGGTGACCCCATTCATACACTCTCCAACCATGCGAGGTGACGACTTTCTCCTACTCGTCGTCCTCCTCGACCTGTGGCGCAACATAGCCCGCCTTACCAGGTCTGGCTGATGGGCCGGTAGCTATCTGGGTGTCGGTTGCGGTAGTGGTCGCGTCGGCAGGCATCGGTTGCCCCGTGGAACCAGCAAAGGTGGCATGCGCCATCGAAGACCCCGACGAGTTCTTGGACTTCTTCTTCTTCTTGGGGTTGGGCTGCAAGCTGTTAGCACACATATCATGGAGTCGTTGTTTGGCGCGGAATAAGCTTACATCATGCCATGCCCAGACAGGGCGGAAACTATCCATGAAAGATACGTCCTCCCAGAGGTTCGGGTAGAGCCATAAGCCTGGGGGTACAATGAAGTACGTGACGACAAAGAGGATAACGCGGAAGATGGCCATGAGGAAGAAAAGGCCCAGCAGACCAAGGAAGCCCCAGCTGAGATAGTAGACGCCCTGGCGCATCTTCAGCGGCCAGAGGGGATAGCAGACGATGGCGAAAAGGGCAACCAAGGCAAGTCCGGCGTAGATCTTGCGCATGATCTGGCTACCCTCGTAAAGCCATACGTAGTACATGTCGTCGCCAGCTTCTTGCTGGGGAGTAATGCCCACGGTCCATTGGCCCTTCACCCTCTTGCCCTTCTTCGGGCCGTGGTCATGGCCCTCGTGCGGGTCCACCTTATGGACTCGGAGGGCAAGCATGGAGAGCGGCAGGAGTTTGAAGGTATTCTCGAGAGATGCTCGGTCGGTGACCTCGGGCAGGTCGGGGTGCTTCTGGCGGAGCTTGGCGTAGGCCGGAGACTCAATTGCACGAAGAGCTCGCTTGACTGTACCGTTTTGTTAGCTTGGATAGAGTCCTCACAGCCATGCACGCCACAGAGTGGTCAAGCATTGAAGCCGTACCTCGAAACATATCCTTCCGCTCCCCATTAAGGATGACGGTTCGTGGTTTCAGATCCTGGCTTCGCAAAAAGTTGGCCAGCACTATGGCAAGCGGGTTCGGAGGGTTGTTTTGGTTGATCGGCTGCTGCTGGCCCTGAGCTGGCGGATGCTGATGCTGATGCTGATGCGCGTGGTCATGCCCCTCGCCGCCTTGCTGCTGCTGCTGCTGCTGAGCCTGCATGGCGGCTTGTTGCTCGCGCGCTCGCTGTTGAAGGTGTTGAATGAACTGGGGAACAGTCATGCCGGCCTTTTCCGCATCGGCTGCGATCTGTCGCTGCATGGCAGCAATCTGCTCCGGCGAGGGTCGAGGCATGCCTGGCGGCATCTGTCCTGGAGGGGCCTGCATGTTGGGCAGGGACGAACCACAATCGCAAAATGCGCGGGTTAGAAATAAGTCACGGCCGAATGAGACGGAGAGTACCAAGTCTCGATCGATTCGGAGAGATTGGAATGCAGGGACTAGGCGGCCGCAATGGAGGGGAGAGCAAGTTTGTTGCGTGGTGGAAGCCTGGTTCAAGGTTGACCTCTGGAGTCCAGGCACAGCTTCGGAAACCGCAAGCTGTTCAATTCAAAAAGGCGAAGACGTGTTCTCCAAATTTTGGTGGACCAGGGATTGCCTACGGGGTACAGCAGGGATGTACTTTACCTTAGCTCTTAGCCTCTCTTTGACTTTCCCTTTCAGTGGTCCGTGCATGTGCATGTGCTGACACGGAAGGACCAGACCGTGCTTGACTGAAACTCTGGCAACTCTGGCAAGGGGGAAGCCGGAAACTGCTTTGTCAGACCTCCGCACCAGCCATTTGTTTGATCAAGTGATTGAGCAATTTTGAACTGAAGCTTAATTAAGAACTGGGACCATAGTTGAAACAAATTGTAGCGTTCCGAGCACTCGGTAGTGGTTCTGGAAGCGCTAACTTCCAGCACTGGAGGAATACTGAATGCAACCACTTTAAAACCCCCGTTGACCCTGATATCGAGCTAAAACTGTTCTAGGAGCGCAAGTGCCGTCTCCAAGATTTGGCGTTATTTACTCCGTAACAGGGCCACCAACAAGCATTGCCATTGCCATTGCCTGCCTGTTTTCAGTCTGTGCTCTGCTAGAGGATTGATTGACTGGGGTGTTAAAAGACAAGAAATTCTCCGAACTGCCTCCTTTCTTTCTTGTGATTTCTCCTCCTTCGCCACATTCTGACTCGAAGAAAGAGGACTACCCTCCACTTCGGATGGCGCGACCTCGTACTCTTGAGACATAATTTCTCCGTCTTTGCCTCTTGCTTCGCCCTGCCTGCTTCAGGTCGCCCGCCGGCGAGTTCAACGTTGCAGTGGCACCTGTCAAGTCCCCCCCAAAAAACACAAACAACCAGATGTGCCGACTCTCGTATACCTATCAACGACATGAACCCGCATTGTTTTGACAGCAGTGGCGGGCATGTTTAGATCGCATCGCGACGTCACGAATGCGTGCTTGCCACGGTGCCTTGCATGACAGGATCTACTTCCGCGTGCTGGGGCCAGGCACAGTCAGATGGGGTCGTGACCTGGCGTGAGTAAGGCACCAAAGATGACGGATCCGAAGCAATAAAACGGGCGACACGCACATCGACGGCTGTGACGGACGGATGATTGGAGGATCTCCATCTGCGAGTTGAAAGCGTCGTGCCTGCTCCCGTCCTTGGGCTTGTTCGAGGGGCTGCAGACCTATGACGGCGCATCCGCTCGCAGAGGTCGGTTTCAGAGAGGAGCATCTTTGTCACAGCAGAGGCTGCCTCAGAGCCGGCCACGAGGGCGAAGCGAAAACAAAAGAGCCCCTCCTGTTTATTTCATTTCCAGCGTCCCCCAATCAGAGCCGGGCTGCCCTGCAGGAGTCCAGTCTCGACAGCCCACGAGACCCCTCCGTCGTCGGGCTTCCGTGGCGAGGTCACAGCCGTGAGCCTCGTGGTGGGCGAGAGTGGGCGGAGGAGCAGGCTTGGTGGGTTCCTGAACCAAGGAAATCCAAGACATCGAATGGCTGTACAGCGCCGTTCGTCTTACACGACTGGTGGGTCATGCAATCTGGTGGTGTAGCGCCAGCCATCCGAATCACCCACTCCGACTTGCACACCCCAGTCTACTAAGCGCCCACTGGCTGTCGGCCATTCCTCGCCAGCCTATCATGTCGCGCTCCCGACAACCTCACCGTCAACCATCTCATATCCCAAAAAAGACCAAGCGGTCCTCAGCTGGGCCCCGTCATCTTCCATTGTGTGGGTGTAGAGTTTAGAATTAAGGCAAGTTGGGTCATAAGGGCCAGAGGTATTCCAGGTCTTGGGTAGGTCGAGTCGGACCCTTTGTCCTGGCTGCGTTTCTTTTTCAGTACCGGCCATCCTCCTTGGTCCGCTCTCATACTCTTATTCGCCCTCCGTCATCCCTCTAATACCAAAGGTTGTTCTCTCATTTTTTTTTCATTATTCCTTTGCCTCTTCGTCGCTGGTCGTCGCTCGCTCGCTCGTTCTTAGCAGTACTTCGTTATGAGGAACCCATCGGGCTTCAAGTATGAAGAACTTCTCTGGTCGATTCACCGAAGCCTACACATCACTGCTTGATACCCTGCTGTGCTGCTCGCCGCTAGGATCATGCCTCGAGGATAGGCGACGGTCGACTGACTCTACTGGTTCGCTGTTTGGATTGTCGCACCTGTCACAAGTGACCAACGCGCGTATTGAGAAGGGCAGTGTCGTGTTCTCGGATCAGCCCAGGTCAACACCACCACCGGTACTGCCGGCTTTTGGAAGCGAGAAGAAGATGGCAAGAGGATATAGCGAGGAGCAGGCTCCGAGGATGAGAGCTAAAGGTTACGGGCGAGGGCTCTTCTCTGCGAGAAGACGGCTGTGGAATCGTTCCTCGTCTACGCGCCGGCCGCAGATATCTGCTCCTTCGAATTTTCGCCATATTCATTCAGAATCATTCCAGTTCCCCCAGCGTTCACACCAATCTCCGCAGCCTCGAGGAAGGCCCAGCTCATTCCGTCCCATAGAGCTCAGTATATACATGCCCACACGCCGCCTATCGCCTATTCTGCCGCACTTCGAGTATCCTGACCGTACCATCACGCCTCCCCCACTTGCACGTACCCAGGGTAGCTTCGACTCTGATGGCATCACGCTCGCTCACGAGAGGAGTTACTCATCCATGTCCTTCCATCTGCCGCGGCGGCCGGTGCCCCAGTCATCGCCTTCCCAGAGCACAGATGAGACACCACCCAGAATCCCCCCGCGGTCTCGACTTCGAGCCTATACGTCGCCCAGCGTCGACAAGATCTATGAGCGTATCGCGAGCGCCATAATCGAGAGAGATCGGCTACAGGATGAGATTGACTCGGTCATTGAGCGACAGAGCATCTACGCCAGCAGCCGACCATCAACAGCTCATGGACTAGGTATGTCTCAACTTCTTGCCAGACGAAAGTCACTAGCAGTAATGCTAATCATTGATACAGGAGACCTCGAACCCATGCCATCTATTCCTGCTTTTCCCGCAGCAGCACCTTCCTTCGCGGAGAGACTCAGCACGGACAGGCCCAATACGGCGCCGCCGATGCCTAACACTGGTATGCCGAGCCACGAGGGTCCCGCCGTTGACGATGAGACCGCCTTTCCAGCCCCGTTGCGTCAGGCCAGGGCGCCAAAGGCACCATCGAGGGTGAACGGGATGCCCGTGGATATCCCACTGGCACCTCCCCTGCCGCTCGTTCTCAGGCCACCTCTAAGGAAGAAGAAGTCTTTCTCGCGTGTCTCTCATTGGTTGTTCCCCGTCGAGGAGGGAGGACAGCACCAGAGGGATAACAGCTTCGGCTCTATTACGAATCTGCCCAAACCCGTGACGGGCAACGAGGGTTTTTACCAGTGCATTGCACCGTCGCAGCTCGCTGAGCGAGCCAGCTTCGATACTATGTCTACAATCTCGACTTGGACAACAGAGGAGGATCCGGCATTGCCTTCTACCTGGTCGCCTGGCAGCTCTCCGGTCACGAAGCAGGAGACGCCAACGTCGGCAGTGGGTCGGATGCCCGTTTTTGGAGGCGGTAATACTAGGCATATTACCCCGAGTGTTGGTGTGGCCTTTTGATCTCGCAGACATCATCTTGTACTTCATATTCTTTGATACCATCACGCATTGTTTTAGCTCCGGGAGCGAGCATCTAGGGAAGCAAGTCAGAGCTTGGCAAAAGGACGTATGTAATATCGGGTCGAGGCTGCCAGAGACGGCTGGGGATTCCAAAATTGGGTTATTTGGGCATGGGCGGGACGGAGCGGACGCTTCCACTTTGATTTCAAAAATTAGCAGATAGATGGAAAGTGAAGATACCAATGGAAGGAATGGGGACACGCACAGCGACGCTGGTGGTCGCCATGCACAACAGGATAATTCGTTTCAGTGTCAGAGTCTCCTAAGCCTTTCATTCGTGAATCATGAGTGACATCCCTCCACTGATCACAGGCTGGGCTCTATCCCGGTACATACCTAAGCCTGTCACTGGTATTGGGCGCGGACTTGCCCCACTCGGGTGCCCCTGTACGCCCACGTGGAGGGCAGTTTCAGGACGCTCCAGACCGCCGCTCCCCCAAATACGCTCTTCGCAGGTGTAATCCATTCTCGTAGTCTACAATAGCAACCCGGATGGCCTCTTGGAGATGAAGATTATCCTGAAATTTGAGGTCAACTTATCCCCGGGCTGGAATCTATGGCGATTTTCTCGGTCACCGTGATTATCCTAAACTCGGACATTGCCTCTTGTAGCGGGCCAAACTAGGTAGCTGGATAAGCAGGTAACATCGGGCGGTCATCTCCACGGAAACCCGAAAAGTATGGACCAGCTCAAAGCTTTGGTCCGCGGCGACCAACATAGGTACAGCAGGTTGCCTGTGTCGGCTGGGACTGAGACAGCTCAGACAAGACAACAAACGCGGTCCGAGAGGCATAGACGCCCCCTCAAGCTCGTCATGGTCAGCCTGAGCGTCGGACTCATCCTCAATCTTGCGGCTGCCTTTGCGTGAGTTCGGCCATACCAAGGTTCAGATCCGAGAAGGCCCAGAGAAGCTGACCGACATATCGACATCTAGGCCCGGCGGCAGCCATGCAGCATCGCCCACTCACACGTGCGATACGCCGGACACAGGCTTTGAGTGCAACAAGTCCATCTCGCACTCGTGGGGGATGTACTCTCCCTTCTTCTCCGTGCCCTCGGAGATCCCCCCCGGGACGCCGCAGGGCTGCCAGGTCACGTTTGCCCAAGTCCTCGCCCGTCACGGTGCCAGGGACCCCACTGCCGGCAAGACAAAGATGTACAGCGACATGATCGAGCAGATCCACGCCGCTGTGTCCGACTACGGGCCGGCATTCCGTTTCATCAAGGACTACGAGTACACGCTCGGGGCGGACCAGCTGACGCTGTTTGGACAGCAGCAACTGGTGAACGCCGGTATCAGGTTCTACGACCGGTACCAGCACCTGGCCAAGGACACGACGCCCTTCATTCGAGCGTCAGGCCAGGACCGGGTGGTCGAGTCGGCGCAGAACTGGACGCAGGGTCTACATCGAGCACGTGTCGATGACCAACATGCGTCCCCTGATTCATTCCCCTACAGCATGGTTGTGCTTCCGGAACATACTCCATTCAACAACTCACTCAGTCATGGCCATTGTCCGGCGTTTGAGAGTACTAAAGATGGTGAGGAAGCGCAGGCGACGTTCTTGGAGCAATTCGGGCCAGATATCCTGGTTAGGCTGAACGAGGGCTTGCCAGGGGCCAACCTGACCCTGCAACAAGTGATCTACATGATGGACCTGTGTCCGTTCAATACCGTCGCTGATGACAATGGAAAGTTGTCAAATTTCTGCACCCTCTTCACAGAGGACGATTGGCGCGACTATGATTACCACGCGTCGCTGGGCAAATGGTACGGCTATGGCAATGGTAACCCCCTCGGGTCTTCCCAGGGCGTCGGATTCGTCAACGAGTTGATTGCGAGGCTGACCTCGACGCCTGTGCACGACCACACAACGACCAATTCGACTTTCGACGAAGACCCCAAGAACTTCCCCCTCGGGGCGGTGCTCTATGCCGACTTCAGCCACGACAATGACATCACGGGCGTCTACGCCGCCCTGGGCCTCTACAACGCTACCAGACCTCTCGCCAAGTCTCACAGGGAGTCCGCCTCGTCGGCGAATGGCTACTCTGCAAGCTGGACTGTTCCGTTTGCGGCGCGGATGTACGTGGAGAAGATGACCTGCGCCGGGAGCTCCGAGGACCTGGTGCGGGTGCTTGTCAATGACAGGGTCATTCCGCTGCAGAACTGCGAAGCGGACAGCGAGGGGAGATGTGAGCTAGGCAGATTTGTGGACAGTCTGAGCTTTGCTCGAGAGGGCGGGCTGTGGGATCGGTGCTTCGTGGAATGATACCCCCCTCCCCTCCCCTTGTTAGATCCGTCAAGCACAGCCAAGGATGCCTACATCCCTGACCATACATCAACGATAGCTTGACTATTTTACTATTTTGGCCTGAGACTTTTGCGTCGGTGAGTGCTTCACATGCTTTTTTTTTTTTTTGGACGGCTATGGCGGGAAGCGATGGCATGATTTTCTCTCCCAAAGGGCAGTGCTCCTGAGACATGCAGTTACAGGCGTGACGAATTGCCTTGCCGCAACGGTCCGCACCTCGGCCAAGTTTTCGGGTTTTTTTTTTTGGACGCATTGTGTAATGGAAAACGGGCGTGTCTGCAATCGGAGCTTGCGGATTCAAGACACGCATGTAGTAGGGGTGAGGCTTGGACAGCAGTGTGATGCAGCCAATCAGATCAAGATCCAAAGGATGCGAGGGATCGGCGAAACGGGAGAGGCTTTCTCGTGGGCGCGGGGCTGAAGGGGGGGGGTTTTGTGGCTTCTGTCATGTCACCATTCTATAAACGACTGTGGTTTGCTGTCAGCGGGACCCAATGGGAGGCTCAGAAGGCGCCGTTGTCTTTGAAGATGCACAAAAGATGACGAGGCAGCAGTTTAGCAAAGGGCCCAATAGAGCTCAGATATCAGAGACAGCTCAGCCCGACTCTGTCAGCTTGGTGCCTGAAGGGAGTTATAGCAAAGGTGTATCACCTCAGACCGTTTCAAGTACGATGGAATTGCTTGAGCCAGAGGGAGAGATCCCAGTTTAGGAACGAATCACTGGCAAGACAAACACTCCCATCGAAGCTCTGGATGTCCAGAGGCATGGATGACATGCCCCTGCAATGCTTGGGCGTGATAAGTGTTACATACCTGGGTAGATTAGGTAGTGGGGCTTGGACAAGACACCCCGGCCCGGGCCAGCACCGCATCCGGTCGCATCACCGGAACCCGGAGCACAGACTCGACTTTTAGCTCCCGTGGAGTCTCAACCTTAGGCGGGCTCACTGACTTGCAAAGTCGGCATTCAGGCCCTATCTACTCGAGCAACGCTACGATGGCTGCCTCTTTGCGCATGCCATTCGTGTCCCTCTCTGCCGATAACTTTCTCTCCAGAGGAGCGGGAGGGCATGTCTTCATCATCAGTTCTCGCGTCGTGTTCAACTGCCCGACAGATTTCAATAATGCTGCACCACAGCAAATAGAGGAAGCCAGAGAGAGCGCGACAAGGATCGCGAGGGAGAAGGTGGTCTACAAGCTTCTAATGAAGAATCCACACCCTCATATCGCCCGATGCATCCTTTGCGTCCCGGAGGGCCTCTTCATCGAGCGCATGGAAACGACACTCCAGGCCCGCATCGACCACCCGGCGTTCGAGGCAACAAGCACACGCACTCGGATAGGATGGATCAGACAGATCGCAAGCGCCCTGTCATGGCTTGAAGGGCTAGGCTACGTGCACGGCGACCTGCGGCCAGCCAATATCCTCCTGTCCGCAGACGACGCCGTCCGACTTGCCGACTTTGACGCCTCTGTCAAAGCAGGCGACCAGCTGCTCGTCGCAAGCGAGCCGTTCTGCAAGCTCGACGAGAATTTCGAGCTTCCAGTCGCCGGTCCCAGCAGTGAGCAGTTTGCGCTGGCGTCGTGCATCTACACGATTCAGTCCGGCCACGTTCCCCACCATGAGCTTGACGCGCCGACTAGGGTTCAGAGGCTCATCTACAATGACCTGCCCAAGACGGACGACGATGGGGTTTTCGGCGATGTAACGCTTAAATGCTGGCAAGCGGAATATGTCTCCATCAAGGCTGTGTTTGAGGATGTTGAGTCTCGTTTTGATACCGGACTCAACTCGTTGCCAATTGAGGGCCTGGATCATGAGATGCCCAGCCTCCTCGCAGAGTGTGAAGAGTTCTTGGCGAGCGAGCGAGAGAGAGAGAGAGAGAGAGAGAGAGAGAGAGAGAGAGAGGCAATAAAGACGAATTAGGTTTCCGGACCTGGCTTCTGTTCTTGAATTGTTGCATAACCTCAAGTACTGGCTGGCCAGTGCAGATTTCTTCGAGCCTTTGGAGCGAACAGGGTTCCCCATAACTCAAAACAAGAAACAAGACGAGATGAAAGAAGCGCAAGCCGGTGCCCCACTTGCTTCCAGAGCTTATCTCAAGTGCTACTGGCCCCACCAGCAAACGTCAGCCAAATCCCCGGACTCCCGTCCCACCTTGGTCTGGTTGCTACCCTCTGTCCGCCCAGAATCACCACCACCACCACCACCTCTCCCAAAAACCACCGTCCTGTCCATACCAGCACACACGGCACGCCCGATGCGCGCCTCAGCCCCGACGATCTGAGACCCGACCGATCATTTCCAGCACATCCGGTCGCACCCGCTGCCATTGCATGTCAAGTCCCTCCACGTCGCAAATCGAATCCCCGCCTAAGCCGTAGCGATGAACACGGCCGGCGTCATCATCCTCGTCCTCGTCCTCTTCCTCGTGGGAGGGGCCGTCGGCTGGGTTCTCTTCACCCGCTGGCGAGCGCAAAGATTAGGCGTAAGTAGTTCTCTCAAGCCCCTCGTATTGGCCTTCTCATTCCTCCTGCTGTCGGCGATGCTTGCCCCCCCCGGCGGCGCAACACTGGGCGCGCGTTTTGCACAAGACAACCCACCGCCACTGTCCATACATACAGACAAAAGGCTAACCATCAAAACCCAACGCAACAAACAGCTCCCGCCCCCGTCCTGGTCCTCCTTCATCCCCTTCGTCCGCTCCGAGCCCTCGTACGGCGTCCAGCCCGCGCGCGGCGGCGTCGTCGGCTGGTTCAACGACCAGGTCCGCAAGTTCCGCAACCGCAACAACCGCAGCGCCGCGGGCGCCTACGAGGGCGCCAGCGGCGTCGGCGGTGCCAGTGCCGGTGGTGGGTCGCACGTGGGCACGGGCCGGCAGGGCCGCGCCGGGTTCGGGCCCCTGGACCCGGACGACGCGTGGGACGCGCGCGTCGGCGCCGAGGCCGACATGTACGGCCCCAGCAGCTACTACGAGGAGCAGGAGCTCGGGTCGCACCCGCAGCACGGCGGGTCGAGCTACGCGATGAACCTGGCCCGCGACGAGGAGGAGATGGGTGCCGGCGGCGGCCAAGGCCGGCGCGGCAGGACTGGCGCCCCCGGCACCGGAGGCGGCCGGGCGAACCCGTTCGAGGACGACGCCGAGCCGAGTAACATGAGTCTGAGGGGGGTGAGCCCGCGGCCGATCGACACGTCGGCGGCGGCGGCTACGCCGGCGAAGAAGGGCGGGCCGAAGGACGGTGGGAGTGCCGAGAGCAGTCCTACCGAGAGGAGATCGGTCTTTAGAGAGAACGTGTAAAGTTCTGGTATGTCCGAGGGACAGAAAGATGTACGAGGTTCAACTTTGGGGTGGAAATTCTGTACGTGCGGGTATGGGTCTGGCTTTGCGTTGCTGATCTTCGTCTGGGGAGCTTGGGCATATTGTATCGATGCTATTTTGGGCAACAATCTGATCGCGAGAGGAAAAGCATGCATATGCTATGCGAAACTTGGCGGCGGTTTTTATTTTTGGAGGGAATTTTGATAGGCGTTGTCGGTCTGATATGTTTATCAAATATCTGTTCATTGAGTGAAGGTTTTCTATCTCCCTTGTAGTCTGGATCGAGGAGTCTGCTATCGACAGTTGATGTCACAGCGGTTCCGCATTGGCTCAGAGCAAAGGATCCAGCTGTAGGTAGAGATTTATAAGATGACATTCTGGGCATGTCTGATGTTCTCTGTCTAGAACTGCGAGATCTCGCGGATACTCCGTAGAGCCAGCCTTTGCCCGGATATGAGTCCGGCGGCTCGGCGCTCGCTAAACGGGGTAGGCCAGGGCCCCCGCAGGTCCCGCTGTCCGGCCCCATAAGGCCTCCGTCATAGGGGAACCAATGCCCCTCCAGAATAATTATCGTCCTCAATCTTTACCCCTCCAATCCCAGGAGCTGTGAGACCACACGAAGACGTGTTGTGAGACCACTTGTATATATCCCAGCTCCGAAGGGCGGTTACCCAGACATTTTCCAAGATGGCCGACGTCAATCTGCAAGAGATCCACGACACGCTGCTGTCGATCGCCTTTGAGGCCGGTCGGATGATCATGGCGGCCAACCCCAATGACATCTCGACCGGCACCAAGCTCAACTGTAAGCTCTTGCTTTCGGGCCAGAAGCTCCCACAAGCTTCCCGCATAACGTTTCTCAAGCCTCATTTCTACCCAATTGACCATCAGTTATGCTGACTGACATTGCCCGTGCGCCTTCACCAGCCGTCGACATCGTCACCGAGACCGACCAGGCCGTCGAGAAGATGGTCTCGACGCGCCTGCGCGCCGCCTACCCGGCCTACGAGTTCGTCGGCGAGGAGACGTACGTCGCGGGCGTCACCAAGATCACCGACGCGCCGACCTTTATCGTCGACCCCATCGACGGCACGACAAACTTCATCCACGGCTTCCCCAACGCCTGCATCTCGCTCGGCTTCGCCGTGGCGCGCCGCCCGGCCGTCGGCGTCGTGTACAACCCGTTCCAGGACCTGCTATTCACGGGCGTCCGGGGCGAGGGCGCGTACATGCAGCGCAACGCCGCCCTCGCCGCCGCGGGCAAGCTCGAGGCCGAGCGCCGGCGCCTGCCGCTCTTCCCCGGCGGGGCGCCGGCCCTGGGCGACCTGAGCACGGCGCTCGTGGCCGTGGAGTGGGGCTCGAGCCGCGACGGGCCCAACTTCGACGTCAAGGCCGAGGTCTTCCGCCGGCTCGCCGCGAGCAAGGAGGCGGGGGGTTCCATGTGCCACAGCCTGCGGTGCCTGGGCTCGGCGGCGCTGAACCTCTGCGCCGTGGCCGCGGGCCAGGTCGACTGCTACTGGGAGGGCGGGTGCTACGCCTGGGACGTGTGCGCGGGCTGGGCCATCCTCGCCGAGGCCGGCGGCGTCATGGCCGACGGCAACCCGGGCGGGTGGGAGCCGGCCGTCGACGCGCGGACGTACCTGGCCGTGCGCGGGGCGGCGGCGCTGGAGCAGCAGAGGGCGCTGGTCGAGGAGTTTTGGCGGGTCATTGGGGACGGCAGGATGGACTATAAGCACTGATGCGGGGGGGGGGGGTTGTCTAGGTACGGTTTTCCCAAGACAAGAAGTGGGCGATAATAGACAAGATTTTGGCATAGAATCTACGCCTGGGAGGCGTCAAAAAGTCAATAGAGTAGATGTTGGTGGTTTTCCAAGAGAATGTCGCGAGTCGACCGTGCACGTACTGGATAGCATAGACGAGGCATTGCCATATCTCTAGATACGAAACATTGCATTTGGGCGCATGGGGTAATAAGGTGCTGCACTTGACACATTGCAATTCAGAGTTCCTCGTGGATGCTGACTTTTTTTTTTCGAATTGCGAATAAGGTCTTCATCTGAGGCTATTCAATTTCCAGCCACGAAATCTTCCATGAGCCACTCTGATAATAGCGGCCTAGATGCAGAAATATTTGTCCAAGACAAAGTCTTCCAGAGGAATGAGATCTAGTCCCGAGAATATAACATAAGTTTTACTCATGCTAAGTAGGTGAAAAAGAAGAGACCAAGATCTGAGTGTATTTATACCGATTTGCTCCGACTGTTATCAGCACCAAATTTCCCGCCACAGTCTCTTGTTTGAGCTTGTGCCTGCTGCCTTTGGAAGAAGATTTGGGAATGCAAAGCCGTACCATGGGCTAAACACTATCATGATCTGAATTCAGCAAAAGGTCAAAACTAGACAAATCACCAGCTGGTATCCCAAGGACGGCAACGACTGGCGGAAAACCCCATGCACACTCAGAGAGAAAATAAGGTGTGCCATCTATGCCGCCCCATCCCACCCATATGTGCAAATACGTGCAGGGAGCAAGGGGAGCAAAGAGTCCCAGTCCAACAGGTCCAAGTAGGGGCCCGCTTTCCAGAATGAGAAATCGAACGAGGATAAGCATCAATAGGATGCAGAGCCGAATCTAGATCTAGGGCCGTTCCGCCCACGCCCTGGAGCGACAACGCGCGGTACAGGGCGTCCGCAGCCATCAGAAGGTAGTTCTACAAGTTCGCCACCTCCACACACCGGAAGCATGGAGCGAGCTTGCTCGCACTAACTGTCCTTGGGTTCTTGGGTGAACTCGTTTCAACTCGTACGTACTTGTTTTCGTCTGCAGGGACTCCAAAGGGTTCACAGGCAGCAGACCGGTGTGAAGATCAGAAGGCGAAATGGTGTGAAAAAAGGTTGCGTCTCACCGTCCAACGCCACCCGCTCGCCGGGTGCAGATCCGTTTTGCCCCTTTGCCGTTCCGTGGCACTACGGTGCATATGGTCACCTGCAGCACGGTCTGGGAAAATCCAGCGAATCTGTGGGAAGCGTATTTAGGTACGTACGTACGTACGTGCCTGGTTCGATGGGTTTTGTTGGGCGAAGGTGCGCACGGTGAAGATACACACATGCTGACTGCTCAAAGCACTGGGCAGCAGGCGAAGCTTGGAAGGGCATCATCCGCGGCATCCTGAGCCGAGTCTAGCCTTAGCTCAACGGGTGTTCGTGATCCCAGACCGGTTCACACTTATTGTCTGTTGATGGTGGCCTCTTCCCACTAGTGGGATCTGAACAGGTCCGTATCTGTGATATATCCCTGACACATCGTCTTCAGGGTCCCTCCCTCATCACACTCCAGGAGGACTTGCATAGCGTGGTAAACTCTCTCGTCTGGGGGCTTGCGGTGGTCCGGACTACGGCGCGCTATGCTTCCTCTAGAGACCTACCTAGGTCACAAGGGGAAACAGAGCGGGGATGCCACGAGGACCGCAATTTAGGGACTGAGGGTCTAGAAAGAAATCCGTCTATCGAAATAAGATTAGGGTGTGAAGACGCGGATAGCCTTGTTTACGAGTACATGAAGCGTCGGGAGACCTGTCCCGTCACGCTTGTCATCAGCCCGAGGGGTGTGATAGTGGTGCAAAGTGCAGGAACGAAGCTGACAAGACTGCAAGAAACAAACAGCGAGAGTTTCGCCAGGAGTGTCCGATCACCAGATAACACGAATGAAGCCTTGTCATGCAGTGGTCGGCATGTATCGTACGGATGGTCTCGAAGCCATCCTGCAAGGTAGATAGCTGGCCAGCAGGAGGGTAAGAGTGAGCAGACTCGCCTGGGAATGGGCTTTCAACTTGGATCCTGGACACGACAAGACAAGGAAAGGATGAGCGGAGGAGGTTACATCCCAGTGCGCGGTGCAGAAGCTGGACATGCATATGCTGTATGCACATGGATCCCTCGACCTCCCTTCCAGCCCACTGCAGGTGGAACCGCACTAAGTCGGCCTAAATTGGCGAGGTGGGTAGGGGAACGGTCTCTCGGGGTCAACACCAGATGAGTCGACTGGCGATCCTCGAGGTCAAGCGACTCATGCTTGGTATGCTTGGATCCGACCCGCGGTGAAACAGGTGTGCAAAGAAAAGATGCCCCTTCGTCCGAAGCCCAGTCACCAGGGTCATGAAATTGTCGCCGTGCTGCAGAAACGTACGAGAACAGAGTACATAGACCTTGTTTGGGCTGCAGGTTGCCGAATGACTGGAATGATCAACATGGTACGGCAGAATTAAAATCACCCGAGGATTGCCTCAAGCTCGTTTGCAGGTGAGAACAGAAGGGCAGAGCAGGTGGGTGGGTGTGCTTGTGAGATGAGATCGTGCGACGGCGTTGGGGGCGGGCGCGGTGGTGCAGGTGGCTGCTTTACCGCCGGTGTCGGCATTGCCATTGGGCAGAGGCGAGTGCTTGCTGCACGTCGCCGCCGTCTGCGTGTGCGGGTTGCAGGAACATGCAATAAGAGGCACAGTAGTCACAGCAGAGGGCATGGCGTCCGCCGCAGAACCACAGCAAATCGAGATTCGTGGTGAAGAAAAGCCAAGGAAGGCTGGAGGCAGGTCGGAAGGCCCGGCGGGGGGTTCGGGACTTGATGCACCGCAGGTGGTCTGGGCCAAGCCGTTCCTCGTTCGTCGGCGGCGCCATAGCCACTGTTTCTCTCTCTTTTGTTTGACGGACGAGCTCGATGGGAGTATGTGGGGTTTTCGTAATTTCTGGCCAGGTGGGAAAAACGAACGAACAAGTCAGCCGCATGATGCCTTGCAAGACCCATGCCCGCCAAAGCTTTGACGTAACAGGTTACTATCGTTCGTCTTTCCCCGCCTCCGAATGACCAGGATCATGGTAGCACACTGCAATAAAACGACAGCCACCTTTCTGAGATGCACGTAAACAACAAACACAGTGATGTGCGTGCGTGTGTGTGTGTATGTGTGGATGTGGGTGTATGCCATATGGACATCCCAGACCGCTAGTCTAGTGTTCGGCATGGATTTGGCCTGGCATGCACAAAATAGAATTATATCACAAAAATAGCCTGTTGCCGGCTTATAGCAAGAAGTGTACTGATTAATCCTGTATCTTCTATTTCGAAGATACTTCAATGAACAGAGGAAAGAACAGAAGCACAAGTGTTGACGCTGGTGATGGCCGGAGGAGGAGAAGGAGGAGGGAGGAAGGAGGTTGATCTCGATGGGTGGTCGTCGGACAAGGAGCGAGGTCGCAGTGTGTGGTTGGCTCGATAATGCTAGAAATTTCCAAGGCTCAATCAAGCTAAGGCACCTGCGGCACTCGGCTCTCCATCTTGAATTATTGTCCAATTAGCGACAGCCGTCCGCCAGCCAGTGCGGATAAACTGAGAGGCAGGCATGTCCGGCTCCACAAAACAGGACGACGTCCTCCGGCCTCCCCACCGCTGATTGGCCAATTCGATCGAAAGAGGCAGTTGAAGAAAGGCAGAGATGTCCGTGTCACCCATGTCTGACGCTAGAGATCTCGAGCGAGAAGACGCCGCTCGCGGACAGGTGGGGCCTTCAGTGGGAGCTAGCGCTGTAGCAGCCCGAGGGCGGGGGCCCCTGTCGCCTGCATTCTGGGCACACATGTTCTATCAAAAGACCGCTCCAGGCTTGTCTGCGCCCAGCCCGGGCAGATCTTGGTTGGGTGTGTAGCGGTTGCAGATGGCCTGTCGCCGCACTTTCTCTTCTTCTTCCCCACCTGGCCACCTTGTTCTCGTCCATCTTCGTTTTTTTCCTGCGCCTACCATCCTCTTCCTCCCGAGATCGCCGCAAGCCCTTACGCATCCCAGCCCCTCCCTCGGTCGGTGAACACTGTCTCACCTTGCATGCTGGCGATCCCCGGTAGATCAGAGATTACAGGCACTCGGAGTCGCTGGTGATCAACTGATGGCGTTCGCACAGACAGCAGCATAATGGTGACAAGTCTGGTGTCGAAGAAGAAGAAGAGGGAGGAGGAGGAGGAGGAGGAGGTGAGGATGGTGTGTGGTGGATCCGAACCATGGAGGCTTGCTTGTCCGATCCATCTGCTGTTCCAAGGTCTGTCACTCTGGCGCGTCCTACACTTCCCGGCCTGCTCCCTTGCCGGCCGGGTCCTGCGTGAGCATGAGCAAGGTCGCAATCATCCTGGCCCGGCCCAGCTCCACTCGAGACCAGTCGCCCCTCCACACTTCTTCCTTTTCTGTGCATCTTTTCTATCGCACACTGTCGCGCCAACTCCGGGAAGAGTCCTTGCTGCTCTGACCGGCGGTGTCCACCTTTTTTTCTGATCCCACCGGTGCCACCCCAGGCGATACTATTTCTATGTCGTTCCGACGACTCCTCCCCATCTTCCTTACCCTCCCCCTTCTTTCTCTTTCTTTTTTCTAGATAGCAAATAAACACGGATAGCATCATCAGTCCTGAACCATCCACGAGACTGCTCTCTTGAATCTACCGTGTCTGCATAGCACAGACTATACGTGCATCTTTTCGCGGGAACGTACACTACAACTAGACATTCCGGCATCCTGTTGAGCATTTTGCTCCAGATAGTCAGTCATACCACCTCTATCAATACCACCGCATTCACGACATCGCATTCGCCAAGGGCCTCTGTTCCAACCTCGCCCACGCGACGACACAACACTTGCAGTTTCTTGCTATCCTTAGCAGACAGGTGTTGTGTCCATCAGTCGTAAGACTTGCACCATCCAGGAAGGCAATGGCTCTAACCAAACAGAGATACTCTCGCAACACCGATGACTTCCCGACGCTGCAACTCTTCCTCCTCGGTAAGTCACTGGGTCGCACCAGCGTCACGCCTACCTAGTCTGCCATGTGCCCTTTGCTGACCATCTTCCCTGCAGCCATTGTGCGACTCGCGGAGCCCATCGCCCTGACATCCATCTTTCCCTACGCGTGGGCCCTCGTAAAGCAGTTCGAGATCGGAAACGAGGAAGATGCATCCTTCCACGCCGGCCTGCTCATCTCCTCCTTCTCGCTTGCCGAGGCCGTCATGGGCATGTACTGGGGCGGCGTCTCTGACAAGATTGGCCGCAAGCCCGTCCTGCTCCTCGGGTGTATAGGCACGATGTTTAGTATGGTCATGGTCGGATTTGCCACCAACATCTGGATCGCCCTCATCGGGCGAGTTCTCGGCGGTCTGCTGAATGGCAACATCGGCGTCATCCAGACCATGGTTGGAGAGCTGGTGACCAAGCCCGAACACGAACGTAGGTCTCCCTTTTCTCTCGTTAGCTTCGTCGATGTGGGGAACAGAGAACTAACAATATCTCTCCAGCTCGAGCGTACTCCATCATGCCTTTTGTTTGGTCTGTGGGCACCATCATTGGCCCTGCCATCGGAGGAACGTGCGCCAATCCTCATGAGTCCTTCCCCAACCTCTTTTCTGCTGAGGGCATCTTTGCCAGGTTCCCCTATCTCCTGCCCAACCTTCTCTGTGCTTTGCTGCTGCTTGTCAGCATCGTTCTGGGCTATTTCTTCCTCGAGGAGACCCACCCTGACATGAGAACCCGCATCCCTCCTCCCGTCGAGACGTACGTCTCTGACGAGACTCCACTCATGGAGACGTCCGATGCTATGAAGCGGCCAGCCGTGGACATGCGGGATGAGACTTATGGAACCTTCAGGAGCCAGGACAGCGCCGAGGAATCCCAGGCACAATGGGCCCGCGAGGAGAAGCGGTTCAACACTAGCATCTTCTCCAAGCGCATTATGTCTGTGGTGATTGCTCTGTCGATCTTCACGTATCACTCGATGACGTACGATCACCTCCTACCCATCTTCTTCGAGGACAACCGAGCCCCGAGCATGGCCCTCGCTGGTCTGTCCCCTGGCAGCCTGTTCTACGCCCCCGGCGGGCTTGGCCTGTCTCTCCAAAACGTTGGCATGATCATGGCTGTCAACGGCGCCATTGCGCTTTTCATCCAGGCGGTGATCTTCCCCATTGCTGCCGAGCGCATCGGAGTGCACAGGCTGTTCATTCTGGTCACCGTGCTTCACCCCATCTCTTACCTCTTGGTGCCTTTCTTGCTTTATGTTCCCCAGGGTCTCCTCTACCCTGCCATCTACGCATGCCTCACTGTCCGCAATCTCTTCGCCATCATCGTGTACCCCCTACTCCTCATTCTGATCAAGGAGGCCACCCCGAGCCTCTCGGTCCTCGGCAAGGTCAATGGCATGGCAGCGAGCGCCGGCGCCGCTTGTCGCATGATCGCTCCCCCCATCGCCGGGTATCTGTACACCGTTGGCAGCAGGATCGACTGCACGGCCCTGGCGTGGTATGGAAGTGCCGTGGTTGCTGTGATCGGAGCCTTCCAGTGTTTCTCCGTGAAGCGTGAGAAGGCTGCGGACCAGCACTCAGGTGAGGAGGCCACGGGCCGGAAGGGACAGAACGGAGCGATTACTACCATCCTTTCCGTTTCAGAGGATGACGAGTAAGGCCCTCGTGATCTTAAGTGAGATCATAAGGTGATGACCAGATCGGGAGTGCGATGCCTGCATATGGGGTCGTCTCGTGAAACGAACAAGCACCCGGATACCCAGGTCCTGGAGCGAGCACATACGAGGAGGGTTGGAATATGGTGGATGGGATCACGCTCGAAACGCCGATACGTTTGTTTTATTCTGCAAAAAGACGTATTTACGACGAAAGCGAGCGACGGCGTTATGGTTGTTTTGGGTTTGAAATAAAAAATCTGCGCAGACTTGCATTCACAGGCGCAAGGGTAAAAGGGCGGCTGCATTGTGTTTGTTGTATTCGAGACGTCTTGGAAAAGCTTGGGTTTGCATTTTAGCAGCGATGTATGTAGTTATGTACATAGAAGTCCTCTGCGTCGGTTTCCATCGATGCGGGCAGTCTATATCGGTAATAAAAATGGATCATGTCAAGTTGCTCCTATTATGCTGTCTCTGTGAACTGCCATCGCTCTGGATTGGGAGGGCTGAAGTTTTGAAGATTCGTTCGTCTCATGAAAAAAGTGGGGGTGTCGTGAAGATTCGATCCTGACGGCGACTTCTGGAAACTTTTTCCAAAGGGTTCGATAAAGACATGCGGCTATTCGACTAGCACGAGGAGAGGAAACACACAATTCTTCTTGGTATCAAGTACACGCCGTACAAACCGGGCAAGAACTGCAGAAAATAACACTTTGAGCCCTCACTTTGGTGAGACAAGTCGGCTCTCACTCGCCTACTCCGAAAATGGTCCAGCTCGAAGAACTCATCGAAGCTGCCGCAAGCAAATACAACTTCTCAGACAGCAACGCCCAGACCAGCGGCACGCCTTCACAGGATGGATCGGGCGTCCCGCTGCCGGACCTGCCGCCCGAGCGCAAGGCCACGACCGGCAAGACGGCCGACGAGCTCTGGGCCGAGCTCAACAAGTCGCCCCTCTTCATGACGGAGCTCGAGGACAACGACGACGTCGCCGCCCTGCAGGCGCTCGCCTACGAGGGGACGCCCCTCGAGAACGCCTCGGACTTCAAGGAGCGCGGCAACGAGTGCTTCCGCGAGAAGAAGTGGTCCGACGCGCGCGAGTTCTACGACAAGGGGGTCGCCATCCTGACGGCCGAGGAGCGGCGCCGGGCCAAGGGGGAGCCGCCCCGCGCCCGGGAGCCCGAGGACCCGCCCGGCAGCGACGACGACCCGGACGAGGTCGCGCGCCAGCGCGGCGTGCTCGAGAGCACGTACGTCAACCGCGCGGCGTGCCAGCTCGAGCTGCGCAACTTCCGCTCCTGCACGCTCGACTGCGCCGCCGCGCTCAAGCTCAACCGCCGCAACGTCAAGGCGCTGTACCGCAGCGCGCGGGCCCTGCTGGCGCTGGGCCGCGCCGACGAGGCCGCCGACGCCTGCGCGCTGGGGCTCGACGCGGAGCCCGCCAACGGCGCGCTGCTGGCGCTCGCGAGGGACGTCGAGAGGAAGGCGGCCGAGGTGCGGGAGAGGCGGCGCCGGGAGGAGGAGCGCGCGGCGCGGGAGAAGCGGCGCGCGGCTTTGCTCAAGGCGGCGCTGGCGGCGCGCGCGATCCGCACGCGCAGGACGGAGCAGCCGCCCGAGATGGAGGACGCGCGGGTGCGGCTCGCGCCGGACGAGGACGACCCGCGCAGCACGCTCGAGTTCCCCGCCGTGCTGCTGTACCCGGCGCACCTGCAGTCCGACTTCGTCAAGGCGTTCGGCGAGGCCGAGGCGCTCGAGGCGCACCTGTCGTACATCCTGCCCCCGCCCTGGGACGCGCGGGGGGAATACACGCCCGCCGGCGTGGAGTGCTACATGGAGACGGTCGCGGGGGGGCTCGTCAAGATGGGCAAGAAGGTGCCGCTGCTGACGGTGCTGTCGGGCGGCAAGGTCGAGGTCGTGGACGACGTGGTGCGGATCTTCGTGCTGCCCAAGGCCCGGGCCGAGGGCTGGGTGCAGGAGTTCAAGGCTAAGAAGGCGGCGGAGAAGAAGACGTGAGGCGAGAGATGCGGAGATCAATGGTGGAAAGAAATTCCAAAAAAGGGTATTGCGTCAAAAGGCAGCGTGAATGCAATCAGACTCCAACGCCGAACTCACTTGTTGTCTCTTTGACCGCCAGGGAGGACCAGAGACGTCTAGCTATGTCTAATGTAGAAAACTCTATATTCATTACAGGATGTAGGTATGAAATTAATTCATTTGGAGCTCTCGTTACAAGGAAATAATTGTACCACCAGTGATCCCCATTCGACCTTGACGCAGCCACTCCGATATTCCTCCATTTGGCGACTATCATGTCCAAGAAAAGGCCTTTCCATCAAGCTCAAACTCAAAGCTCGTTCGGCCCATGCCGTCACACAACCCTATTCCTTCCCTTACACCATGCCAAGAAGATATTGAAACTACCGTCCCCCGTATGTCCTCGTCATCAGCGGCCGTAGACATACTCCTTGTGAGTAATCTGGCCTCAGAACTGCGACGATCGTGTCCTCTTGCTCCTGCGCCTCGGCTGCGTCTCCACCGCCTTGCCCTTGCTGCACCTGCTGATACTAGACGCTCTCTCCATCGCTGGCGGGCTGGAGTAGGCAACGCCCAGACCCAAGAGCAGTTCTGCGGCGTCCTCGTCATCGCCAGTGGGCTGCCGCTGCTGCAGGAACGCGTTGACCCGTCTCGCGGCATCGACCATCGCCATCGGGTTGGCGGCAGACTGGCCCGGCGTCGGTTCCCTCGCCGGCCTCGTCGGCTCGACTGTCGGTGGAGGGGGTCGCCAAGTACGATCGGCGGTTTCTTGTTGTTGGAGTCGCTGTGCCAGTCCTATTTGTTGTTGTTGTACTCGTTGCCGTAGCTGTTCTGATACCGGCGGCGGGGTCGGCAGCTCGCGGCGGTAGGGGTGGTGTCGGTGGTAGGGCATGGAGGTCCCCGAGGGCAGGGCCGAGAGCCACGGGTCCGCGGTCCTGAAGGGGTCGTTGTCGCCAAAGTGCACTTTGCTCTTGTACTCGGGCGGCGTCCAGGGGTGGCTCGTCGGCATCGGTGGCGGCGGCGGGAGCTGGCTCTGGTAGGTGTAGGCGGACTCGGGACTCATGTCTGGGCCCATGGAGTACCTGACGTACCCGCCCCTGTAGCTGGGAGCCAGCATTCTGTCTTGAATAACTCGGTATTCCAGGCTGTTGCTGCCCGGATACGCGTCCATGGAGCCTCTCGAGCGTCCGCGAGAGTGTCTGCTGCCGTGGGAACTGGCCGTCGACAAGTCGCGAACGACGCTGGACTGCCGGGGGTGCCCGCGCTCCTCCATGTTCTTCTCGCGGTCCCTCTCGGCATCCTGGATCGCTCGGGCGACGATGTCTGGGTCGATGGTCATGCAGCCGAAGTTGGGAGAGCTGGGAGGTATGCAGAGGCTTGGAAAGTCGGGTCCGAAGATGGGTATAAGTGCACCGGATATCTGGTAGCAGAATGTAGCACAGACGGCTTTCGCACAGCTATATGGCATCCAGTACCCTGTTGAGCTGTGGTCAGTTCCCAAGATCTCCATGCATGATTCGACGAGAGCGTACCTTGTGCGGGGATCGAGCCTCCGGTAATGCTGTGCGTAATCTCCTTCAGTCCGCGGTTCATGCCGAGCATTTTGGATGGTTGGGTCTGAGTTGGTAAGTGTTAGTCTCAGTGCTCTATGTGGAAAAGAATGCGGTCTTCCGACACCCCCTCTACGGTACCTTACCTTGCTGTATTGACAAGCCTTGAAGAAAGGGGTCATCCGGACCAGTCCAACGTTGTAGTCCCACATAACGGTAAACTTCTTATCCGAACCGGCAACCTCAAAGGTGTATTGGAATACTGCGGAAAGGATGGGTGTCAGACGTCAATGGGCATTTGGACATCGGATGGCATCACTGACCTTCAAAGCTCTCGCGGCCCGTCTTCTGGTAAAAGTCCTTTTTGCCGCTGTTGTAGGGAATGTGGCCGGGACTGTTCTGGATCTCGCCCAATGGCGAGACTCGAAACTTTTGAACTTCTCGACGGGCGCTGTCGTCCAGGTGGTGCTCGTAAGGGGGGAATTTGACCTCGCCTTTGGTATTCAACCAAGCGTAGTTACTCGGGGATGGGATAGCTGCTGAGTTCGACAGAAGCGGGCCATCTCTTGATGGAGGGAGATCAGTGGAAGATGTCCAAGCCGGGGAGAGACTCGGGCTCGCTCGGTAGTGCTGAGCCAATTGAGCTGGCGATGTTGGGTTGAGCAGAGACCGTACGGGCAACATAGCGATGATGGGTATGGATGCAGGTGCCCAACTCTCGAAAGTGCAACGATGAGCGACGAAAGAATGATAGAAAAGAATCAATGAGGCAGAGACAAGAGTGATAGGTAGCAAAGGGGGTTAAGTACGGAAGTTGCAAACTCGCGGGTGCGGTAGGCAAAAAGGGTGCATGAAAGGTGCTTTTGTGTTGGTCACTCTGGCAAACAAATCAAGATACACGCCCAGTCAACCCGCAACCACTGCTGGAATCAGCCGAGTTGCAAGCCAGAACCGAAGCAGACGACCTTGTTCCTTTCTTTGCTTGAGAGTCTCGGAGTTGCCGACGACTAGAGAGCCTGATCCTCGTGGAGGGCGGTCGGGTAACAGCCCAGGAGTCGTTTCTTTTTGTCCAGGGATGCTTGCCTACAATGTTCCGCATGGAATGTTCTTTTCGTTTGTTTTGTCCACCGCTACTCGGAGGCGGTATGGTGAGCTGGCGAGAAGCCACAAAATGATATTTGATCAGAAAAGACAGGGCAGATGGGCCACCTGACCAGCATGCCTACGCCGTCAGTTATGACCACAACAGGGGCCTGTTAGGGATTGCGAGGGTGATCAAAGGAGTTAAGGGACAGGTATCGGAATCAAACTTGTGTGTTCTGTCTTGGGAATCGAGGTCGAGATCCGACTGATTGAGCTTTTCGCAGACACAGGTTCCGTAGGGCAAACATACTGACTTGGAACTTGAGCACCCAGGCTCCAACTGCATTGACAACGGCGAGTGTGTAGGTAGGATTTCCTGTGACAACGGAAGCACGCAAGAGCGTGTGGAGACTGAAAATAAGGACGGCCTAGGCCAGTTTCACTTGAGTTCACCAAGAAGCGTGTTGGTCCCAAAAGGGCGAGTGCAGGCGACTGCATGACGCAGTCTGCAATTATGTGGCTTGATGGGGTGTGGGATGGGGAGATGTTTGACGGCGACAAATAGCCCCAGTGTCTACTTTGGAAGGGCTCAAACACCACCACTTGCTCAAGGGGGCCATCTTGTTAAGGGTAGTTTTGACAGCAAGCAGGTGCCCGGCTGGCTGCAGGGAGCTGCCGTCCGGCTAACGGGGCAAGACGGTCGTCAAGAACGCGGGTAGAACCAGCTCGACATGTTGCAAAACATGGAACACCCTCCCAGGCAGCCTTGGTCAACTGAGCACACGTGGCTGAGTCGACTACATTCACATGGAGGGTAGCAACACGCTTTTGTCGTCTGGTGCACCCGCAAACGATTTGTTCCGCAGCTGAGGGGTTGGAATGACCCAACAATCCGACGGATGCTTGTTCCCATCAAGGGCCTCGGCCGCTTCACCATTACCACTGTCTTCCCCCAGGCCCATCAGTCAGTACCGTCAATAGCTATAGACAGAAAGGAAAGACAACACCAGGCCAGTGTTTCCAAGTGGGACACTGGGTGAGCTGCTTCGTTCTACTGTGCCTGGCATTCAAAAAACAAAGGCCAAATCTGTCAGTCTCGATAACGGGGATTCCGTAGATTGAACGGGCTCTGTGGTGACTTTGAAGCAGATCGATCCGCAAGGGACCATTGGCTGGGAAGGAGGTGGTGCAAGTGATGTACTTTGGGGCAAACACTACATGAAGTTACCACATATTGGGTGAACGTTTGTGTGTAGGTGCCCAAGCTCCGTCCGTCAAGCAGGTGGCTGGCCGCCAGTACCTTGGCCCCGAAATAGCTCTGATAGGGATTCGAATGAAACACGGGATGATTGCCAGTTGCCAACAACAAAAGCCAATTAATAGTACTTTGCTAGTCTGAGTGACTCGTCACATTGGAGAGGGAACAGGGGAACAGGTGCTTGCTTCGCTTGAGCTGAGGAGATGAGAGTAACAGATTAATCCAGCGCGAGGATTTCGCTGCATCATTTTTGTGAAGGAGATATGAAGGGGATATGAAAACTGGTGAACAGGAAGTAGTCGGGATGGGGGTTGGGATCGGTGATGTTGTGGGATCAACTGTGTAATGTGCCGACGATCCAGAAAGGCCAGTCCTGGTGTGGCCAACCAGGGCCAGCCCGCCACTCATCTCAATGAATTAGAAGAGGCTTATCCCCAATAGTCAATAGTGAAAGGAGTCCTGCAGCTGGCCGATCGTGTGTCAAGGTCCATCTCCACCAGCAAACCATGAGGAACTTCTTTGCGTCCATAAGTGGACAAAAGAGGCACGGCATAACATCGAACGGGACGAGAAGGGCATAAGATTCGATGTAGCGGCAGCCATCGTGAAAACAATGACCTCTGCCTACACATTTTGCAGTGGACACTGGGCGAATGTTACTGAGTGAGCGCTCGCTCATGGCTAGAACGCCCACTGGCACTGCACGTTTTGTTCGCCCGGGTGCGCAATAAGTACGTCAATGGTTGATAGGAGCTTGCGGCCTGGGCTCCTCAGATGCAGGAAGTTGTGCGAGGTACGGTGTACAGTTGAGGGTTTCACTTTCAGGCAACACCCGCCTCCCTAATTCGCCCGTTTGGGCGGCATGGGCACGCCGCGCGGAGACGGAGATACATGCTGGAGGCTTGAACCAGGAACAGCCCTGTGCTGTGTCTTTGTGATCTGGGAAAGCTGCCAGAGGACCCACTGCCGGCCATCTTGACAGGAAGATACCGGCAGGCCATGATGAAGCAACCTCAGGGAGGGGCGTGTGACAGCAGCAGACCACGGCGTCCGTCGCACAAGTCGACTTCGGACTTTTTTTGATTCTTTGTGTTGGCCTTGGAGGGAGCAGAGTCGCACCGACGCCTGGGAGAAGAAGCTGCGGGGCTGCAAACCACGCCGCTCGATAGGTGAGGACCAAGGGAGCCGGGCAAGTATGAGCGTTTGAGGTAGCGCAGAGAGCGTGATGCAAGAAAGCATGCAGTGTGTTACGGCAGCCGAGTGGGCATGGCTGGTTGGACGCCTGGGCCCTGGCCAGCAGCGGTTGTCTACATCCTCACGTGGATGATGCATGAAGCGCGCAACCATGATTGCAATTTAAATCCAAGGAGATTACCCGCCATTGAGTGTTTGGGCACTAGCCCGGCCGACCTCGACAAGTCTCATGAGCACGACATGTCTAGTGCACCAGGATAATAGTTGCCGGCGCACTCGAGCCTCTTCTCTTTTTCTAGAAGGGCCCCAGAAGACCCCAAGGAGAGTGAATGTCGAGACGAGATCGAATGAGATGTGACAATCGGTACCTTGGGCACAGTCCAGACCGAATCTGGCCACTGTTAAGAACATCTTGGTGTGTAACAGCCATCAGCAGCCAGGGGAGCCAGAACGGTCAACAACGGGAGAATGAACAACCAAACAAAGACCCAAGAGCCAGATACAAGAAAGGAAGAGAGAGAGAGAGAGGTACCAGGGAAGATGCCTGGTGGTACAAAATTGCGGCGACTCGTGTCTCTGCCCTCTGCAAAGACCTAGCATTGAGAGATCTTTGTGAGACAGCCGTAGAGGAGAAAAGGATAGATGGATGGCTGTAGCACACCCTGTCTGTTCAGTGGGTCTGGCTGAAATGGTCTGGTGCGGGCCTTTGGAGATTCGATCGCATTTGTCCAGAGTGACAGCCAAATATATACAAGTAGATTTCGACAGAGCCGGTGACGGGGTGACAGAGGAACGAGGTCATCACCACCACCAGTGTCGACGTTTGTCCTCGCACTCTGCTAATTGGTCAGGCCAAGTCACAGGCCCCAACTGGCCCACTGTTGTCAGCTAGCCGAAAAGGGAATGAGGCTGAACCACCCTGGTGCCTTGGGCGCTGCGGGCGCAGTCCTGCCAACTAGTTACGCAGTCCCCCAAAAACACGCTAAACTGGGGTCGCCTCCCTTTTGACGCGTGAATCGCAGGCGCGCACCACTAAAAACGTCGCTCACTGGTATTCAGCCTGGGCAGGGGCCCGTTTTTGTTTACCTCGCTTCCCGTTGCAGAGACGGCAGAGCGGCGCCAATCCAGACAACGACAACAGGACTGCACAACCAAAACATCAACAAATTCCCCGCCTCGACCCTCGTCGCTTCGATTCCTGCCGGTACGGATAGTCACCTCATCCCCTGGGCAAGCAGCAGGGCACGACGACGGCATCATTACCACCACATGTAGGACGGGGTTCCTCCCTTTTTCCTCGTCGCTCTTTTCTGCCATCAGGCCATTCTTTTTCCTCTGTGCGCGCGCCTCGTGTGTGCTGCCGCAAATCGGTCGCTACAAGACTTTGCCCGTTCGATTACATCCCCGTGCAACCCATCAAAGCTCATTCACGTCCCCGAGGCTTAGGATCACGCCTCCTGAGAAGATGGATTCCGATATCATGGAGGACTCGGTCTTCAACGACCTTGAAGATGAGTCTGATGCGTATTCCCCAGAAGCAGTACGTTCGTCCCAACCAGTGCCAAGATGCGGCTTGTTCATACACAACGCGATTCTGTGATCGACATGACCCTTTTGCTAACCCAGCTGTCTCGCGCAGAAGCCCAAGGCGAAAGCCCCGGCGAAGAAGGCTGCTGCACACAAAGCAGCCAAGGCAACCAAGCCTGCGGCGAAGAAGCTGACGCAAACCAAGTTGACCACCAAACCCGCTGCCAAGAAGCGGCCGAAGCCTGAGAGTGATGACGACGACGGAGCCATGGACATCGACGGCATCAGCGACCTGTCACACACGCCACCAAGCGCCAAGAAGCAAAAGAAGGCCCCGGCCAAGAAGTCAAGCGGGCGCCCTCTCGCCGAGATTGAGAATGACAGCCTTGTCCAGCTCGACGGCCCTTCAGAGCCCAAGAGCAAGAAGACGGCGACAGAGACGTACCAGAAGCTCACACAGCTAGAGCACATCCTGAAGCGTCCCGACACCTATATTGGGTCTGTCGAGCGGACAGAGCAGCAGATGTGGGTGTACAACAAGCAGGCCGAGCAGATGGAGAAGCGGGCAGTCTCCTTCGTGCCTGGTCTGTACAAGATCTTCGACGAAGTCCTGGTCAATGCTGCCGATAACAAGCAACGCGACCAGAAGGGCATGTCTTTCATGAAGATCACGGTGGATCGCGAAGGTGGCGAGATCACTGTAGAGAACAACGGAAAGGCGATCCCTGTTGAGATGCACGAGGTAGGCATCCATTTACATTTTTCTTGTTACTGTTTCCTCATGATCTGACTCTGTCGCGCAGAAAGAAAAAGTCTTCATTCCTGAGATGGTCTTTGGACATCTTCTGGCTGGTTCCAACTTTGATGATCACGAGAAGAAAACTGTCGGTGGTCGAAACGGTTATGGTGCCAAGCTCTGTAACGTCTTCAGCACGCAGTTCTCCATTGAAATTCAGGACTCTGCCAATGGCAAGCGGTACAAGCAGACTTGGAGAGACAATATGACCAAGATGGACAAGGCCAAGATCACCTCCAGCAAGACATCCGACTTTGTCCGGGTCAGCTTCAAGCCTGATTGGGCCAAGTTTGGCATGCCAGATGGCATCGACGATGACCTTGAGTCGCTCATCTACCGCCGTGTCTATGATATGGCTGGTACGGTCGACAACGTCAAAGTCTACCTCAACGGAACCCTGCTCAAGGGTGGCTGGAAGAAGTACTGTGAGATGTATGCGAAAGCCATCGCCAAGGAGCGCGATGACGCACCCGAGGGAGAAGAGCCCAGTGCTGCCCAGGTCATAATCGAGGATAGCAAGACCAACAAGCGCTGGCAGGTCGGCTTCACTGTATCAGACGGCTCTTTCCAGCAAGTATCATTCGTGAACTCGATCGCAACCACATCCGGCGGAACTCATGTCAACTATATCTCTGACCAGATCTGCCAGGCGCTGCTCAAAGACCTGAACAAGAGGAGCAAAGGCCACACCCTCAAGTTGAACCACGTTCGCAACTACATCTTCATCTTTGTCAATGCTCTCATCGACAACCCGGCCTTCACCTCACAGACCAAGGAGCAGATGACCACCAAGGTGAGCGCTTTCGGCAGCAAATGCGTGCTCAGTGAGACCTTCCTCAAGAAGATTCGCGCCACGGAGGCCATCGACAATATCATGCATTTTGCAGAGAAGAAGGCCGACAAGATGATGGCCAAGAGCGACGGTAACAAGCGGTCACGTATCAACAACGACAAACTTGTCGATGCCAACTTGGCAGGCACGAGGTACGGCCACGAGTGCACACTCATCCTGACGGAGGGTGACTCTGCCAAAGGTCTCGCTGTCGCCGGTCGAGCTGTTCTTGACCCTGACCGTATCGGTGTCTTCCCACTCCGTGGCAAGATGCTCAACGTCCGAGACGCCTCGATTGAGCAGATCACCAAGAATAAAGAGATCCAGAACATCAAGCAGTTCCTCGGACTCAAGCACAAGCAGACCTATACCGATACCAAGGGCCTCCGATATGGCCATCTGATGATCATGGCCGATCAGGATCACGATGGTAGCCATATCAAGGGTCTTCTGATCAACTTCCTTCAAGTCCAATACCCCTCCCTTCTCAAGATCCCCGACTTCTTCCGAGAGTTCATCACTCCGGTGGTCAAGGTTTGGCAAGGCCCCAACCCCAAGAAGCCGCTCAGGCTCAAGTCCTTCTTCACCATCCCGCAATACGAGGAGTGGAAGGAATCACACGCTCATGAGATCAAGCGGTGGCATTCAAAGTACTTCAAGGGATTGGGAACCAGCACCAACGAGGATGCACAAGTCTACTTTACCAATCTCGACGACCACTTGAAGGAGTTCCACACTATGAAGACTGAGGAGGCCGAGTTGTTCGACCTAGCTTTCTCCAAGAAGAAGGCCGACGCTCGCAAGGAGTGGCTTGGCAACTTTGTCCCCGGTACTTTCCTAGACCACTCAACCAAGTCCATCACTTACAGCGACTTCGTCAACAAGGAGCTCATCTTGTTTAGTATGGCCGACAACATGCGGTCAATTCCTTCCATGGTTGACGGTCTTAAGCCGGGTCAACGCAAGGTCATATATGCCTGTTTCAAGCGGAACCTGGTCAAGGACAAGAAGGTGATCGAGTTGGCTGGTTACGTGTCTGAGAAAACCGCCTATCATCACGGTGAAGCATCTCTGCAGCAGACCATCGTCGGTCTTGCGCAGAACTTTGTTGGCTCGAACAACGTCAACTGCTTGGAACCCAGCGGTAACTTCGGTTCGCGTCTAGCCGGCGGCTCAGATGCTGCCAGCGCTCGTTACATCTTCACGCGCCTCTCCCCCTTCGCCCGTCGAGTTTTCTCGCCGCTGGATGAACCCAACCTGGACTTCCAGTATGAGGATGGCAAGATGATCGAACCCAGGGTCTACGTTCCTGTCCTTCCGATGGTGCTTGTTAACGGTGCTGATGGTATTGGCACTGGCTGGAGTACCTCCATCCCGAACTACCATCCCGTGGAGATTGTCAAGAACCTGAAACGTCGCATGGGCCGCTTGGACGATGATGGAGAAGAGAAGCCGTTTGAGCCCATGACTCCTTGGTTCCGTGGCTGGAAGGGCACCCCAGAACCGGAAGTCGGAACCGGCAAGATCAAGTTCGACGGTATCGCTTTTCAAGATGACAAGAATCCTAACGAGGTAGTTGTCACCGAGTTGCCTATCCGGATGTGGACCGATGACTTCAAGTCCAAGATTGAAGACATCATCCGTGGAGAGAAGACTACATCCTTCATCAAGGATTACAAGGAGTTCAACGATCACAAGAACGTCCACTTTGTCATCCAGCTTGATGAAAAGCACATGAAAGCAACTCTCGAGGAAGGCATTCTTGAGAGGTTCAAGCTGAAGAAGTCTATTGGTACTACCAACCTCGTGGCTTTCGACGTTAACGGCCAGATTCGGAAGTACGAGAAGGTGGAGGACATCCTAGAGGAGTTCTATCTCTACCGGTTCGGAAAATACACGGAGCGCAAGTCTCACTGGCTAAAGGTGTTGGATGCCGACTACAGGAAGCTCTGCAACCAGTATCGCTTCGTCCAAGAAATCATGGAGGGCAAGCTGGTTGTCTCCAGGAAGAAGAAGGCAGTGCTTGTCGAAGAGCTCCGTGCCCGGAAGTATGAGGCATTCAGCAAGGCCGAGAAGAAGATCAAGACTTCTGACGAAGAGGCCGAGGAGGAGCAGCAGCAAGCTGAGGAGGTTGCTGAGGACACCGACACTGGTTCTCGTGATTATGACTATTTGCTTTCGGTAAGTGATGATCCCTTCCTGTCTCTCAAACAGTAGCCTGACCCTCATTGGATAGATGCCCATCTATTCGCTCACCAACGAGCGCCTGGAGAAGCTGAAGAAGGAGATTGAGGCCAAGAAGGCCGAGCATGACGAGCTTGATAAGCTTAGCGAGAAAGACCTGTGGTGCAGAGACCTCGATGACTTTGTCGAGGAGTGGGAGAACCAGATCCGGCTCGATGCCGAGATCCAGACCACTATCCGCCGCATGGGCCGCCGCGTCTCCAAGAAGATCGGCGCTGGCCGTGGTCGTCGTGCCAAGGATGACGACGACTACATGGAGAAGAAGCCGGCCAGGGCACCCAAGGCCCAGATCCAGAAGGTGGAGACGAAGACCCATCAGCGGTTCGCAGAGATGTTCTCTGGCAAGCCCAAGGCCAAGCCTGCCGCAAGCGCAGGCATGGATGGTGCATCTGATGAGTTCTCAGATGATGACTTCGCGGCCCTTGGAAAGACCAAGACGGTCAAGAGGGAGTCACCTGAGGACTCTGAGCCGCCTGCTCCTTCGCAAGATGCTGCCAATGGCCGCGGCAAGCGCGCCGCGGCCTCCAAGGCCAAGACTTGGATCATCGATGACGACTCGGACTCGGACATGGATGATGACAAGATGCTCGGCGATGTTGGTGCCATGGTCAAGGGCATCGGCCAGTCGGCTGCCGATGGCGCCAATGGCAGGCTTAGTCTGTTTGCCATGTCGCGGCCCGAGACGAGCAGCGGCGAGGGCAACAGCGCCTCGAGCCTTCCCAAGGTCCGGGCCAAGCCGTCCAAGACTTTTGACTTTGATAGCCACGACGACACCAACTACGAGGCGCTAGCCTTGTCGTCGCCGCGCAAGTCTACCAAGGCCGAGGAGGTTGACGATTTCCTGTCCGACGACGATGACCTGCCCGCCCCTGCTGCGACGACCAAAGCCTCGTCGGCCGCCGCGGCGCCTCTCGTCGCCAAGAAGGGTCGTGGCCGCCCGGCTGGGGCCAAGAACAAGCCCAAGGAGGACAAGCCGGCCGCCACCAAGAAGGCGGCAGCGTCCAAGGCCAAGCCCGTCACCCTCTCTCCCGCCGCCAAGGCGTATGCGGCTAAGAAGGCCAAGGCCAAGACCTTCATCAGCAGCGACGAGGAGGACGAGGACATGCCTGACCGGGACGAGTCCCCGGCCCCTGCACCGCGAGCCGCAGCCCGCGGTCGGCCCGGCAGGGCGGCGGCCGCCAAGGCCAAGCCCATCTACATTGATGATGATGAGGATGAAGACGAGGACTCGCTTGTGGTCGACGAGGATGACGACGACAAGGACGATGAGAGCGATGATTTTGCCATGGACGATAGCGACTGAGATGCCAGGTGGAGATGACTTTGTTGTCCTGTTTCTCTTATCGAGGTTACCTTGTTCTTCTTTCTTTTTCACGCCTCTGTCTTATCTCTGGCTGGAACTTTGACGATGGACCGCAACAATATCACTTGTTAGGTTTCTTTTTGCTTGTGTATTTCATTTTTCACACTGAGATGGCTAATGGGCGTTCTTTGATGATGCTTCCTTTTTTTGTGGTTCCATGCTCTGGCTTTGCATGTAACCATGACATTTGGGGAGGGGCAAAAACGGGACAGGCAGGAAATGATTGATATCACCAATCTGATTTGATATTCTCCTCTTTGATCTATCTGACTGTGCTCGCGAGAATGTGAATCCAAATTGTCCAATCACTCGACTGTAGTCCGCATAACGTTCACGCATTGTAGGTTCAGGTACACATATGGGGGCGTTGTAAAGAGGGCATAAGATTGACTGACTACGCGACCATTAGCAGCAATAGCCAAGCTCAGAGGTGAGAAGCTCGAATCCAGCTGGCCCTTGTCAAAAGTCATACCCTGCAAGAACTAGCATCAACTATATGTCATTAGCACGGCATGTAGCATGAAGCACAGGTGTTCACATTGCAACAGTCAGTCAGTCGGTCTTTAATACATCTCAAGGTTTGATTAAAAGGGGTTAACCCAACGCCTTGCGCAACTTCAAATATAAAGAATACACTGCCCTTCCCCTTGTTGCCGAGCCCAGAATTATATACCCTTTGGCCAGGCCGAAAAGCCAATCATTCTGAGAGAAGCAGCAAAACACCACACCACGCAATCAGCATCTCTCGCGTCTCTCTCTCTCTCCCCATCAGGCAACACTACTATCCTTCATACACACAGGGACAACCCCCTTCCCATAATGTCAGCAATCCTATTTGCCAATCTTTGTTGTGCCTGGGATTGCCCAGACCAGACGCATCAAGCCATACGCGAAAACCCGCGGTCCGACCTGCCGTAACGAACCCCACGCGTAGAACTCGTATAAAAAAAAGAAGAGGACCGTGATCGTACTCGTATCTATGCCATAAAGCCATCAAAGTCATTGAAAGAATAGCCCAGCCGAAATGCAGACGCGATTTCGGAGTCGGAAATATCACACTCAATCAATGAGGCGAGCTTAGATGAGGGGCTCCTCCTCGGCCTTGACGGCAGGCTCGGCGACCTTGAACTCATCCTTGGGAGCCTCGGGATAGACCTCCTTAGGGGCCGTCGGGAAGTCGGTGTGGGTGTACTCCTTGGCCGGCTTGGGGGTGACGTCCGAGGCAGCAGAGTGGCCTCGGAGCATAGACTGAGCCTTGGCAGTGTAGTCGCCCATGTACTGCTTGGTGATCTCGGTGGCGTGTGAGGTGTGCTTGCTGGCAACCTCGCGGAGCTGAGCAGTCTGGGAGTTGACAATGTCAGAGGCCTGCTGGAGGTGGTGGTCGATGAGCTCCTGGTTGCTGGTGTAGACCAGAGGGACAAAGAAGAGCGTGGTCGTGGCAATCAGAGCAAGGCCCCAGTAGGGGACAATCTTGACCAGGTAGTAGGAGAGGAAGGCAGCGACACAAGCCTGTCATCGCAGTCGAGTTAGTATTCAGAGATGAGGGCGCGTGGATAGGGGGCAAGCGTCGTCTTACAGCAGCGGAGGCATAGACGTTCTCAGCAAACAAGACGCGCTGCGCCTCGATGACGAAGAAGTTGATGAGCTCGTGGACGTCACCGATCATGCTGTTCAGAGTCTCCTTGGAGATGGTGTAGTACTTGCGAGGGCGGAGCTGGGTGGCCAGGCCGGTGTTCAGAACGGTCTTACCGAGAACCTCGGCGGCGACAGTCACGCCCAGGGCAAGATAGGTGAGCTTCAGGGACCATCGGAGAACGTCGAGGTATCTAACCGCGAAGATCAAGGTGACGACCGAAGCATAGGCGATGCCGGAAGCACCTAGAAAATCCTTATCAGTATCCAGTCGTCTCCAACAACAGGGCATCTTTGTGCATGGTGACGTACGAGGGTTCTTCCACGACAAGAGCTCAGTAAAGAACGAGTGGTAGTGAGTAAGGGGCTGTCCAGTGGCGGCCGGGTTGGCTGGCGTCTGGCGGGAGGCAGCGAGGTTGTTGAACTCGGCGCCGGTCTTTGCAGTCTGGTCCTTGACGTTCTGGGCAACGGGGCCTGAAGAGAAGCGAGCGTTAGCCAAAGGTTCCAGGGGCCCAATACTGGGTAGATTTTGGTTACATACCGTTGGCGACCTGGTCCAGGGCAGCTTGGGCATCTAGGGGGGATTTGTGAGTAGCCGTGCGAATTGGTGGTCTCTGGAGGAGATCTTGAAACACTGAGTTGCAAAGTTAGCCGGGTGTTCGAATACAAGAAAAGCAGAGATGGATGCCCAGCAGCGCGTCGTGAGCGAGGAGAAAACGTACCTTACTGCCTTTGAGGGTGTTGACATCGTGGCCGCCGTTGACGGCAGGAGTATCGGCGAAGTCAGCCATTGCGGCGATGTTTTCGAGAGCTGTTTGGTGGGTGCAGGTGATGACGATGACTGGCGTTGCACTGGTGATCTAATACCCTTGGAGGCTCGGAGCTCCTGGAAACGGTTGCAGATGGAAACCTGGGGCACGCGAGGAGCGGATGCGTATCTCTGGTCGCTTGTAGGCAAAGTTTGAGAAACAGGAAATGGTGTTTGGCAAAGGTAGAGATTGTGGTCTGGCAGAGGTTTGAGGAAAAGAGGGAGGTGGATGGAGGATGGATGGATGATGTGTGTGGAGGAGCCAGAAATGATGCTTGTTTTTGATTTCACAAGGATCAATGCGTTAAGAGCGCCGAAGGGTTTTTTTTCCCTTAGGGGAGCTCTGTGCGCTACAGCAACCTTCACCAGCGACTACCTAATGATTTCACCGGGGCACCTACGGGTGAAGTAGAGGGCCTGAAGAACTGGGTCTTTGATTCTGATAATTCCACGCGCAATAATTCGTCAGTGAGGCACACCTACGTAACTGCCGCCAGAAAAATCCCTGTTTATCGAATAACTTTCCGACAATGAGGAAATGGAAAGGGAGGGAAATAGGAGGTGCGTAAGGCCTGCTGTGCCCTGTTGTTACTTGTTCCATTAAGCACCCGACTCGACTACTTCTATTATTCTAAGATATCTCTCTCCACTTTCGCTTCCTTATTCTCCATCCCTTGGCCCTGCCCGTTTCGAAAAGTTCATTCCATGGGACAGCTTTTCTTGCAAAGCACCATGAACTCTCGATGAGAAAGGGAGGAGGGTGGTGTGTCGTGTGCCCATCTCCTCGCGAAAGAAAGAAAGAGAAGAGTCCATCGGGTGGGTTGTGGCACATGCGTCATGTCTGGCTGTTTCCCTCGGGTTCTGCAGCTAGGTAGCTAGGAGCTGTTTCTCCCCTCTCCTGCTTGGAGCTGTCATCCGGCCCCCCCTTATGACGATATCCTGCCATAGCAACAATCACCTTATTGTTCGAACTAGAAAGAAGCAGGGAGTGGGGCGCCACCAGCTTCCGAGTCCAGGCATGCTGTTGTTGTCATGCTCTAATGCGCACGCCGCGTATCAGCTAGCAAATCCAGCTAAGGGGGAACCTGCCGGGGAATGCGCTGCGCGCCGGAGCTTCTTGCTAGACCTCCCGCGTTCTCGCTCGCTATTATCAGACGAAAAGTGGAATGCTTTTTTTGATCGAGCAAAGAGACAACGTCACCAAAATCGAAAAGCAAGCCAACAAGGTCTAGGCAACATGATCATGATCCAAGAGAGCAAGAAGATGCCAGATCTCTCCGTTTACGGTCAATCAGGGTCCCCCAAGAAAGAAGAGACCTCGTCCTCTTTGCCTAGACCCTTGTCCTCGTGAAAAGCCCACCCTGGCGACTCCTCCTGACACTTGCATGTGATTCTGGCACTAACTAATAACGGTCACCTCCAAATATTACGGAAGCAACATGGAGGAAAGCACTCAAGATTGCAGTGTTCAGGTCTTCCACCGGGGTCTAGAACGAATCCAGGTGGAAAAAAACTACAGGGACAGGTAGAAGCGGAATTGGCGTCCTATTACCCAAACTGCTCTTTGGAGATGGTTGTATGGCCTCCTCGCAGTGTTTAGAAATCGTTCTTCACACTAGCTGCATATTCGAGCATGACGGCCAATTGCTGCATGGCGGCGCACAGCCACGACCAGCTTTGTCGCCCAACCATAGACAGGCCTCTCCATGCGGGCGCCTTGCGATGAGCTGCCTCAGCTCAGCTGTTGGAACCATGGCTCATCCGCCTCTTTGGACCTTCAAACCTCCCGGACTGGCGTCAGGTCAGATCACTGCCTTGTTTTCCGATTCCGGTCCAGGAATTGGATAACAACTCGACGAAAGCATGCGATTGCTCAAATGCGCCAATGGCAAAATCAGGCTGACGAAGGACTTAACCCACGACATCCCTCCATATGCCATTCTCTCACATACCTGGGGTACAGATGAGGAGGAGGTTACCTACAAAGATCTAATTGCTGGCGGTGGAGAGGCTAAGGCTGGGTACGAGAAGATCAGGTTCTGTGCGAAGCAAGCGGCGCGGGACGGCCTCGAGCATTTCTGGATAGACTCTTGCTGCATCGACAAGGCCAACCATACTGAACTACACGAGGCCATCAATTCCATGTTCCGGTGGTATCAGAATGCGGCCCGATGCTATGTCTACCTTGTCGATGTCTCAATCCCTCAGCCAGCACTCCCGTCGCCTCGTCTCTGGACCCGGCTTGTACAGAAGACGCGAAAGCAGAAGCCCATTGCTCCAGTGACCTCCAGCGACAGAGAAACCCCGAAGCTGGTCTGGGAATCGGCCTTTCGGAGTAGCCGTTGGTTCACCCGTGGATGGACGCTGCAGGAGCTCTTAGCTCCTAAATTGGTCGAGTTCTTTTCAAAGGATGGCCAACGTCTTGGCGACAAGACATCTCTTGAGAAAGAAATCCACGAGGTGACTGGAATTCCTGTATCAGCTCTCCGAGGGGCCGATCTCTCCGAATTCGACATCAATGAACGTTTCGGATGGGCGGATGGGCGACAGACCACGCGCGAAGAGGACGCGGTCTACAGTCTCCTGGGCATATTCGGCGTCTTCATGTCGCTCAGATATGGCGAAGGGAAGGAGAAGGAAGCCGCGCGGCTCAGAGAGAAGCTGGGGAAACGGGATAGGGCTCAGCCACTGCCATTCGCGACAATCCCGTTCCGCCGCGACCCTCACTTTGTGAACCGAGATGTCATCCTCGACCAGGTCAAGAGGCGGTGTTCCGAACCTGCTGGCCGCGCAGCATTGGTGGGCTTGGGCGGGATTGGAAAGTCACAGTTGGCCATCGAGTTTGCGTATCGGTTCGATGAAGCCGCGACCGGGAGCTGGCTGTTCTGGATCCATGCTGGCACACGGGCCCGTGTCGACGAGGGCTTTCAAGCGATTGCAGAGGCCGTGAATATACCGGAGCGCGTCCAACCCAAAGCGGATATCCCGCAGCTCGTTTACAGCTGGCTGTCGCGGGAACAAAACGGCAGGTGGATGATGATCATCGACAGTGCCGACGATGCCGATGTATTCTACGGGTCTACGGCCAGGTCCGATGGTAAAAACCTGGCATCGTTTCTGCCCCAGAGCCGAAATGGATCTATCCTTGTCACAACACGCGATAAAGACCTGGCGCGCAGGCTGACCGGACATGATGGCATCATTGAGGTCGGAGTGATGGCTGAGGCCGAGGCCTTATCCCTTCTAGAGAATAAAGCCGGGCCGATCACAGATTTGGGTGCCGCCTCAGAGCTGGTGCGAACTCTGGAGTATATGCCCCTCGCAATCAACCAAGCGGCTGGGTACATACAGGTAAGAGCGCCGCGCAGCTCAGTCGGGAAGTACCTAGCGGACTTTCGAGAGAGCGAATCAAACAGAGCCAAGCTCTTGGGGCACGATATGGGAGACCTTCGGCGAGACGGTAGCGCTTCGAACGCGGTTCTGACGACCTGGCAGCTTTCCTTTGAGCACATCCACTCCAAACGACGTTCGGCTGCAGATCTCCTATCCCTCATGAGCTTCTTCAATTGCCAAGGCATACCCGAATCACTTCTCAAGCCTGCCGGGCAGACAATCAACTCAAAGCAAGAGGACGACGAGTCAGATCCTGACGACGGCGATTGCGATGGGATGAGTAATGACTTTGAAGACGACATAGGGTTGTTGAAAGACTTTTGTCTCCTTTCCATGAACGAAAGCGGGACTGAGTTCGAGATGCACGGGCTTGTGCAACTGTCGACACGAAAGTGGCTAGAAGCCAAGGGTCTTGAAGAGGAGTTCAAGGAGCAGTTTCTCCGCCGGTTGTGGGCATCGTTCCCCGAAGGGAGATATGAAAACTGGGAAGTCTGCCGGAAGCTTTTCTCCCATGTCGAGGCAGCGTTCGAGTACACGCCGGCCAGAGAAGACATGGGCGAGGTGTGGGCCAAGGTTTTGTACAACGGAGCCTGGTATGCCTGGTCGCAAGGCAGGTTTGACGTGGCCGAGCGAATGGCTTACAGGGTCAAGAAGTTTCTCGAGAGGTTGCTAGGGCCAGAGCACGTAAGGACTCTGTCGAGCGTGTCCTTGTACGGAATGGTCCTTCGAGACAAGGGCCAATGGGCAGAAGCCCAAGAGGTGTTTGCGAGAGTGATGGAGGTCCGCGAGAGGAAGCTCGGGGCCGACCACTCCCTCACGCTGAACAGCATGGCCAACCTGGCTTCGACCTTTTGGAGCCAGGACCAGTGGGACAAGGCCGAGGAGCTGTACGTGAAAGTGATGGAGGGCCGCAAGAAAAAGCTTGGGGCCGACCACCGTCGCACCCTGAGCAGCATGAACGACTTTGCCGTGATACTCAAGCCTCAGGGCCGATGGGACGAGGCGGAAAAGCTAGAGGTAGAAGTGCTGGAGGCGAGGAAGAGGACGCTCGGGCTCGACCACCCGCACACACTGACCAGCATGAACAACTTGGCAATCACCTGGGAATGCCAACGCCGCCATGCGGATGCCTTGAAGCTGATGGAGAGCTGCGTCGAAGGTCAGCGGCGGATTCTTGGTCCACACCATCCCGACGCGCTCTCCTCCTCGGCGATGCTGGCCAAGTGGCGTTTGGAGGCGGATAGCCGCTCGCCAACAGGAGAATAACCACCCACCTGGTCAAACGACCATAGCTTAGGCACAACGCAGTCTACGCTTAGTACCTTAATCCGGTGGTGTCCTATGTACTGATATCTACTTAATACATGTGTGTACAAACGGCCCTAGAGAGACCGCAGCAAACACATCTTGGGCAGTGCAGGTCCTGCAAAACGACTATATGTACATGCAGCATCTCCAGGTAAACTTTACATACGTGATGGCAAATCTGCTGAACTAATTGATGTGCCATTCCATCGTGGGGCCCTAAATAGATAGCATTACATCGTGAGCCAATATCGGCTCCTCCGAGTAGTATTATGCAGAAGAAGGTTCGATGAGTTGTCGTCTTGATATTGAAAGGGAGCGAAAGAGAACATCGGGGCTCGAACGTAGCTATACCCCGGGGCGAGCTATCAGTTCCTCGAAAGCAGTACCTACACAGCGGTATATGGGGAAGGGCTCCCAACCTAGCTTCAACCTACCTTAATATCTGCAGAGACAAAGGTGCAGCAGCATATCACCATTGTGTCAACTGCAACCAGGTCTCTCTCTACCTACCACTTGCCAGCACCTGCACAAAGTCTTCCAAAGCTCCGCTTGCATCAGAAATGGTATATCATTATGTAAAATGTAATGTGTCAAGATGCTCTTTCGCCATGCAATGCCAGCAGGAAAATGTGTCCCAGGTATCTAATAATCAATGTAATGGACGACCTCTCCCCCCCTCTCCTCTTTCTTTCTTTACTTCTTTCTTCCTCCCTCGTGCCATCAGACGAGGCAGATAACAGGCAAGCCACAGCGGATTCTCACGAACCACGAGCAAGCAACAATCTTGAAATACACTCCCATATCCCTTCCCCGCCTCGAAAAATCACTCATCACGCCCTCCGCCACCCAAAGAAGCTCCCCACACCGCCGGAGCTCATCGTCCCAGCGCCGCTCGACGCAACGGGCGCCGTAGCCGCCGTCTGCAGCGACTTCTGCGACGGCGCAGGCGAAGGGTCCCTCGACGTCGCCCTGACGCCGCCATCCGCCGGCGCCGACGACGACACCACAGCAGCAGACGCAGTGAACCGGCCAAACATGCCCATCGCCGCGCTCGCCGCGCTTGCCGCCGACCCAGCTATCCCGCTCGCGTGCGTCGCCGTCGTGGGCGTGTCCCCAGGGGCCAAGCCGAACGCTTTGCGCAGCGACTCAAGCTTCTGCCTCGCCTCGTCGGCCTCCTGCCGCGCCACGGCCTCGGCCGTCTTGGCCTGCACCAGCTCCAGGAGCAGCGCCTCGTTCTCGGGCAGCGGGCCCTCGTCCTTGTTGTTGTTGTTGTTGTTGTTGTTGTTGTTGTTGTTCCGCACCGTCATCATCGACGACGACCGCTTGCCAAACGGCGACAGGCCGCTCGACACCTGCGACGGCGTCGACCTGCTGCGCGCCAGCTTGAACTCGCGCAGGCCGCCGCCGCCGCCGGCACTATTTGACTTGGGCAGCCAGTCTGACGAATAGGAGCCTTCGGCGGAGCTGCCGCCTCCTCCGGGCGCCCCGGGGTCCGCCGAGGCCCGGGTCCGCATCCCGTGGATCTGCTTCTCCAGGCGCTGCTTGTCCTGGTGCAGGCTCCGGACGTGCGTGTGGCTGTCCCGGAGCTGGTCCTTCAGCGTCGTCATCTCCTGCTCAATGTCGTATATCCTCCTGTTGCACTCTTGGCCCTTGGCTAGTTCGTTGGCCAGCTGCTCCTTGGCCCGTGCGAGCTCGTCTCGCAATTGTGATTTGGTCTGGGGTATCGATGATCGTCTATCGTCCTCGGCTTGCGTGCCGAACCGTCCTTCTACCGTGTCTAGGAGCTCGGATATGTCTTCTGCGGGAGGTTGGGATGGAGGAGGTGTCGTTGTGGAAGGTGCACTGGGCCTCGTTTGCTCTGGGGTTTCTTCATTGTTCTCGCCGACACCTTGAATCGTCTCTTCGCTGCTGCCGCCCGCTATCGCCTGGACGGCGTCCGTGCCGGCCTTCTTCCTCAGTCCGTCGAGCAGCGACCGGACCGCCTTCTTGTCTTCGTCTCGCTCCTCCCTCTCGCGCTGCAATTGGTCGGCTAAAAGCGAGTGCTGCCGCTGGAGGTCGCTGAGCGCAGTGAGCAGGTCCTCAATCTGGCTGTGCAGGTATCTGCTGTCTGAATTCTTGTTGCTACTGTTGTTGTTGTTGCTGCCCGAATTGACCGCCGTCGACGCCGCCGTCGCGGCGGGCTTGGAGCCCCTGGCCGACGGGTCGTCCGAGGCCGAGGAGTCGCGGGAGACGGTCGTGGCCTCTGTCGATGCGGAGCTCAGGATGCTGGCGGCGGAGGAGCTAGCCTCCATGGAATTGAGCGTCGACGCCAGGCTCTGCTTGGATGCGCTTCGTCGCAGCATGCTCAACGGTCGAAGGGGCGCGACGAGGCCGGGACTCAGGGTCGAGCTCGATGAGGGTGTGGATGATTTGGGTATGGTCGTGGTGGAGGTGGAGTTGGTGGAGGCGGCGCCGCCAATGCCAATTGTGGACGAGGACCAGAGCCGGCCCAGAAATCGCGAGGCTGCTGTGGTAACGTCCGACGTGCGGGCCGCATTGGTGCTGGGGGTGTTAGCGATCTGCGCCTCTCGGTACCCCTGCTCTAGCGCTGCAAGTCGCGGTCTGGTCACGACGCTGCTGAGCCCGACAAAGTCCTGGACAAACTCGTCGGCGTTGTAGTGGTAGCAGTCCCACAGGCCGCGCGAGAGCAGCAGCTGCAGGACGTCTTCCATTTCGGTGCACGCCAGAATGCGTCCCTGGTTCTTGTGCATGAGCGAGAGGGCCACCCGCATGATCGTCTCCGAGGCGCCTTCGGCAAAGATGACATCGTAGATGCGAAACAGCATGGGTAGGGGGCATGTTACGGCGAAGAAGGACAAAAACCATTGTGAAACATAGGCAGGCTCCACCTGCAAATCGTCCAAATGGGACGACAGAATGGGCAGATGCTGTCGCAGGAGCTCGCGGAATTGATAGATGCGCATGTGCAACCCCGAAAGCTCGGGCGTGTACGAGTTTCGAAGATCGTAGTCTTCCATCAATCTGGGCAGACCATCGTCAGTTTCTGGTACATACCGAAAAATAAAAAAAATAAAAATAAAACTCACTTGACCAGGACGCAAAACGCCTGCTTGTCAGGCATGTGCATCAGCAGCGGGCCGACGAGGAACGCGAGGCCCTGGCAGTACCCGATCTTGGGCTCGTGCAGGCTGTAGCACTTGAGCACGCGGCCGAGCATGCGCTGGCCGTCGCCCTCCGGGTCGCGGAACATGTCGACGCCAGGGAAGCTCCGGCCGAGGTCCTTGCCGATGATGCCCTCGTAGGGGCTGCTCTCGCCGCAGAACTTGTCAAACTGCTCCTCGAGCGCCGCGTCGCGCGACCCGGACATGCTCTGCCAGACGACCCCGCGCAGCGGCGGCGGCACGCCCTTGCGGATCTTGTTGGACAGCAGGGTCGGCAGCCGCGCCGCCGTCTGCTGGTAGTCCTTGACCAGGGCGGCGTAGAACTCGAGGTCCGTCATGGGCGGCGGCGGCAGCATCGAGTACCGCAGGGCCGGGGGCGTCGGGCCGTGGACCATATCCTTCAGCTGCGCCATCGACGGCGGCCTCGGGCGCTTGGTCGGCGACTGCTGCTGCAGCCGCTCGACTTCCCGGACCTTGATGCTCTTGGGGTTGGTTGCCAGCTTGGCGTTTTCCTGCTCGAGGCGGGCCAGCAGCAGCGCAGTCTTGATTCGGGATTGGTTTGTCAGTGAACCCGTAGCAGTGGACAGTACCATGGCTCCCCTCCATGTAGAGAGACCACTTACGTTATCCGTGTCTTGATCCCTGGACTCTGCATCCTCCGTCTTTTGCAGGCCCTCCCAGTCAACCTCCTCTGCATCTGAGGTGGGCGAGACGTCGCCCTCATCCATGGGCGTTACAGGATCCTCATCTGTATCCTGACCCAGCTCGTCTCGTAGACTCCGGCCATTCTGTGTTGTAATATTGCGCTCTCCCATGTCTTCCGAGCCGGTCTCCTGACACAAGCTCTCCTCCTCTTGCTCCCCGTCTGTGTCCACCTCCTCTCTGCTGTGTCGTCGCCGAGCCTCGCTCTGGGTCATGGTCCTCGTGGAAGCAGGCGACATGTTGGTGTCGACCTTGAGGGCCGGTGGTTCCGAAAGGCGCACCGTTACCATGGAGTCGTGGTCCTTTGTGCGTTCCTCCCCTTGCTTGACGGCGGCAACGGCAGCATTGGCGGGTGTCGCGGGCGTGGCAGAGGTGGAAGGCTCGATCGTCGAGCTGGAGGGAGCCTTGGGGGTCATTGGCCGCGGCGGTGACGGCGGAGGAGGTGTTGTTGCTGTGGATGGGGTGGATTCATGTCTCGTGCCGGCCGCTCCTTCCACGCCTGGCTCCTCCATTCCTGAGAGCCCCAGAACGCGAATGACGATTGCACCAGAAAAAAGAGCCGGTTCTGTGAAGTTAGGTACCGAAGAGGGGGGGCGGCGAGCGTTGGAATGCGGCCCGCTTGGGAATCGTGGGGAAGAACCGTCAACAATAGGCAGCGGCAGGAGGAGCCTGGACTAGGTATCCAAATAAAGCGACCGTTCCAACAGTTCCCAGCAGCTTAGCCGAGCATTGCAAGATCCTCCAGGTCGGCCCTTGTGTGTCCAGATCCCTCGAGTTTCCTCCTCGTGCGCGTAGACTGTTGAACCAAACAGCTGCGGGAGCTCTCGTGCTCTAGAGTGTTGGTGGAGCTGCTACAGGCGCTGGCGAGAACGACAGGTAGAGAGGGCGGTGCCTCGGCGATTGGCAAGCTGGGGGATCTGCAATCACTGGCGTCAGGGAACGTCTCTGACAGCTCGAGGCACAACAAGTCGGTGTGTTTCTATGGTCTGGTGTTGTCGGTTTCACTCAAGGGGGGCAAAGTCGACTGAAACGACAATAGCGAAGAGGAATTGACCCGCTCGACTAAGTCGGCAACCCCTGGTCGGAACAATGCTCTCACGAGAAGGAGGTTGATATCTCGACAATAATTGAAGCGGCTCGCTCTCGTGTGGCACAAAGGTTCGTCACCGTAGGTCAGAGAAAGAAAGTCGACAGGCTACTAGATGAAAAGGAACAATATCATTCATTCACCGATTGCAATGGCTGGCAATAAAGGATGACCCCTCTTGCAAGCATGGATAACAAATTCATTCAAGGGCGAGAGGCAGAACAGTCCAGTCCCAGCCAGGGGGTCAGTTTGCCGAAGCCCGATAATAACAATCTCCCCATTGAAGTTCATGCTGACAATGCGCCTATTCCCTGCCCCCGTACAGTTACCTATATGTCCTTCTCTTGTTTCGTTTCTTTGTTTCTTTCGTGCCTCGACTTGACAGGCCAGGCAGGGTCCTTGGCAGCCGCCGACTGGCCCGTCACGCTCCAGATGGCTCGTCTGTGTATTATTGCAATCACATCACGCGCTGCCGGCGTCGACGGATGAGGTCTGTATTAGGGATGGTGCTCAGGGGTCGAGCCTGTTGGAGGGTTGGAGAAATGCTGCTTGTGGCGACTCGAGCTGGCCGTCCGACGCGCTGATAGGCCCCCCAGAACTCTGCATGAGCATGCACTCGAATTACCCAACCCACCCATTTCATCCCATTAATTCGGGTGCTGCAGGGTTGGCAACCTTTAGAGTTGCAGGGGATCTTCACTGAACTACCCACAGACGCTCCTTTCTCGGTGAAGATAGAAGCGCATGCTCGCTGGGCTCGGCAGAGATGGATCCCGCCCGTGAGAAGCACGGCAAAGCGGCCTGGCCCGCTGACGGAGTCACCACTAGCGTCTTGACTTCCCATACAAACTCTCGTCTACTTGCTCAAGGACTTTGTTCTTTTCAAGTATGCTGTCTTTACTACCTCCCATCAGGCCGAATATCAAAATGGTCAAACCACTGATGGCGACGTCTCAGATAGTAGTCTCAATGACTTGAAATGCTAATGCACATAGTGGCTTACTCATCTATCTTGCTCGCAATACACATACGCAGCTATATGTAATCCCAAAGACGATGTCCGCTAGCAGTCCATCAGAAACTCGAGTTTCGGTCGCCACACCTCTCAGTATGGACGAAGATCAAGAAACGCCTATCCCAAAAGCCAACTGAAAGCTATCGCCTCCTGAGAGTTCGAAACAAAATATCAACGCCCCAAACAATGCTACTGGATCCACTTGAAGTGGTATGGGCTGGATCCTTCACACCACCACGCCTCTGGTATCAACGTGCTTTTTGTAGTGGTGGCCGAAACATTTGATTTCTTAATCCCTCCCGAAACCATATCATACAGACATGAAAAGGTCGTTACCTGGGCATCATGACGAAACAACCGCCGCGGGTTGGGCAGGCGCCGCCGTGGTCGTCTGCGGCGCCTTTTGACCCCCCGCCGCAGGGCTGGCTTGGTTACCCGCCGCTTTTTGGCCGTGTTGCGCATTACCTGTCCCCTGGGCGGGAATAGGGAACGCAGGCTCCTTCTTAGGGTCGACGTCGGGGTACAGGGCTTGCAGCTTCTTATACAGACTTGCCAAGTACTTGATCCTCTCCTCGCGATCCACGTTAGGATCCGGTTTCGAGTCTCCGGAGTCGGGTGCCCCTGGGACTTGGTTCTTCATCTTGATGGAGAGGTTCAGGGGTGGCGGAGTCAAATAAGCTGGTCCTTTGGGTACGGGTACAGAGCCCTTGCGGTCCGCAAGACTGGCAAGGTATGAGAGGTTAAACTGGAGCCGTCTCATGCACCTGGTGAAAAGGGTTAGTGAGTCGGGTCAGATTGGACGCAAGTAGGGTGTCATACTGCACGTAGTCCTGCTGAACCGTCTTCTCTTCGTCCGAGGGCTTCTTGCTTTGGTCTGGGGTGTTCCCTTCCGCAGGACTTGCCGCCGCGTGCTCCTTCTTCAACTCCTGTTGCGTCGTTTGTAATTGTATCGACTCGTACAAGAGCTCCTGGTTGATCTCCAAGAGGATAGCAAACGACTCCTTCTCCTTCGACTCGCTCCCAGGGCTCAGGGGAGTCGCAGTAGATGATGCTCCATTGACAGCCGGCCCGGGCCCATTGGAAGGGAACGTTGGTGTCTGAGGTGTTGATACATTGGGGTTGGGAGGGGGCGCGCTGGTCGGAGTCTGGTTCTGCGGAGTGCCTTGGGGGTTTTGAGGCGTGGGGAATTGCTGGGGTTGTGATGCCATGGCATTGTTGGGTGTGCCTTGGTTGCCGCTAAATTGCCTCTGGGGTGTCGAAACATTCATGTTGCCGGCATTTTGTTGAGTTTGATGCATGCGCTGTTGCATCATCTGTTGTTGCTGCTGCTGCTGTTGTTGTTGTTGTTGCTGCTGCTGCTGCTGCTGCTGTTGCTGCTGCTGTTGTTGCTGGGGCGTCATGGCTGCTGGGTTCATCCCGTATCCGGGCATGGCATTAGCCATCATGTTGAAGTTGGGCGGCATTTGCGGCTGCCCGCCTCCAGACACTGGTATGCCCGGTCCGTAGGGAGAGCCAGCATATGGCGTTTGATACGACACTGGTGAGGCGGTGGTCAGTGTCTCTCTCCTCCGTCACTTAATCAAAAACAAACAGCGGGGACCTGCAGGTTGTTTGCTGTCCGGACACCTGCATCAATGGAGCTAGTCCACGACGCACGAGGCCATTTTTGGTGTCTGCCTATCCCAGCAGAGCGCCTCTCTCCTTGAGCACTTCGGATGGAATGGGGGTAGAAGGGACGACAGAAGAGTGTTTATGAGCCAGGAACGACGCCCGTTGGCCCGTTGAAACACGTATGACGCGTTCTAAGAGGTCCCTCGGGAGAGCAAGCCAGGGAAGGAGAGAGAGAGAGAGAGAGAGAGAGAGAGAGCAGGTGAAATCTGGACAGGCACTTACTTTGACCATTGGCGCCCATGTGCGGCATGGCGTTCTGCGGCATGCCTCCAGGGCCAGCGCCGGGCATCATGTTAGGACCGCCGGGGAAGGGACCTTGGGCGCCCATTGGGAACTGCTGTGGGTTGTACATCATCGGTTGCGGCTGGTTTGGCATAGGACCGGGCTGCATATGAGGATTTTGTGGAGGTGGGGCACCAGCGCCATTGAAACCTGGCCCCGGCGCAGCGTTGGCAAAGCCATAGGGAGCCGAGTACATGGCTTATGATAGGCCAGGAGCCGAGCAGGGTGATCGGCCGATCAGAAGCAGAGGATGAGCTGCGTGGTAAAGCTCTCAGACACGTCGAGTCGTATGTACGGTAAGGTACCTCAGATGCTGCGGCTGCCGATGTGGGGTAGGTGTATGACCATCAATCTCAGGGGTGAAAGTCGTGATAGGTGAAAGGAGGAGGGTGGAGTGGAGGGGGGGACCCTTGGTACTACTTGGAAGCGGACGACTGGGGGGGGATGGGATAGGTCCCAGGATGCCGAGTACGAAGAGCACGATAAGCGGCGCGCTGGGTGATGGCGAGAGTACAAGCAAGGTTGGGTGCGCGAGAGCAGGTAGTGCAGGCAACCAGAAGCTCTCGAGCGGAGACCGTTCGACGAAACCCACCAAGCCTGCTGGCGTCAAGCAGGTATCGTGTCTTTTTTGGGCGAGACGAGGATGCGGGCCGGGCGGGAGAGCAAGCGTATGCCGTCAAGAGAGCGACACTGGATGCACACACGCGAGAGAGAGAGAACGAGAGGGTTCTGTCAACACCAGGGGGGGTGTGTGGGATGGGGGCTAAGGAGAGAGGTAGGAGATGCCCAAACGGAACAAGATGCTCGGCTCGTGTGGAACAGAGGTCCTTGGGATCAGCCCTACGCGCGTTGCAGACTGCTCTGACAGAACAGCGCGGCGCAAAGGGGCCTTGGCACCAGTCGAGTGGCGGTTGTACCGGCTCTGGCAGAGGGATGGGTGGGAAATAGACGCGACGGGAGGGAAGCAGGTGGTGAGTGACCACGGACACGCGCCGGGTGGGAAGCCCGTACGAGCACAGAGTCAGGGCCGGGGTCCGGGGGGGAGGGTTCAGATCCCAGGTCAGGTCCCAGGTCCGTCTCGGTAGGGTCGGTCAGGACTCAGGGCTGTGGAGAGATGGATGGATGGATGGGTGGCAATCGGGGTGCCGGGCAGAGGAAGAGAGATTGGCGCACACACGCAGGCACACGCGCAACGCAAGAGACGAGGCAGATCGGAAATGGGAAACAGAACAGACAGGCCCACGACAGGACAGGCCCGGCAGAAAAGAGCGGGGAAACCAAGCGATGCACGAAGGTACGAGGTCTGTAATGGCTCAGAAATGACTGCAGAGGACAGCAAATCGAAATCTCGGGCCTCCACTTGCGGTTGAGCTGGCGTGCCGGAAGTGTGTCAGGTCGGGTCGGATTGTGCAGCGCGAAGGGTGGTGGTCGGCAGGTTTGTCAGAAAAAAGCAGCTCTTTTCTCAACTGCCTGGCTCGCCCTGCGAAACGAGAGAAAAAAAACTTGGTCATTCCTGCAGAGCGAGCCGAAGGGGGGGAAAAGTGGGCGAGGAACTGAGTGGCAGGCTAATCAACCAGCCTGGCACCAGCCCGCTTTTTTCCCTACCCTTTTCTTTCTAGTGACTCCCAAAAGGCTCAATCAAATCCCTCCAGCCTTTGCATGACAGGACCCGAGCCCAAAGACATGTGGAGCCTCCAACGAGCTGGGCCAAGCTGGAGATGCAATGGCGCGCCAGCCAAGAGGAGGAGACAAGGGTAGCACATCTGACTAGCAGCCATGATGGCATGGATAGCGGATGGCGGATGGCGGGACCCTCTCTTACCCCTAGCTGCACGACAATCGCCATCAAAGGTCTCTTCTACAAGTACTTTGTACAATGTTCTCAGATGGAAAGAAACCAAAAGGAGCGGCTTCGAGGATGGACTAGAGCCAGTCAAGTGGCATAAGTACCTACTTGTAACTACCTACCTAGGTAAGTATCCAGCTCGGAAAGAAAACACCTTAAATCACGACATATCCCATTTGGACAGCACAGTCAGCCATTACCTACTCCGTAGGTAGTTACGCGCTCGGAATGGCATAACCAGGCTTCAGTAGAAAGGAGGAAATGGTCACATCTCGCAGACCGCGCATGCTTGTCACTGTGCCTCCCGCCGCTGTTTCTGCTTGCTTGCATGCCGCACGTCTCTCCAGCTTCTGATTCGCCCTGTCCCATGCAGCATCACCCTGCACCAGTACTCAACACCGAGAGCTTGTTGCACTTGCATCCCAACCGACATCAAGGGTTGCATCGGTTTCCACTTGGGACTTGCACATGTCTGCCAATTACATCGCAGCGCAGCATTTGCACAAGTGACTCTTTGTCAATTAGGTTTTTTATGATTATGATGTGTCCCTTTGACAGCCCGTTCCGAAGAGTGGGCAGCGTCGAGGGTTGCTCTCGAAAGCGCGGCAGACCGTGCGACAACTCTATCCACGCTTCTTGGATGTGTAGGTGGTGCCGTACGTCGAGTTGCCTGCAACAACATCGATGAAATGTTTGGCGATGATGCTGTCTGCAGTAGAATCCGGGTCAGAATTGGCCAGCTATTATGCATTCTTTCGGATGGCTCTGAGAACTTACCTGCTTTTTCAGAGGGATGCAGCTCGTCATACCTAGGACAGCATATGTGAGCAAACAAAGTCCAAGGAAAGGCAATCCGGGAAGAAATGCCGAAGACGCACCACAAGAAGCTAGAAGCCGGGTTCTTCGAGTCAACGCAATTCGAATTGTTGGTCGGCACGCAGGCATGGAAAAAGCCCGTGGCATCCGCAGGTGCGTCAAGGTACGCTCCGGGGTTGGCGTGGATGTCGGCGAACAGACGATGCACGTCAAAGACGGCGAAACTCGCTCCCGGCCATCTTTTCTTGACCAACAGGTTGAATGGTGCGCCATAGTCAAACATGGTATTGACATTCGTCGTGTACTGGAGGATCTTCTGCTCGTACTCGGTCTCGTTGTACAACGTCTTGTTCTGCCAGTACTGGTTATCACCGGCGCCTCCCTTGGCCTGCGACGCATACTCGGGTGCCAATTGAAGAGGCGCTTCGTTCAGGAGCACGAACCGCCGGCCACCGGTCTGATATATATTATCAAACACTTGCCTGGAGAATCATCAGCAACCGGCCTGCAGAACACTCTCGCCGTGGGGTCACCGGTCTTACCACACGCATTCAACAAAGCTTGTGATGTCCGTTCCCGGGGCCTGAGAGTCACTCAGGAAACCCGTGTATCCCAGGTCGTTCGTGCCTATCCACATGGCATAGACGGTGTTTTCGGCCGTACGGTTGCCGTAGAGAGCCTCGACACCCACGTCTGCCTTGAAGGAGGGGATCTCGTCGTCCATGACCGAAGGAAAGGGCTTCTTGATGGCGCCAAAGTATCTCGAGACAATCTTGTTGGAGCAAGTCGCACCGCTGATGGCATAGTCGTAGTATTTGGCGCCAGTCAGCTTCGCAACGAAATCGCCCCAGGCCAGCCCTCCGCTCGCGGTCTTGTTTGACGCTGCAGGCAAGACGCCGGGCGGCGGAGCGTTGCCCTGGTTGTTGATGTAATATCCCAGGCGTCCGTTGTCTGTGTAGCTGTCGCCGAAAGTAACAAGGTTGCTGAAGGCGCCCCTGCGAACACAAGACGACGCAGCGCCCGCTACAAGGCAGAGGAGCAAGCCCGCAGCATACATCTTCTCAATTGGGGGGGCTAGACAATCCAGGTGTCTGGTAAAAGCTCTCTATTACCAGGCCGTGACGATCGAGGAGTGACCGACGGGAGCTTCTCAACGACGAGCAGAACGGACAGCCACGAGACACATCACCGAGAATCTGACCAGCTGGGGAAACTGGGGAGCGACATCATAAATAAACTATCCAGGAACAGGGCGACTGGGGTAATCGACCCGTTTACCCGGGAAGAGCACGATCGGTGCCCACAACGGCCTGTATATTGCAACCATGATGATCGCCTAGTGCAGAACGAAGCGCGGGGGAGTCATACTAACATCCGCACTCCGATAGAGATAACTTGATGCCGGTGACGGATAGAAAAGATCCGCCTGATGCGCTTTGGTTGCCCAAATTGGCATCTAGAAAGTGACAAATACCTGATCGCCGCAAGGAAGGGATCTAATCCGGTGAACAAGATTGGTCGCACAACAGCGAGCGATCAACCACTCTCCTTCTGTGTCATCGCCATCCCAATTGCGGTGAGACCCTGCAAGAGGAGTCCATGCGGGGTCGTGATGGAACCACAGCAAGCCCGAACGCGAGGTGTGACGAGAGCCTGTGCCCTCTTGTGCGGTTGTGCTGTTGAGACAGACTGTGGCCGATTGCACTGGGGCGGAGATGTAAATAGCCTGAATGCAATTGCAAGAAGCTCTACCCAGGCCCCGATCAGCAACAGGGATCAAGTCCAGGTACCATCCCAGTCCAGGTTAGGACTGAATTGGAGAAACAGAATGGAGCACACCAGAGGGTGCTCTACTTGTACTCTGTTTGTGAGCTTTGACATGCTGGAGTACATAGGAATCCGGACAGGATTTCAAGTATTTACAAGTACAAGTCTTGATGAGGTTCAACCACTTAATGTTTTATGCGGGGGACCCCACCTGCCATTTCTCATTCGCCAATGGCTGATGACTCCTCTGCCTCTCGCCCACCGGGCTGGCTCCGGCGTCGGGAGACGGCGTGCTTTTCGCTTAGCTCCATCTCCAGCGAACGACGGACCTCAATGAGTCAAAATTTCAGTGTAGGGAATGAGAGATAAGGACGGGAATCCTTCGTGCTTCTTATAAAATCAAGACTGCCACCGTCGCCGATTCTCTGTCAGCAGCTTCTCCGACAGCCATCCCCTTCACAATGTCGCCCTTCAACCTGCAAACGTGTGCCCGGCCCAATATATTAACCCTGGAGCCGTACCGCTGTGCTCGAGAGTGAGTCCTTGCTTATACAGATCTTCCCATAATCACACCACCCACAGCCTGACTCCCTCGCAACAGCGACTACAAAGATGACGGCACAAACATCCTGCTGGACGCCAACGAGAACGCCTACGGGCCGGCCGTCGCCGCCGAGGACGCCGCCAGGCAGGACGCCGAGGTCGACCTCCTCGGCCTCCACCGGTACCCGGACCCGCACCAGCACGAGCTGAAGCAGCTCTTCTGCGACCTGCGCAACACGCGCGTGCACACGCAAAAGGCCCTGACCCCGGACAACATGTTTGTCGGCGTCGGCAGCGACGAGGCCATCGACGCCCTCATCCGCTGCTTCTGCGTGCCCGGCCGCGACCGCATCCTCGTCTGCCCGCCCACCTACGGCATGTACTCGGTCTCGGCCCACATCAACGACGTCGGCCTCGTCAAGGTGCCCCTCCTGCCCGCGCCGGACTTTGCGCTCGACGTGGAGGGGATCGCGGCCGCGCTGTCCGGCGAGAGGGACGTCAAGCTCGCCTACTTCTGCTCGCCGGGGAACCCGACGGGCTCGCTGCTGGCCAAGGCCGACATCCGGCGCGTGCTCGAGCACCCGACCTGGAACGGCGTCGTCGTCGTCGACGAGGCCTACGTCGACTTCGCGCCCGAGGGCGTCTCCCTCGCCGAGTGGGTCAACGAGTGGCCCAACCTCGTCGTCATGCAGACCATGTCCAAGGCCTTCGGCATGGCCGGCATCCGCCTCGGCGCCGCCTTCGCCGCCCCGCCGGTCGCCGCCCTGCTCAACGCCATGAAGGCCCCCTACAACATCCCCAACCCGACCAGCGAGCTGGCGCGCCTCGCCGTCTCGGGCCGCGGGCTCGCCCGCATGCGCGGCAACATGGCCCGCATCGTCGAGCAGCGCGACCGCATGGTCGCCGAGCTCGCCCGGACGCCCGGCGTGGGGCGCCTCCGCGGCGGCACGGCCAGCAACTTCTTGCTGTACGAGATGCTCGACGCCCGGGGCGAGCCGGACAACGCCACCGCGCTCGCCGTCTACGAGAGGCTGGCCGAGAACAGGGGCGTCGTCGTGCGGTTCCGCGGCAAGGAGCACGGCTGCCTCGGGTGCCTGCGGATCACGGTCGGCACCGAGGAGGAGGTGACGAGGTTTCTGGCGGCGCTCAGGGAGGTGCTCGCCGATGTGCGAGGGGGCGACGGGTCGGTTCCCAAGGACGAGGCGAGGAGAGAGGATGTGGCGAACGGCGTTATTGCATAGAAAGGGGGATAGGTTCAAAATAGACTGGGCACGGGATGCTCACAGCAGGATGATTGTTGTAGCAGTAAATGAAAATTCACGTATTAGAACATGGGAAACAAAGTCGAACCACGGCAATATTGGAGACTGCTGGGTGTGCGAAAAATTGCATTGCAAGTCTATGTAACTCGGGAAGCCAGATCCGTGTTGTTATCCCACAATGCCGCTGTTTTATACCGTCTATAGTTATATATGGCCATAAATGCCTTTCTTCGGCAGACGAAATGATATAGACATTGCCCAAAACCCAAATGAGAAATGGCCCAACAAGTCTGACGCCCTTTCCCTTTGAGACGCCGTTGTATGCTCTTTGGGGAATATTGAGATAAACTGAGAAACAGGAAAAAAAAAAGGAAACACATCCCATCTATAAACCCACCAAGAAACCACCCATCATCAAAACGCCAACCAGGGCAGACAGACCCAGCCACCTCAAGTCGGCCGCAGGCGTGCTGACAGCCGCGTTCTTCTTGCTCGCGGTGGGCGACGGCGCATGCGTCTCGCTCGGCGTGGGCGTGGGCTCGGGCTCGGGCACCTTGAGGTCCTTGATCTGGCCGGCGCGCAGGGGAGGCGCCGCGCTCTCAAACAGGAGGCCCTGGATGGTCTCGAGCGCGCACATCTGCTGGCCCAGCCCCACGCTGCCGTCGAAGCCGCCGACGTACCACTTCTGCCCGCACGTCGTGCCCTTGGTCCCGCCCGTGCAGGCGTTGGCGGCGGCGGCGGCGCTCGCGTGCAGCAGCGTCACGACCTTGTCCTTGAGGGCGGGCTGCATCTGGGCCGAGGCGTACATGAAGCGCGAGAGGTAGCCCTTGAAGGACTTCATGTCGGTCGTGCACGTGTTGACGCCCTCGCAGGCGTGCTCCCACATGACGTCGGTGGCGTTGCTGAAGGGCGAGAAGTAGCCGTGCTGCGCGGCAGCGAGCAGGCCCGCGGCGCGGTCGGCCCAGACCTTGTCCTCGGTGTAGTTGGCGAGGACGGCGGCGCCGTAGAGGTAGATGCCCTGCGTGTACGAGAAGGCTAGGTAGTTGGTCTTTGTGCAGTTGTCGGCGGATGAGGCGCCGTCGTAGACGTTGAGGTCCTTGTCGACAAAGTTGACCGCGACGGACCAGTCCCAGACCTTGTTGGCCCAGTCGGCGTACGTCTGGTTGTTAGTGGCGCGGGCCAACCGGGCGGCGATTTGGAAGAGACCGCCGTTCGAGACAGAGTTCTTGTAGTCCATTCCATTGGGGTTAGTAGCGAAGATTTGCCATGCGACGCCTCCGCCGCACGCTGTCGTATTCCAGCGGTTGATGAGGGTGTTGAAGATGTTCTCTCCGAGCTGCAGCCATGAAGGGATTTTCGTGCTTGGCTGGACATAGTTCCGCTCAGCGGCGGCCAGCACAGCGAAACCCCAGAATGCAAGATCGTCATTGCCCTCGTCTCCAAAGTGAGCGGGGACCATGTAGTCAAAGGTAGGTCCGACATTGGCCAACAGGGCGGTGGTGACCATATCGGTATAAGTCTTATCCTTGGTGTAGTGGGAATAGTCCAACATGGCACCAAACAAGGCACCAGTCTCCCACCAATAATAAGGAGCAGGTAGATCACCAAAAGCCTATCATTAATGTCAGTACGGGTCTTTTGCCTTCTTGGAGCGTCAGCCGGGAAGTGAGGGGCTCACGGTTGCAGTGCCGGGATAGTAAGCCATGGTCTCCGCAGCGATAGTTGCTGCTACCGCCTGTACTGAAGCTGTGGGCTAAGTTAGCACGCAGACCGACTGGGCTGACGTTGTGATTGCCAAAGATGCTTACATCGATCATCAACTTTCAGGTTCTTGGGCAGGCCACCAGTGGCCGCCAGAGCAGTGGTGAAAAAGGCCGACTTGAGGAGGACCATGTTGACCAGGCGCGGGCAGGAAAGCAAGAGCCCTTGGAATCGGTCTGTCTAATCTGTGCACAGTGTAGTCTCCTTGCGGTTGCTCTTGAAGAAAGACTAAGCTCTTCGTCCAGGAAGAGACGCGAATAGAGGATCAGATCAGGCAGCTGAAAGTCAACCCAGTCGATCTGATCAAAAGAATTTTAGGCCAAGAATGGCAACAAAGACTGTTGATCGTGTATGGAGATAAGGAAGAAGAAGGGATAGCCCCAATCTTTGAAGAACAATGCTTGAAGAAGTAGGAGTAAGAAGAATCGAAGATGATAGAACAAGACTAATGGAACGACGGCAACCCCAAACTCGTGTCATGCCAACGCCCAAATCTCTCGTGATGCCTGCACTCTGCGTCATTACGAGAGGCTGGCAGGGGAGATATCGAATTTTAAGAGCAGGGTTAGACGCTCCGGCATGCTAGACCCCCTGCCGTCAAGCCGATGCGGGGCCGCAACATCACTAAAAACGGGAAGCTGAGCTGCTGGAACGAGCCTCCAGCGTCCTCCAGGCCCTCAACCTGGCGAATGGCTTGTGAGCCGAGAAGGCCCGGCGCCGCCTAGTCCTCGTATTGGCGGCAGTCCAGTGCTTTCCGGGTTAGCTCGGTTTCGGCTGGGCGAGGCGGCCAGCTGGGCTCTACAAAGCAAAGACTGCCCAGTAAGAAGACCAACGAATTGGGTAGGTGGCTAGTCACCATCATGAGCTTCCTTTGTCAGATCCTCTCTCTCTCTCTCTCTCTCTCTCTCTGTCTCTGTGATTCATGATGGGCTGGCTGACTGGTTGCGGTGCGCCATGACTGCAACCAAGTGCGAGCGTGTCTTTGATGCATTGCAATGCCACCGCCCCCCTCATGCCAGAATCCTCTTTCGTCTGAACTCTTTTTTTTTTTGGGCGTGCTTAGTGGCGGGCGCCCTTGCATGGAGGTTGGATGGATGATGCTCTGATTCGCCGAGAGTGGAGGCTCACCAGGAACTTCCAGGAACTAGCGTTTCTTGATATGCCCGTCCCAAAGGACTGGCGGCTTGGTGCTGTGGCCGCCCCCAGCAACTATTTCGAGACCGCCGTCGCTGATCAGCAAACATGAAACGACTCCAGCTCCTGAACTTGACGCGCGATAGGCAGTGAGCGAACGAGTCGCAGCCGCGCGATTGTCATGGACTGATATAAACAATTCGAAGGCGAGACGCAGAGGCCAATCGCTGTGCATTGAGTATTTCTGGCAATGCTCACTGCATTGACTGTGCCTTGCACGACGCGGCCTGTTTGTTGAGCTCTTCCTCATCTCACCTCCCTGGCCTCCCTCTGCCCGTGGACTGCTTCACTCAACGGCAAGGGATTTGAGGCTTGGTCCAGACGGCGGCTGAGGACCCCAATGTGTTTCGTGCTATCCACTTCGGACCTTTGATGGCTGAGACCTTGCATTCCTGACTGGGAGCCTCATTCACCATTGAGTTCCACTACGCGGGCGATCCAATTCCAGCAGAGACGGACAAGAGCATTGTCCACGCGTCTCGACTTGGAAGATACCGACTGACTTGTGCAATTGAAGATATGGGCAGTATGAAGGCAAGCAGCCATCTTCCCCCTGACCTATATTTATCTGTAGGCTAGCTGAAGCCAAAAGAAGAGTGGATGAGTTATCCACCATTTCGACTTCAGTCGCTGTCGTATTGTCCACTTCAGCAGTCGAGCTGTACCGACTCACAGGTAAATCATGAGAAGAACCAAGGGAAAATATCAGTTATCCCTGCCGCAATGCTGTATGCGTGTTGTGTCGGACTCCCTTGATTGGTTGCCCATACAAGGTAGAGGAGGCCTGACAGACTCAATATCCAGTTTCAATACCTACCTGTCTTCCACCGCAATGCCGGCCGACTCGGGCAACCTGGAGACGTCTTCCGGGGAAAGGTAGCGTTTATCGGAGCCGGGTGGCTTCTGCCTCCGACCTTCACCAGCACCAATGCTATCAACCTCCCTTCCAGTATGTAACTCAGGCCTCAAGCATAAGCAGGGACACCAGTCTTCAGTAGTCGGCCTTGCCAACCTCTCTAATTGAGTATTACACTCACCCTCGATTACAATGTGCTTTATCAAGAGTCGCTACGTCCCTTCCCCTCGTCGGCCGCGCGTCCAAGTGAAAAGGTTCTGCCTCATTGGCACCGTCTTTGATGGCTACATGTATGGGGCAACCTTCCCCGGAGAGCCATGCCGACGGCCCTAGCATCTGTCAAGTGCCAAATCCCGGTGCCAAACCCCGAAGGATCATGACTTTGCGCAGCGCTAACTGTATTCAGGGTCGCCTACGTAGTCCTCACCATAGGCACGGATCGCACCTTACCGAGATGAACCGCCGTGAGATCTCAATGTCCTTGTATAATATTCTCATGCCGTAGAGTCAAATTGTCCAGACTGCCTTCGCGCGGACGCAGCTACCACGCAGAACAAAGCGACCAGTCCACAGTCCACAGCTTACAGCTTACAGCACCGACCTGACAACATCATGACACCCCGTTGGCTTCTTCTACTTGCAGGCCTGGCTGGCCTCGCTCTGGCCCAGACAAAGGTCGTCACTGTCCTCGTGCCTCCGATTGCCGATAACATCTCCGAGCAGCAGATCTTTGCGTCAGTCGCCAACGTGAAGCCAGACGCTACCGAATACGTCCTCGATATCGCCAAGACCGCAAATATCGACAACTTGCTGCGGCGCCTGGCGGGTGCGACCCTGACTTACGGCCCGGCCACCGTGGTCATCCACGTGGAAGAGTCGACTGCTCAGACAAACGGCGATTCCACTCGCTTTGCGGCCTAGTGAGCCAGTTCTTTTCTTTTCAGCTTTCTTCTATATGAAGTGCTGCCAGCATGCCGCTGACATACTTAAGCACACTCAACGTCGCCTGCTCCGTCGACCAAAAGGAGAACTTCGGCACATGCACCGGCCAGTCGACGACGGTCGTCGGCTACCAATCCACCTCGGCCACGGCCTCCGTCTCCGACACGCTGCAACGGTACTACGGCATCAGCGCGTGGAAGGTGCCCATCACGGTGACCGCCGGCGCCGACAGGGTGACTGCCGACAGCGACGTCTCCTCGAGCACTGGGACGAGCAAGCCCACCTCTCCCACCACTCCGGCAACGCAGACCGAGTCGAGCCGGTCTTCCGCCTCCACTGGCTCTCCTGCCGGCACCACGACGAGGTCAGGCGGTGGCGCTGGCAATGCTAACAGTTCGAGTCGTAGCTCAGCCAGCAGCACGAGCAGCAGTACTGGAGGCGTGCCTCGGGTAACACAACAAGCCGTATATGCCGGTGTTGCTGCTGTTGTCGGCGGAGCTCTTATTCTTTAGATGCGTGAATAAATGACTCGATCGGCGTAGCAATCACTGCATCACCCCTTTTACGCGTAGATAGCAAGATAAGTGAATAACACTATGTACATTCTCTAAAGAGCAAGAATTGTCGACCCCGATCCAATCATACTCACATCGGCTCATTACGATCATCATTCAAACCAGACGCTATGCTAGAAACCCAAAAATGCAGCTCGAGTGCAGGTTGCGCGCAATTTTACCAAATGGTAAGGAGAACTTTCACTTGCCGATGCTCTCGACCATTCCTGGAAAGGAAGATGGCCATCAAGACTATTCTGTGGGCTGGCTATTCCCGTTCTCCGGTGACTGGCCTCCGTTTGAACCAGCCGGTCTATCCCCGTTGCCAATCGGCCTCTCCTCACGTCCATCAAGCCAGCTAGTGCAGTTGATGCAACGCTTTGCCTAGCCCAGTGTCAGTCAGTCTTGCCTTTATTGGCAGTATGTGATAGCAAAAACTGCTCACCTTCTCGTTGATTCTCTTCCGGCAGTACTTGCACTTGACCGTATGCTTGATGATGGGATCGTGAGAGAAGTACTGATACGTGCCGGCCAGCGCATAGAGCGAGAGGCCGAGGCCCAAGAAGTTGATAACTTTGTTGATGAAGATACTGTCTTGGATCAGCTTCTCCCGAAGCCAGACCGACACACTAGATTAAAAAGCAGGACACGCTTACCCATAGGCCATAACAACAGCACCGTCATCCTGGGCCCGCTGGAGGGTGTTGTAGCCCCTCTCCGCGTCGTAGTTGGGGCCGGCCTGGAGCACGGCGAACTTCTCGTCGAGGTTCTTGTTGAGCGGCAGGAGGACCGACAGAGGCGGCAGCAGGATGTCGCTCACGAACGAGTTGACGATCGTCGTGAATGCTGCGGCCAAGCTGAACTTGGTGTGTTAGTCTCTTTGTCGCTTGCGTTCATTCCGGGTTGGCTCCAAAAGGGGCTTCAGAGCAAGTGCTTTCCACTGACATTAAACCGAAAGCAATCTCGAGGATGTTGCCCTGAAGCGCAAAGTCAATGAACCCGTCAATGACGCGGCGGGCCCGGCGCTGGCTCTCCTCGACGAAGGAGCCCTCCTCCTCATCTGCGGGGGGCGCGTTGGGATCATCTCTGAAGCGCGGCATGGTCTCTCTTAGCTGGGAGGAAGCAATATGCTCGACTGCGTTCCAAAGCTTCCTATAAGATTCTCCAGGAATACAAATGCATTACAGTATGTATATGAACCATGAAATGAGAGGCTGATGAGAGCTCGAGAAATAGAAAGGTCAGTGGTGAAGCTCCGACTACCAGGATCGCCAACACAGCAATGACGAAATAGCTAGCGCCGTTGCCGCCTAGATTCCAGGGGTTCAGGCCGGGGTCTCCACAGCCCACAGGCCTGATAAGTGTGCTGATCCATTGCTAATCTCGCCTTTGTTCGCGATGGCGATACATTAGTGCCTCCAGCTATCTCTACCGAGGCCAAGTTTTGCAGCCAAAGAAAGGGTCACATGAAGCGGTCTTGTCAAATGAAGACTTATCAATCCTATTGATGCGTACGCGAGTACCATTGCCCTGGCGCTAGCGGACCCAAGACTAGACGTCTAATCTACCTTATGCCTTGGAAGGCAGCTGAAGAGAAACGAGCAACCCAACATGCCATCGCCGCAAGCTTACCAGCATTCCCCCGTTTTGGCCAACGGGATGAGCTTTCCCCGCACCCCTCCCCACCGCGTCCAACTTGCTATCGCCGAGGATTCTCCTCTGACGAGTACCGCTGCTTCTCGCCAAACCTGCGCGAGGCGCCGCCGCGGCCGGACCTCCTCGCCTTCCTCGCCATGAACAGCTCGTACGTCCAGTACGCCGCCGCCAGGCACATGGCCGCGAACGCCGCCCAGGTGATGGCGACGAACTTGCCGCCGGACGACGCCCGCAGCCCGATGCCGTCGCCGTACTTGTTGATGGCGCCGGCGGCCTTGCTGCCGCCGACGGTGGTCACCAGGTTGGCGACGAGCAGGAGCAGGGCGGCGAGCGCGCCCAGCCCGGCGTTGGCCAGGCTCGTCGAGCGCGGGTGCCGCGCGTAGGCGAACAGGCCCGCGGCGGACGCGAGCATGGACAGGCCCGCGAGCCCGGCGCCGAGGATGTAGAGCACGGCGATGGCGCGCAGCAGGCCCGGGATCTTGTTGAGCTCGTGCTGCAGGTCCCGCGTGACGCCGAGGTCCGACAGGCTCAGGCCCAGGGGCCCGACGGAGAGCTGCTGGTCCAGCAGCGCCGAGACGTTCATCTGGCCCGCGTTCATGGGCTCCGTGCAGTTGGTGACGTTGTACCCGGCGCCGGGGGCCGTGGCGTTGGGCGCGAACTCGCCCTCGCAGGCGTTCATGACGTGCAGCGAGTAGAACTCGTGGATGCCGATCTCGTCGGCGAGCTTGTCGGCGAACTTGTCGCCCAGCTTGGCCAGCTCGCTCTCCACCGCGCCCGCGGCGGCCGTGGCGCTGTGGGCCACCTTGCTGAAGAAGCCGCCGATGCCGTGGCCCCCCGTCGTCGTCGTCGTCGTGGGTTTGTTGTCGCCTGCCGGGGTGGGGAGGAGTTTGGTATGGCCCAGCGCCGACGTGTTGAGCTTTTCGTGTCGTTGTGAGTCTAGTTGAACAGCAACTGGCATGGATCAAGGATCTCTACCTACCATGATGATGTGGTACTCCTCCAGAAACCCGCGACGTTCGCCCGCGAACAGCGCCAGGATGGCCAGGACAAAGCCCACCACCGAGAGTACGATGGGGAATCCTATCACGAAGCGCATGGTGATGGTTTATGTGTGTGCGGGAGCGTCTTAACCCTGCAATAATGGAATCTCGGTGTAATGCAGTAGCGGCGATATTGCCAGTCGAATCTTCTGTGTAAGAGTCAAGTCCAATGGTATCCTACAGGTAAGACCGTTCTTGAAGCAGCATGGGTTCGCAGGTGCGAGCTTTATGTAGCACAGATCAGGCAAACAGACAAAGGGTTCACCTCTTTGACATTGCAAAGAAAGGAAGTGGACGCATTTAGCAGTGATTCATACATATAAAAGAGTCGTCTAAAAACAGGCTTTGGCCGTGTTAGCAGGGCCCAGCAGCCATAGAGTAGCCGTGACCAGACAGCATTCCGGATGATGTCGGTCCCACACCCTGGCCAGGGCCTTGGACAAAGACAGCACAGGCAGAAAAGTCGGCATTGCGAACTGCTCGCAAGAGATGGAGAGATCCATGGCTGCCAGCATTGCACAACGAGCCCAATCGCGGTGAGTCAAAGGGCAGCCAGGGTGAGGCCGTGAAAGGCCAGCCCTCGTCCAATCGACCCTTGCGAGGGCTGCGTCATCGCCCGCTTGGTGGTTGTGCTGGTGTTTGGTGTTGCAACGGCAGAAGTGAAAACCGGTTCTGTCAGTGGTCGATCCCATTCTTGGTGCTGGGCAAGCGTCGATTGGCAGCGCGGTTGCGTCGTGGCTTGGGCGGCAAGAGGCCCGTAGTGCCTGTGAGCAGGGGTCCAGGGGCGCCGCCAATGCCCCAAATGGGGCCATTAGGGTCCTCCTCAGCACCTTATGCCGGCCCACAGGGCTTCAGGGCGGCATAGCTGGGCCGTCGTCTGGTCGGGCCACGACCGTCTCCATTCATATCATGAAACATATGCTCCGACGCAATATTTCGACATCTAACGGTGTGCATTCAAGTGTCGTAGTATTATATGGAGGATGTATTCAAATCTATTCCAGCAAGCTGGCGGGCATGTTCTCGGGCATCGAGTCTCTGTAGACAGTAATAAAGTGACCCCGGCCGGCCCGTTGCGTCCTGATACGCCTCTCGACCATCATGGCCGTGCTCATGTTATTTATATATCGTGAGACCTCCACGCGCCCCGTGGTCTCCGTGAGGCTATATCCAGACCGGAGTACGAGCGTTGAGATCTTGCCCCAGTCGCCCACCCAGTCGACTTCATCGTGGTCCACCTTGTGCATCAGGGCCGGCGCCCACGCTGCACAGCCAGTCAGATCTAGATACTCTAGGCCGTACAAGCTCTTGCTCAGTCTCCTGAGGACCAAAACCGCCTCGGCCCAGTCGTTGTCGAGCGAGTGGCTGTATGGGCCCGTGCCGCCAAACTGTACGGTCTGACCTTGCTGCGCGACCACGGTGGCCAGTTTGGCGTTGGGCGTCAAGCAGGGCTCCGGCCAGTAGGCGAGACTTAGGTGGGTGAGGTGCGGGAGGTGCGTTGAGAAGGCGAGGAGCTGCTTCCATGAGACGTTGCAAGTGTGCTGGGGGTCTAATGAGAGGGCGAGGTGGGTGAGGTTGGGAAAGAGAGACCGGGGTATCGAGCCCGTGTCGGGAGCTTCCCAGGAGTCTTGGACAATTTCTGTTGTCACAGCGTTGGAGGGAAACATTAGATCCGAGAGGTCTCTGATCTTGATCGATTTACCAACGGATCCCGAGAGGTCCAAATACTCGAGATCATCGTTGGCCGCGACCGCCTGTTGGGCCTCATCTTCCAAACTCGACACTCCCTCCCCAGGAGGGGGCAGGAGGATCAGGCGGACATCGGCCAAGGATATCCCTTCCTTACGGGATAGGCTCAGATTGGCGATGAGAGCGCTTCGGATGTGGCGTGGCAGGGATGATAGGTAGTAACGATCGTAATCCCTGACGAACGCCCAGTCACGGACCATCCGTCGTAAAACAAGGTTCATCAAGCTAATGCGGCTTGGTACGTAAACATCCGGGAGATTGCTATGGCAAAGCGTTTGCTGGGAGTAGGCACCGGCAATTTGCTCCGACTCGAGGGTGTCTGAGCGTGAGACCCAGCTCCTGGGCGGGGCGGGCCCGGGCGGCAGACGCCGGCCCGCCGCATCTGTCCGGGGTGGACGTCGCGGCCGGGGCGGCGGGGTCTCGGGCAACTGGAGAAATTGCCGGATGGACGGCGGGACGCTGGGAGCGACAATCTGCGAAACCTCGACGGCCTCATGGGGGTGTGCATTCAGACCCACGCGCCGCAGGTCTGCAAGCATCTGATTGACGCCGCGGCCTTGAGATCCTACAGATATCCAGACATAAGACCAACGTTCCAAACTGGGGAATAAGGCCCGAGACACTTGAAGGGGCCCCCGCATGAAGCTGTAACCATACTTACCACTCTCATATTGGCTGGGCGAATCCCGTCTCCTTAGCGAGGACGGTGCTGTGGACTGCGGCTTGGTGTATCGGGCCTGGTGTCTTTTCTTAGGCATAACCGACAGCAGAGGTGTAACGGAAAACGGGGAGGACAAAGACGCGAGGGGGTGGCTAGCTGCTTCCAAGGCCCATCAGGTAGCCCGGTACGCGTCGAGATGTGCCCCCTTTGTATGTGCATGTAGTTCAGGACAAGTTAAGCAGCTAAGGTAAGCAATCATGGCGATGTGGGATGCGAATGTGGGATCGTTGATGCGGCGCCGGGAGCGAGGCGGTCCAAGTGGAGGTGATTCCTCCCGCCGGGGCGTAGAGGAACCCAGCATTAGTCACCATTACAGGCTACTAGGTAACTAACTACCAATCAGTGACTCACCTCCAGCTGTTTGCGACTCGTGCTGACCTGCTCTGTCTCGTCGACTCATTCACCAGCCAATTTCGAAGTCGATGACTTGCAGTCTACTGCCGCTCAGAGTCATTCTGAAACTGACATGACCCATCATCTGGCAGCTGCACTCATTTCCATTGCAAATTGCTCTCTAGTGCATTGGACCCTGTCACACTTTGTGGAACTTTGGGACTGGTGAGCTTCCTCCAAAGCAATCAGTGCATTAGCTGATCCTTATTACGTGCAGGCAAACATGCCTCGCATATTGATGCCTGAGTCTGATGGGAAACCCTGTGAGCCCATCTTGAAGGGGAGCTAAAGATCACCAGGCAGGAGACATGCACGGCAGACATCAGACAAGTACTGATAGAGAAGTCCCAAGTCACTCTTTTCCCGGAATCCAGACCTGTCTGTCCCTGTGGAGAACCACGAAGCGGTCTCGACCTGGACATCGCGAGGGAGACTCCACGGCGTCCTTCCAGCCAACACCAAGCCTTGCTCTGCAAAGACCACTCGATGCCGAGATGTGCAATGCTCTAGCGATATTGCAGGATCCTAGGCCAGCTGGCCCATGAACTAGCAGCTTGCGGCGACTTCTCTTGCACGCCACTGGCAGTTCGTTCAACTCTCACCCCCTAGTGGAGGCAAAAAGGACGCGCGATCCCCTCAGATCCCAGGTTGGGCTCCTCCTCTTTGGCAGTGCAGCCTCCGGCTTCAGCTTGTCTCAGGGGCTGGTGCCTAGCACAGCATGAGCCGGGACCGAGACGGGTACGGCGGGCAGTCGCATAGCAGAAATGCTTCGTGAGCGGCTCCCTGATCCTTGAGAGGGGGGACTGTGACAGCCCAGTCGGCAAGTACCGAGGTACCTATCATCACGTCAAGACCATATATGCCCTTGGCGCTAGCAAGGAGTTCACGCGTGGTCAGCGCCGTTTCGGCCGTTACCCAACTCTGACCGATCACCCATGGTTTGGGTCCCGCGCCAAAACACCGTGTGAACAAATCCTTCAGACGCAAAATGAGCCAAGACCCTCTGCCACTCTATCCTACAGGCAAACTTGGCCATCGTGCCGACTTTGGACGACACTATCCGTACAAGTGTACCCTTCTGAAACACCATTCGTGCAGATGTCAGGGCCGGTGAGTCCCTCTCCTGAGGCGACAAGTCCTCTGCAGGTCCCGGGCGAGCGAATCACCTCGGCCCTTCGCGCTGCCTCGCGGTTCGGCACTGCGCAGACAAACCCGGTCTTGGAACTGCGAAAAGTCTTTGCCACGAACGAGGCCCAACTAGCTCCTCGCGAGCCAAATCCGTCTGATCGTTCGCCCGGAGGGTTGTCCCACGTTACCTGGACTGGGTGGAGCTGCCCGGGAGTACTGGGAACCTCAGCTGCCCGTTGAAGAAGTTGTCTCAGTTACAAAGGCATCCTGAAATCCCCAGTACCATTACGCCTCTGACCCAGCCTCGTTGGGCTTCATGGGTCAGGCCGCGGCACTGCACCTGCTGTAAGGTGAGCTTGCTTGCCCCTTCCGCCGCCGTGGTCAGACCGCGGCCGCTTGGCCCGGGTGAACAGCGAAGGCGTTTGCTTGACCTTTGCCACTCCCTCGGAGTACCTGTAGATACCTCCATGGAGGCATTGCCAGACTCGGCATGAAGGCAGAGAGCATGCTAGCGTGCAGCTCGCAGATATACGCTGGTGCCGTTGTATCGAATTGCGCCGCGTTGAAGGCCGAGTTTGACAACAGCTTTGAGCGCGCCCGATTGGGAAATGGTTAGCGAACGGCGGCAACCCGTAATGTAATGTAAGGACTGACAGATTGCAGATTGCATATGGTTTCTTCAAAGCGAGGAAAGACTCGGGGACCCCCCTGAGTGGGATCTCCGCAGATAGATGATGGCCATTGCGGACAAGATCTTTGGTCCTTGGATTTGGCCGCCTCCCGGTGCATGTCATGATGACAGATTGGAATGACACGGCCTCGCTGATTGCCACTGGCATTTTGTTTGACAAGAATCGGCCCCACGATGTGGAACAGAGAGATGAAGGTCATGGTTCGTTGTCTTTGAGGACCGTGAAGGGAGAATAACCTACGATCCTGGAATGCTCATCATCGAACCAACGTTACACCATTGCCCGGATGCCAAAGCCGTCATAGTGAAGAAATCGCAACACCAGTCGGCAACGCATTCATTCCAACAAGCCGTTTATCAGAATGGCATGTAGCCAGGTGAACTAAGTGCTTGAAGCTTTTGCTTGAACTGCTTACCTTGTTTCAACGACGTTTCGAGCCGTAGAAGCGATTATCTTGTGGGATACACACAAGGTGCTGCCACAATCAAAGCACAATCTCGTGCCTGACACAGTGAACCTTGGCTTGAAGTGACCAAACGGCAGGGCTGTTTTCTCGAGGCCATACGACATCTGCCAGAGGTCAGCCAGCTTCGAAGGATTGCCCCTGGTTTGGTGCATTCCGTAGACTGACGGTTCGGCTATTGTGAGTGGCCAGACCGTCAGTCGCGGATGTGAGCCTCAGCGTAGCAGGAGGTACGAAAGCGGTGCTGGAAACCTGGGCTTGCCAGTGTGCCATGTCTTCCTTATCTCCATCTCCTCGCCACTCAGACGTACGGGTGGCTTGGCGAGATTGATGTCATGCCGAGCAAAGGGCTGACAGTAGCGGCAGGGATTGGTCCCTGACGATGTATATCAAGTTGGCACGATGTCTTAGGAAGTACTTCTGTGTGTGTCAATGTCAATCACCGACATGAGACAGGAATTTTAATCTCGAGCAAGGCTTAACGTGAGCTCCGACACCCCCTGACCGAAGCACCCATCACTTTCTTATCAGCTGGATCCCATCCGAGCCGTGAGTCTGGCCCCTACTAGCTCTACTTTTGCTTCTTCATCGAAACCGGTGAGAAGGAGTCCAGGCATGAATGCCCTGTCCACAGTCCCTCATCCGGCATGCAATCAAATATGGCAAGCCCCACAGAAGGAGCAGTTTCACCGAAGACAGCCTCCGAGGGACTCAGCCCTGGGACACTTACGGACGGGTAAAGCACTCTATGGCAGAGGAAATGAGAGGGCATCCATTAGAAAAGAGGTCGGCACACACGAATGGCCTGTAAGGGGTGCTGGGGGAGCTGTGAAATAGCGTGTACTGTCGGGCTTGGGTAGGTCATCGACCCTCGTCAGCGTCTCGGCTGGAGATCAGCAGTAGGTCCCATGCCCATCGCGAGATCGGGGCAGCATCTTCGAGCGTCAAGATAGATGGGTCTCGCTGATCGCGGAAATCACGTCTTTGGCCAGACTGCAAGCACTGTCTCCCCAATAGGACGGGCAGGTAATGGGCACCCCACCCCCCTCGGGGCAGGGCATTCACCGGTTCAGCATCGTGGAGCCAATTGGATCCCGTCGAGATGGACGAGGCCTGATGGCGACGTGTTCACCGGTCTGTAGGAAGCTAACCCCATTGCCACCCGAAGACGTCTCCGGGTAAGGGCAATCGATTACCTCCCGCGCATATGCCTGCGCATCTTTCGGACCTGCGAGTGACACGAGCAGGGCCTTGGCCATGGGGGGCTGGCCCTGAAGCACCGCCCCACGATTTTGATCTGTGTACACCCGCCATCCATGGAAGTTTCAGTGGGAAGCCTCCCAGCTAGGAAGGGGGAACGGAAACAAGCCGCAGTGAAGCTCGACGTGGACTGCTTCACGCGTGAGCCCGAAAAGCTTCTGGAATTGCTTTTCTCTCGTATCAGCACGGCTTCGAAGATCTAATCCTGGCATGCTTAAGGACGAGATGATCGGGAATGTTCGTTCAGCCCTGCATCCGGGGGAGGAGGATGAACTAGGGGCGGAATCAGTGGCTGAACGAGAGAATTCCGCCCTTCGCACAGTATCCGTTTTCTGCGCCTGGACAAGCAGGAAGAGGCACTTCCTAGTCATGGGGCTAGGCGTAGTTTTCGGCGAAAACATCTCCTTTCAGCCTGCGCCTACGGCGCGTTCTGGTTCGAATTCAAGGGAGCCTCAGACTAGGCTAGAGTTGTAGAACGGAAACTGCCGTTGGCAACCATCAAGATGGTGATGCGTGTCGGCGACTAGGCAGCTAGTGCTTAGCTCTCTCTTCCTCGCCGTTCCTTAACCTTCATTGCTTGCGTCTTGCTTACCTTTAAAAGGACTTGTGGGTGGATGCATTTCGCACAGTATGAACTGATCCTCCCTGCTCTTAGATCGGGAAGAGAGCATTGACTCTCTTACACTCGGTCAATTTGATAATCACAGAAAACATCACATAGTTCGTAGAGTCTTTATTGTTCAAATGTTGAGGTACATTCCAAATCTGTCGACTGCAAGCCACGGGTTTGGCTACTTCGCCGGCAATAGCCCCAAATAGGGGATGTACTCTTTTCCCTGGAGATGGGTATGTACGGCAACTGGTCAGCTGCATGTGGCAGCCACCTCGTCACCATCTCACGGAAGCTGGTGAATTTTGCAAATTCGAGATGCCAGGAAGTTCTTTCGACCATAAACCAGGTGCGAATATATGATCTGTCGGCGGTCTTGGATGAGATGTTGTCTAGCAAGTCTAGCATTAGGTATGCGGCTCCTCGACATTTATTCCCCAGAGCAGTTGATGGGAGTTGGAAGCACGAGAGCAACGATCTGGTGCTGGCGA